GTCAATTTGGCTGCACTTCTACCATCTGAATTCATATATCCTAAACACAGATGCATACATAATGTACATTTGGGTGTCGTCACACCGCCGCGTATGCTGAACGCCGTGCGATAATAGAGAGCCATTTTGACAAACGCAACCTCAGGGAATAAGCTTGTTTTGGGGAAGAACGTACTTGATTGCAAGGGTATAACAATATGTGGTAGATGGGTTGATGGTCTCAAACTAAGTAGGTGGGAAAAGGAATTCCCAAGACCATCAACAAAAGTCGTATCAAAACAGGATTAACTAGCGTCGTTCGTCGACTTCATAACAATACTAGCCCTGATAATAACCCGTCCTAGGTAATCTCGGATGTTACTTCCACTACATAAGATTAACCTATATAGAGTTCTCACAGCCGAAATCAAAACAGAGATCCCAGACAAGACTCATCGAACTAGCCCCTTTAGGCTTGAGTCAGATGTTGCCATCGTGTTCTGGATCGGGTATCCAAAATCGTAATCTTGATGTCTCATAGAACGCATAGAGACCCAGGAGCCGGGACGATCAAGGCATCGAATACCATACATTGTCGTGCATAGTAAGGCATAAATTCAGCTGGTGCTTGTGCTGACTCTGGTTGCATAGCTGCATATTCCAATCTCATTAATATGGTGGCCGACATCATCCTCTTAACATGATATGTTAGGTATGCGTCGGTCCAATCTGAACTCCTAGGCCACCACCAGGCCAGGCGTTCTGGATAGTAGGTGTGTTGGAGGCATTAATATCGTAAGCAGGGTTTTCGCCAACTGCATTGCTACTACTACCCACACCGTTCTGAGGAGTAGGCCCAGCGTGTCTTGGAACATTGCCAGGATTCGGCACAGCATGATGGGTCATATAGCTAGCACCGGTGACGTTGCCCTGGTTTGGGAAAAAGCTCTGATTCAGTGACCCGCAGGTTGTGCAGGTGAATTCAATCTTGAAATTGGTAAGAACCATCTGGGGGACGCCATCGTGATCACTACGGTTGGAGTAGTCTTTCGGAGGTCCAACCACTCCTACTGGTAAAGTAGCAGCCGTTTGGTATTCGACTCCCGATTGTGGCATAGTCATTTGATGTGGGTTGTGATTGAAAGAGGGTTGATTTTGTGTGGGTATCGGTACGTGTTGCCCCTGGGGCGGAGGTGGCAGGGCTTGGGAACTAGATGGTGGAGCAGGTACGTGGTTGTTTGAGGTCTCGTGTGGGGACACATTATCATCATCAATCAGTGATGGTGGAAGATGCTCTGGGAGCCAGCGATTTTCGGATATCTCCCCATATGTGTCTGCCCCTTCTCCTTGCGACTCGGGAGATTGCTCAGGCGATTGCTGTTCCTCTGCGCTCATTTCGATATCCGGCCCCTGTTCATCCTGGCCCTCGCTATGCCGCGGCTGAAGTTTGGTAAGCGCTCGCTGTGCCTGGCGCAAGGAGATGTCATACCCGTGGTAGCGTTTCACAGCATCCACGACATCCTGGGCGCGTATTTTCGACTTCATATCGAAAAGCTTCGGGATCTCGCCCAGCAAAAACCTCACATGGGAAGCCTCAGAGCGAGCAGGTGTTGCCGCAGGGGAATTTGCACTCCGGCGGCAACTATGGCTGTCTTGAAGACTGGTGATGTAGGTCGCACTTTTGTTTGAGCGACAGACCACACGAAAGAAGCAAGTTGCCGATGATCGACATCCGATAACTACGCTCTTCTTGTTGCTTCTGGATACACGAAGCTCCCAGTGTTGCCTGACTGATATACTTCGTACCACTGTTTTGAACTCTTCCAGAGAGCAAAACCGCTGGCCCACATGGAGGCCGGAGTACATCTCAGTCATAGTGATGAGACTGAGGCAAGCACAGATGATACAACAAAATTAGCAGCTAGGACAGCAGTCACAGAGTCTTGAGCGACAAAGTCCATCGGGCCTCTCGTTATGGCTTCACCAGGCCGTGCTTGCAAAGAGCTTTGGATTGCGGAGTACTGGGTGATCCTTAAGCAATCGAGGGATACTGCGTAGGCTTGAATTGGTGTCTAGCCCAAAAAAAGCCTTGGAGGCTATGATTAAATTGGGTAAACCAAAGTCGATTATCTTGTTAGGCAGCACAGCTGATTGTTGAAGAATAGCCATTAAACCCTGGAGGTCAATAAAGGTTTAAGGCGGAGTTCCAAGTGCCAGACCGCTCAGCTTCACTTTTCATATTCCTCCCCACTTCCAATCATCTTGAAGTCGCGCACACTTCCAATCTATTCTGTGCTATCGGTCTTTGGGATCGCACTCCATAATCAAATACATAAGATGGCCTCTTATGGGCTTCTAGGCCAGCCAGAAGAAGGTCGAGTCCATTCCAGCTCTGTCCTCGCAGGTCAATAATGTTAACGCCCAAGCTCTCACAGATGCGCTCCACAAGTCGCGCCTTCTCAACGTTGAAGAAAAACCATTCAAGCGAATTTCGAAACGACTATTAAATCCCGAATCCCTCATTGTCTCACAATCCTCTCTCCCTCTCACCCCTCCTCCCGAAGAAACAGACGCCGACTCCGATGCGACCGCAACAGAAGCCGGGAAACAGAAAAAGCTTGAAGAATGGCGCCACTTCCGCGAGGATGTCTCACTCGACTTTGCCGCCTTCGAGGCCAGCATTGCGCGCGTCCAGTTCCTTCTTACCAGCAACGAGCAAGAACGCCAGCGATATGCCACCGAGCGGGTTCAGATCCTGTCGACGATGCAGTCTGTACGGGAAAGCACGGCCGATCTACGCAGTCAACTTGTAGAAGCACAGCGACTTCTATCTTTGCGAAAGACCTATGATGAATTGACGGAGAAAATCACGAGCAACCGCCTACTCAAGCCGCGCGAAGACCAGTCAGCGAACCTTCAGAAATTGCGACTCGAGATTGCGGATCTCGAGAAAGAAAGCAAGGATTATGCCATGACATGGGCTGAGCGACGTGAGCAGTTCGGTCGCATTGTGGATGAGGGCATGCAGCTTCGTCGCCTGATCCGCGATGAGAAAGAGGAAGTCGAGCGCCGGGAAGGCATGCAGGAGGGCGCAGACGGCGACGAGGGAGATGCCACATCCAAGGGCAAGGCTAGCAGTGGGAACACCCCTGGTCCTGAGGGCGACGCCATGACCCCCTCCCAGCACGCCCAAGATGAAACCGGTCGATCATCTGCTCTGCAGGTTGAGAAGTCCGGGGTCGCTGGTGCTGCGTCGCCTTTGCGTCAAGTCACAGCTGCCCAGATGGATGGGGCAGTATCTAGCCGGGAGGACACCAATATGATTGATGAAGGAGAAGTCTCTGCGATTAGTGATGGCGAATTATCCGAGCTCGAGGAAGGAGAGGAACTGCCCGATGACTTCAACGGGAAGATGGATACTACCTGAAGATGCATTTCGGCATGTACATTACTAGCACTAGCAAGGAGTTCTGGGTTATGGTCTGGCGTTGGGCATGTTTTCAATTTACTGAATAAGATTATGGAATCTTCCACCTTATGGGTATTCTTTTTTTATCCTTGATGTAATCGACATCTCTTTCACGAGATCTCGCGCTCTGCAGTCTTAGCTTGGGCAATGGCTTCTTTGCCAGCGGTAATATGCTCAACGTTGCTGTCCATTCCCTTCTTACCCTCCTCAACCTATCAGAATTAGTTAACGGAATCCAAGAATACAATCAGGTAGAAAAGGGATGTTACACTCACAATCAGAGCCTCCAGGTTCGTAACAGCCTGCGCAAGCTTCTCCTTCAATGTAGGCAAAACCTTCTTGGTCTCTTCAAGAGACATACGCTATCATTTATGTCAGCATTAGCGGTCTCAGAATGATAGACAAGATGATTTAGTAGAAGCAAAGCTTCCGTACAAGGCACATACTTCTTGCTTCAGAGTGTACTCGCGGTTCTCATCGTCACCAGCAGTATCAGCCTCCAGTCTTTTGATACGTTCAGCCTGCTGCAACAGCTCCTTGTGATAAGAAGCTTCCTCCTTGACCAGACGAATCACGGAGGAAGTGATGATCTCTAGCTGCGTGCGGGGCGCCATTGTGATTATCTGTTTGAGAGTTAGACGTGTCTGAGGCATTCACTCCAGGTCTCGAATAGTATTTGCAGAAGTGCTCCTGTCAAATGAGAATGGTGTCTTCTAATCACGCTATTGAAAGTCTATATCCAGCATGCAGAATGCCCGGATGATAGCTATATGGCTAGCGTTGCTGTGTACAACTGTTCAAGACACTGGGTATACAGAAGGGCACCACGGCAACAAGGAAGAACACGAAGGACTTACCTGTGAATTTTGTATTTGACAGCAGAATTTAAATGCTGAACCGATTTTCGATTTATCAAAAGTTCATTGATATGCCCCTCGATGATGCTATCAAGACGGTGTTTGCATTGTTTGCATACTATCACGTGCTCAGAACTATAAGTTCCAGAGACGGAGGATGAATCCGAGACACAAGATGGATGCAAGAAGCCGTTGGAAATATAAAAGGCTGTTTTGGAAGCCAATGGAGCTCATATATATTATTTCTGCTTTCGATACTTTGTTAACTTGGCAAAGTTGTTATAGTTTATTCAGCAAAATAGTTTGAAATACCCAATTTGAGAGATTCAGTCCTTACTTGGGCACCTATACAGATATCATAGATCTACCTAACCGATAACTTATATCTGATCAGATCAATACTATAGAGTATTTCATAGTCCATAGCCATATCACAAAATTAGTACAAAGCAACATTAAAGCATTAAATCCATGGAGCTTCAGGCAGCCAATCAGCGTTCGCCTCCGAGACCGCATGATCCATCCATTTATTTAAAGCCGAGACTCTTACCATCTACAACCACGAGAATAGCATCACATCTCGCATCATTTTATCCTTTTTTCTCTTAAAACTGTCTCTGCTTTATATTTTATTTGCTTTTACCCCATGTCGCACATCTTATGGTACTTTGGATTGAACCATTGTCATCATAAAGATGCCAGCCCCATCACTGCTTCATCTGGCCACAGCCACAGCTATCCGCTTTGTCAAAGGTATAGATGAAATGCATCATCTCATTTTGGATGGTTTTTAAATTAATATGACTTTCAGACCTAGATGATCTAGGCGCTATGCCATACTCTCTTGCGCGTCCTATCTTGCTTAATATCCATAATCCCGAAAAGCTGGTACGTGTTTCTAAGCCTCACTTTCTATAACTTCACTTGAGTTTCATTCATAGTCCACTTTCAAACTTACTAACACTATTCTTTGTAAATTTGCAGCACGCTATGGAGCTCGCATCCCCCCATTTTGCCGAAGAAGATGAAGAGCTATGGCTTGAGCTCATTAAACGAGACATTCCCGATTGGGAGAAGTACCAACTTCCGGAAAATACGAACAACTGGTATGGGGTGTACTGTGATCTCTGTGACCAAGTGCAACGTTCACTTGACGCAGATGCGGAGAGAATGAAGATGGCGATTGATGGCATTAGTGCCAAGCGTGCACTTCTCACTCCTAAACTCATCCCTGAGGGCAGGGGCTTACGCATGGCTGGATCCCGACCCTCTGTACGACAACGTCATGCTACATATGATCGTAGGATGGTTGGTCATGACAAGAAGCCCAGCATATTCCAGCCGCAGAAGCGCAACACTGCGCTCACAATGCCTACGAAGTCTCTCAACAACCGTGCGTCGCAAGTTAAGCGTGCACCGATCGGCTTGGTTGAAGAACACCGCCGCCCCACCGCCGAGCAGTCTGCACCACAGCCGATGTCAAAGCCGCAACCACTTGCCCCACGTATTAGCCGCCCCAGCATGCTTCCGCCCTCCCTCCAGCACCCTATGCTGGCTCGGAATGAGGCGCGACTACGTGCGCTGACTTCCACCGCCTCTGCCTCATCTTCCTCCCACTCATCCCGTGTTGCATCTAGCAGCAATGCGCCTAGCGCAAAAAAGTCGCCAGGGGTGGCCACTGAGCACAAACTAAAGCGCCGTGCGACCTCCCCCCCTCATAGTACAGAGACACCTTCTTCTTCCTCCTCTTCTTCATCAACATCATCCCTCCCTGCCCCTCCCATCTCTTCTCTTCCTTCCTCCCGCCCGCCTTCCTCCGGGCCTCCTCTTCCTCGACCGGGCGTCATTCGCCGACGCCCGGCACCGAGCATTTTCATGCCTGCAAAACGACGAAATTAGTCGTGATATTCAGATAAAACTTTTGTGATTTGAAGGTCTCCTAAAGGAGGCCTTAGATATTTACCTATGTGGGACATTGGCCTCGTCAATGTTTTTAGTCAGTTTGGAGCAAAGGAGTTTGGCTTTCCTGATACCCAAGGGGATGTACCTCACTTGCGATTTAAATTTGTCCTTGAGAACTTATTCTATTCTTCTATTTGGTTCTATCTATAAGGTTGATGTAGGCTCTATTTCTCCGATGATACCGGTTGGATCCCTCTCTTTAGCAATGCAAAGGAACTGCATGTACCCGGATAGCGTTCGAAAGTCATTTAGCTGAGTTTTTGGCCGAGTTTGGTTTAGTATTTTATCGCCATATCTCAGTGGTACATTCAAAAATGCACTCGCAGTCCTACGTAGTGAGTCGCATTGTATCTCCCGCGGGATTTTGCGCCACTGAAGTAGACATATGCAACATTCAATAGGGTCAGAAACGGTATAGCAAACCCAACCCAGTCCATAAATGAAGCTTATGTCCTTGAGAAAAAAGGACCCAAATGAATAATAACGATTCAATCCAGAACACCCAGGATGCATGCTGCCTCGCTGTTTCAACTCAAATCCCAAGCTCCGCCGCAGTCCCTGCAGCTCGAATCCTCGCGAAGTGGGATGCGGGATGGACAAACACTAGTGTTCCTCGACTGATTCACATTGCTGCAGAAATATGGTATCTAAAAATGACAAAAAGCGTTTACATTGACTTCGCAGCGCATCCTCCACGTAGAGCAAGCACGAGATGGAGCGTGGCGCCACCTTCGAGGTTATATTCTGAGGCTGTCTTGTCGTCCGCCCTATTGTTGACAAGTTATTAGCTTTGGTTTAGTTTTGATAATAGAAAAATGCAAGAAAATAACTCGGCGAGTAGTTTCTTACATCTGCTTGCCGCCGAAGATGAGTCGTTGCTGGACCGGGGGAATTCCCTCCTTCTCTTCGACACGCTCCTTTATCCGGGAGACCTTTATAGAAATTTCTATCTCAGTATAAACGCATACATATGACATGGATATCACGGGACTTGTGGATGTGGTTTCAGTGGAAGGGCTAAGGTGATTCCGTGCGGGGAGGAGCTGGAAACGCATCTAGGCTGGCGGGTGGTCTACCTTGTAGTCAGGCTCGATATCGAGCTCAATCTCCTTGCCGGTGAGCGTTCGGACCCTGTTTGGACGGGAAATGTCAGCTTGTGGCTCTAGGTAACCTTGTCCAAGTACGGGGTCATGCGACGATACAATGGGGACGGAGTCGTGCTGGAGCTGAGAAACGTACTTGATCAACATATTTAAACTGTGTCTTGTTTCAGTTTGGAAGTAATGGAGCAAGGTATGGGTTGGAATGTAGTTGCACAGCTCTTGTCAATGAGTTGGAGAGAAGATGTGAGTCCGGCGGGGTTTTGGTGGGGGCCTGTGGCCTTATTGCCTGATCGCGTCGGAGCCTCACTTTGACTTGCGACAACATTGAATGTATACAACATACAACAGTAGTGCAGAAATCACGATAATTAGGACTTTAGGAAGAATGTAGGATATTCTACTGAGTTTTTTTTATCTTTCGTTGTCTTAATTCTAGCAGTAAACCACTGAAACACCGCTTTTGAAAATAACTTGACCTTTCGAGTTTAGAAATATATATTGGACTAATTGTAACATAGTTAACATATTGGAGAAAATTAGTACATGTATAAATTGAAAAGCTATTTTCTGACTTAACAATTGATCCATGTACTATAATCATTCATCTGTCCATAATTACTACTTGATAGCCAGAAAGTACACACGTATATATAGATACCTTCCACAGTTTTACTCCATCTACCCCGCTGAAACCCTTGGCCCAGACTAGAATCAGTCAATTGGAGTCCAAACCCAAACAACATGGCCAATGAACCGGTGCAAGATGTCACTGAGAATCAGTTTCAGCAATTGATCAGTCTTTCTGGAAATGATCCGGTAAGCTTGCGTTATTAATCGTGGATAGACAAATCCTGAGTCCCACGCAGAAACAATTGCAAATTGCCTATGAGACCCATAGAAGCAACAGAAATGCTCTTTTCAGAGATCAAATCTGTCAACCTGGATTTTCTGAATGGAAAGAAGATGGGATCCTATCCAAAGTCCTCGAGGCAGATAAGGGGTTGACAGACTTCGTGGACCCGAGACACAACCTTGCCTTTTGGGCGCGCCCGCCGCAGCATATCCGCGACTTGGTGTACAAGATCCAGCAGGAGCTTGGTCCCTTGATTGGACCTGGTACGTGCTATATATATGATCTGTGGTAAATGCGGAGAGGCCGTATTAATTGTGATTCTACAACATAGGTCTCTGGCTCGTACCTCCAGATAATCTGCACATGACCACGCTCGAGATCAGGTCTTCATTGACAGGGCCTGGAATCGACGAGATTGCCTCTTCTCTTGAGATGAGCGGGGTTTTAACAGAGCTGGCAAACTACACTCTCACCCACCGTGCCCGGCTGGTCAAGCCAGTAATCAGCTACGACACTTCTGCTATTGCTCTGAGCTTTGTTCCCGCAGCTGGCGAGGAAGATAGCAGTATGTATAGTGGAAAAGATGATCAGTTTACGTATCATCATCTGCGGAGGGATCTCTACAACATCGTGACTCAATCCGGCTGTCCAATCGCGGCTCGGTACACCGTCCCGTCTGCGCATATCACCATTGCGCGCTTCGTTGCGGCTAGTGACACCCAAGAAGGGGACTACTCAGATTCTCCAGAGAAATTTGAGAAGAAAGCATCACAACTTATTCATAAGATTGAGGATCTCAACCACGAACTCCGCTCAAATGTGTGGAGGAGATTGGGGGACCCATCTGAAGGGCAATGGGTGATAGGTCACGAAAAGGGGTTGGAGTTGATGAAGGGTCGAACGTGGTATGGAGTAGGGGACAGTATTGTACTTGGAGAAGGATTTCTATAGCAAAATTCAAGATATGTGCTGAGAATCGACTCGAAACACTTTCAGAGATCAGTGATGTCAAAGATGCCTCAGGCATGAATTATATGAATGACTCAGCATAACCTTCTTGGCGACTCCTAAAATGGTTAGCGCCAACCCGATAGGGCCTAAGCGAGTGAAATCCCACAACCCAACAATCGCACTTGCTCTCCTCCGACAAGCGACAATCCAACGACCACCACCCAGCTATCCGGCCAAGTCAGTCAAAATGGTAAGGATATCACCCTACGAGATATGTCAAAGTGTTTTCTGCAAGCCCCGGCCGTTCGAAGTTCCTCGAGTCGTGAAGAGATTGTGAGATGTCCACTGTGCGGCCGACCTCGAAATCGTCAAACCCGCCGACCGTCACGAATCACCACATTATGAACCACCCAACCGTCAGTTTTTCACCGGATTCTCGCAGCATGCAATATGAAAGTCGGCATTGAAGAGGGAATGTGTGGCGAAACTTGCAATGACAACACTTGGTGACGAAATTGAGGATTCGAGAAGACCACAATGGATGTAACCCGCGATCCTTTTTGAATCCCAAATATTCAATTACGCTTCCTACCCCAAGAAAATGACGACCCGGACAACACGACCCATCTCTTTGCGACATCGCTAATTTCGAATCGGACTTCGGGGCACGAACTACATTGACATTGATCTTCGCACAATCAGACCAAAAGACAAAAGCTCATGACATCTCTCCGCACAGGTCAACATTCCCAAAACCCGCCGGACGTACTGCAAGTCCAAGGAGTGCCACAAGCACCAACAGCACAAGGTCACCCAGTACAAGGCTGGCAAGGTTAGTGCCCTCGACACCGGAATGGTAGTCGTGAGCCATTACTGATGTTATCTTTCCATGATCTAGGCCTCCCTCTTCGCCCAGGGTAAGCGCCGTTACGACCGGAAGCAGAGTGGTTACGGTGGTCAGACCAAGCCCGTCTTCCACAAGAAGGCCAAGACCACCAAGAAGGTCGTCCTGCGTCTCGAGTGCACTGCTTGCAAGGCCAAGAAGCAGCTCGCCCTGAAGCGCTGCAAGCACTTCGAGCTGGGGTATGTTGCATCTGCAATTCTATCATCTTGCTACCCAGTACTGACTTATCTTTTTCTACAGTGGTGACAAGAAGACCAAGGGTGCTGCCCTCGTTTTCTAGATTGTTCAATTTCCTTGTTCGGCTTCTGGGTTTCCTGCATTGCACAAAGTGCTTCGCTGTTTTTGCGGAGCATATATGACATTGGCAATGGAAAAATGAAATAGGAATTCATCTATTCAAAAACACCATCTATGACTACCGGATTATGAGTCGTTGAATGATTATTTTTGTTTCACAGTAGAGCTGCTAGTAGCTGCCAACAATCGTAGTGACATAACGCATCTCAAGTCTTGCTGTCCATTGTGAGTTCTGGACTCCAATGTTCCCTATAAGTTCTGGATTGTTTGGCTTATATGCCCCAGCTATTGCCAAGGCTCCGTACACATCCTCAAGATGGGTCCCACTTATACCAGTGGAGTGTCTCGTGAGACTTATTTCGCATGCCTCACTTCATTTACCCCCAAAGCTACCAGCTTAGTTATGACCAGTTATGACCTATCAAAAAGATATTTAGAAGCCATTTGCCACCAATGGTCATCGTCATATGCTGGTCTAAACTTGACACGATCATCGGGGTTTCCCCGAGCACCTGAGAAGGGCCCGAGGGACAGAATATACATATTTTGTCCCCTCTCAATTCTGTCTACATATAACTCCGAAAAACTCAATATATTATCAGAGTATACAACATAGTAGGTCAAGAAGACGCCGAAGGGCGCCGAGAGTCCTAGCGTGGGGGTAAAGACGGGGGCAAATGCCAAGATGTCCCGATATGGTAACTCGGTTTTTGATTCTCAGAATTGAGTCCATACCATTAATTGGACCGGGTAACACCTCGAGAGGGGGTCTTTATACCGAAACTGAAAGAGCACACTCGTATGAAGATGTGGGATCTTTGCAGAATGACATATTCCCCGGACCCCGCATTCCGAAGGGAGGCCTTGAACCAGCCATATCCCACAAGGCTAAAAGGCTCAACACTCTATGAATTCTTGCGGGGAATCTCTCGTATCAAGGGCCTCCACCAGCCTCCCCCGCTTCCCCAGGAATAATTAACTCGGTTCTCCTCCGATAATGGTCGTCTGTATCTTGTCTCTCTGCCGTGTGACCCATCCTCGGCCCATCGGACGTAGCCCGGCCTATTCCTGTGACCAGAGATCAGTTATTACATCGGGGTAGCTCTTGTTCCTAGCTCTTGGTGATCTACGTTTTCTTTTCACTTAATATCCCTGTCTGATTCCAGAGAATCGACAATAATTCAAAATGACAATGTGGTATTCGCTGGGTATTGCTTTCTTTGCTGCTATAGGCACGTTCTTGTTTGTAGGTTGCTTTAATTGTTCCAAGATCAAATCTTGGCCCGTGACTACGCGAAATTAGCTCTAATGATTGAAATAGGGATTCGATACTGGCATTGCCACAACTAGTGAGTTACAAGTATCCACAAATTCAACATTCGCAACTCAAACTAACCATTGACTAGCCATTGCCCACCAAAGCTGGATTGATTATATGAAGCATCCATCAAATGGCGTCACAGGAGCTGTATGTCCAGCCAACCAGCCATTTAAGCTCAAATCCATAAACTGACCATTCTAGGTTGTGGCCGTATATATCGCCGGCGAGGCCGTCGGCGCCCTAACACAAACATTCATTGGTGACCGACTCGGCCGCATTCGCTTCATGCAAATGATGTGCGTGGTTGTGACAATCGGCACCGTTATCCAAACCGCCTCCGTCAACATCGGCATGTTCCTCGCCGGCCGCGTGCTAGCCGGGTTCGCAGTAGGGTAAGCAATACAAAATCTCCCAGATCTATAAATAACCGGCTGAAATTAACAACTATCCTAGTGGCATGGTTGCAACAGTCCCAATCTACCTGAGCGAAATCTCAGACCCGAAATACCGCGGTCTGATCGGCGGAATTTCTGGCTGTGGTATTTCATTCGGTACTATGATGTCGAACTGGGTTGGTTATGCTTGCAGTTACGCTCCCTACGGCCCCATGCAATGGCGTCTCCCTTTGGGTATTCAGATTCCCTGGGGAGTTATCATGTTCATTGGTCTTTCAACATTCATGCCCAACTCGCCGCGACAGCTGATTCGTAGTGGGAAGGTTGAGCTGGCGCGTAGCGAGTTTGCTCGCATCCGACGTGGCCTTGTGCTTCATGAGATGGAGGAGGAGTTTGGGCTTATGAAGGCGCAGATTGAGTATGAGATGGAGAGGGAGATGACTTCCTACCGGGAGATCTTTAAATTGTTTAGACATCGGGTGCTTGTGTGAGTTTAGGTCTTCTTCGGCTAGGTGTTTGGGAACTGACTTGGATGTTTAGGTCTATTGCTGTGCAGACGATGACGAGTTTGACAGGTGTCAATGTAATTCAGTATTATCAGAGTAAGTTATACGTACGAGTGTCGGACTTGACATTGTTGGAATGCTAATCTCTCTCTCAGCTATTCTATACAAGGGGCTTGGAATCGGATCACACTCGATTCTCGCTTTGGCTGCAGTCTACGGTACCGTTGCATTTTTGTCCAATTCGCTCACTACAATGTACATGACCGATCAGTGGGGACGTCGGAAGTAAGTGGATTCTTTGCGTTACCATTCAATTATCTGCCGCTAATGGTCTATAGGATGCTGCTCGCCGGATTGGCTGGTATTGTGCTGATCGAAATCTATGCCGCGGTAATGCAAAGGCAATTCCAAAATACAGACAACCGCATCGGAAAGGGCTTCGCAATTCTTGGAATCTATCTCTTTGTGGTTTGCTATTGTACGGATTCACACCAGGGCTGCAAAACATTATCGCTAACTCTTTTTTTCTTTTCTTTTTAGATGGCATGCTCAACAGTACTACATGGCTGTATGGCGCTGAGGTTCTTCCTATTGCTCTCCGTAGCAAGGTGATGGGTCTTGCCGCCGCATCTCACTTCATCGTTAATGTTGGCAGTATGTTTGGGATTCATTCTTTGGAAAGATGTTTCGATGTATGCGATTGCTAACCTTTTCACACGAAAATAGTTACCGAGGCTGGACCCAGTGCTTTTGCCAACATTCATGAAAACTACTACTACGTATTTGTAGCATGCTCTGCCTTCTTCTTAATGATCGCTTACTTTTACTTCCCGTAAGTCACCGGTCTATTTCTGATATCAGAGATGAGAGAAGAGGTAAAAATGAGAAGCTAACACTTCTTTAGGGAAACCAAACAGAAGACCCTCGAGGAAGTGGCTGCCGCGTTCGGTGACCAGGTTGTGGATCAGGACACGGGACCTAAGCGTGTTAGTGTTGGTGAAACGCACCACATTGAAGAGTCTGGAACGGCAAAGGCAGTTTAAATTCTCCATGAAAATTGGTAATATAATGCAATTGCAAGCTAGAAGTGCATGGATATTCAAATTTTCTTCGAATTGTACTCCGTATAAGTAGTCAGGAATATATTAAGAGGAGAATTTCCCTCCTCTGAAGGTTAAATTGTGGCTTTTTTGTTTTGCCTTCTTTGAACTACCGAAGCCACAAAGTAAAACAAATCATTGCATATTAGGCTGAAATATTTAAATTGGACCTTGTAACGTAGCTCGTGTTTTGCCCCCATTTCAGCCCTGAGTTCATGTAGAGAGTAGTCTAGAGATCATATCTTGAATGCATAATTCACCGTTCGACCGGTGGTTAATGATTGGCGCTCACATGTCAATTCTCTAGAGCTCTAGTATCTAATCCCTAATAGTGCTTCATGGGTAGCGTTTGATAGGCTTTAAACTCTACGGGGACTATCAAATGTAAATACCGAAGCTAGTTACCATAGGGGAAGTACAACATTGAATCACGTATTTGGAACGATTGCCGGAATCGGGAGGCCATTTGCCACGTACTTTTGGTACATCTATTTTGACCTGCATTCTTTGTATGTTTTTGAATCTTTCTAGTAATTTCGGATATAACTCGGAATCAAAGTGGAAAACCATGTTAACAGGCTCGAACTAGTTTAACGTTAAAAACTGACCGGATTTCCGACAGTCAGGAACACGAGGGTCCGAGCCACACTACATAGTTCGCACAATGGAATTCGAGAGCCTTAGGAACCTTGGATTGTATATCCTAGTATATTAATTTATATTAATTGATCTACCTTATTGAGTAGTAGAGGCAATTGGGGGAGTGGAAAGATCTGGTGCAAATCTCGGATCCGATCGTGGAAATTTAAGAAAAAATAAACATTTCAAAACCAAGATACTGGGAACTGACATTGACATCTCCGGGGAGCTGAAAAACTCAGAATTTTCACGTGGGTTAAAATTCCCCTTCCGGGATCTAAGGTAGATAGGTATGGAGTTCAACCGCCAGGTCATCCAGACCGGGGGGAGGATTTGTTGTCATGGCGCATAAATGTGGCTAATGGAAAACCATCTTAACCAGTCAAGACTGTTGGTGCCTATATTATGCAGTTCAGCGCGTGTACTTTACTAACAAGCTGAAGTAAGGGGGGTAATGATCGGCAACCTGTGTGGCTTAGCCATTGTGGCAACGGTAACTCGGCTCTCGAGTTATTCTTATGGGTGTCTCACAAAAAATAACAAAAAAATAAAAATAAAATAAAAATAAAAAAAAAATAAAAAAAAAATAAAAAAAAAGAGTGACGAGTATATTCACCTTCTGGGCATTGATGATGTTATTTGGTACACATCCCCATTGAATGGTTCAGAAGGCCCGAGCAATGATCAAACCATGGATTGATAAAGTGTATCAAAGCCTAATTAGGACTAAACCATCCCAAAGATCTGTTACAGTCTATACCAAATACTGTTTAGCGGATATTCATTCTCCGCTCTCTTTGATCGACCTGGACCCTTGCGATTTTCACTGTTCTGGAATGGTTTCATGCATCGGGCTCCCCGTATTAGGTTGTCACATTTAACCCTAGACCTTTTTTATTTTACTTGACAGGGGGCAAATAACGATGACGCTAATGTTTACTCCGAACGATGTGGCTACGAGGGGAAAAAAAAAGGTTGCCTCCTATTACAAATTAGATCGTGAAGTATAGAAGACTTGCATTGTCCGCTGTTAATCTCAACTTTGAAAATCGTCCCCGCTCATACAGTGTTCCATTTCCATATGGGCCCCACGAACATACAACATACCCACAACCTGTATCGCGGAGTACCCAACCCCTTTTTGAAACCATTCGATTTTCCTGACCAGTGGCTCCTTTTTCACTTGATCTTCTTGCTCTCTCCCCTCAAAGACGAGGAGGTGAATGCACTTCACTTCAGTGCGCCTCGACCTTTATCCTACATCTATATCTATGGCCTCATCCCGTTCAACAGGCAAGCGCCTCCCCATCAGCTGCCAGGCCTGCCGAACACGAAAGATCCGATGCTCGCGCGACGGCCGGCCATGTCAAACATGTGTACGGCGCGGTCTAGGCGCAGAAGATTGCATCTACCTCGGTCAGCCGCGACTTTCAGCTGAGCAATCCTCGCCCGGTGATAGCGTGGTACAGAACGAACTGCTGGCCCGAATTCGCAATCTAGAAGCCATGCTCCAGAAGCAGATGACCTCGCACGCCAGCACACCCACCGGTGGGGCAGTCTCGCCACTAGGAGGGACGAGTGCAGCTGGTAGTTTCTCCGAGCCTGATAATGGCTCTGGATTGGAGACTTGGGACTCCTTCGGCCCCATGTTGGATAATGTTGGCACGCTTCATACTTCTCCTTCTGGCCATGTACGCTATGTGCCACTAGCTTCCCAATGGGAGTCTCTAGTGGCGAAAAGTCCCGCTGCGGAGTGTTTGCAGAATTTTGATTCGGATGCCGCAGAGGACGATGATGATTTGCAAATTCCGCTGGCGAAGAATGGGAGTATATCGCGTGCCGAGCTGTTGGCGATTCTCCCGCCTGGTCGGTATTGTGATACTCTGAAGGATGTTTATTTTCAGGTGTTTTCTACTGTATGTCGTGTGGACAAATATGAGGGGACGCTAGCTGACAAAGCGTTAGGTTTTTCATATTCTTCACGACCTGACGTTCGAAGCTGAGTATCAGCATTTCTGCCATGATCCAGGTAGCGTGTCTACATCATGGCTGGCTTTGCTGTTCGCAATTCTGGCTATTGCTGTAAGCGCACTAGATGATGATCATCCTCTGCTGTCTGATCTGGGACGAGAGCGAGCGGTTAGCCGGAATATCAAAGTGCTGTCAGCAAGATATCGATCCGCCGCGTTGCGGTGCCTTGCTGTCGATGGGGTGATATCACGACAATCGATCAATTCATTACAAGCTTTAGTACTCATAAATTACGCCCGGGTCCACCGCGGTCTACCGATCTGGACATTGCTAGGATTCACACACCATGTTGCAATATCAATGGGTTGTCATTTAGACCCGGAGCGGTTTACTCTTGGGCCAATTGAGCGAGAAGAGCGACGGCGGGTCTGGGCTGGATTAATGATGCTGTACACCGTCCAAAAAACAGCATTTGGAAGCCTCGACCAGCAGACTATAACGCAAGACGTGAAAATGCCCGCAGACATTGACGACGTCGACCTACTCACCAGTCCAAGCTCAAAAAGACCAGCACCTTCGCCATACCCCCGCCCAACACAAATGACCTACCTCCTTTTGAATTTCCGACTATACAGAATCTCTTCGAAGGTTTGCGAAACGATATTCAGCTACCCGAATACATCCCGCTTCACCATCTCCCACCTGGAAGCCGAGATCATATCCGTCCGTGAAATGGTCGACGCCCGCTATACACCCGATACAAACAAGCCCCTGCTCGTTCACCACCAAGCCAACCACCACATTCTTTACAGCCAGATCCACCAACTCCTCCTCCTCCTTCTCCGTCCAAGTCTCTGCCGCTACCTCCAAGGCGAGATTACACCTGAAACATGCGCTACAAGGGCAAAGTGCATCGCTTCCGCCAAGGCTTCACTTTCGATCTTTGAAACTCTCCTCGAAACACCATCGTTCAAGCCCTACAAATGGTATACCGGCGGACTAGGCAGTTTTCATGCGTTCCACGCTGCAGTCACATTAGCTGTCATCCTGCTCATTCCTGAGGGCCAGCACGAGTATGAAGAGCTCAAAGATATCCTCGATCGAGCACTAGATATGTTCGCCTCGCTGTCGGTCCGCAGTGTTTTCTGCAGCAAGGCTGTTCCTATAATTCGACAGATGATGTATGTCCAAGTTACACCCCACCCTTCGTTCTTTTCCCGGACCAGTCACTAACATACAATCAGTGACGTTGCCTCATCGAAATACAACCCCCAATCACTCAGCCACTCTCAATCCCACCTCCAAGCCCAGGCCCAGGCCCAAGCCCAGGCTCAAGTCCATCACCAACAAAACCAAGCCAATATCCAATCACAGCCCCACAACCACCTCCTACCAAGCATTCAACCCCCACTCTCAATGCCAAACCTCTCCTCGGGGATGACAATGCAGGACAACTATGCCCTCTCACACTCACACTCTCAATCCGGATCGCCGGTGCCAACTATTGCATCGACCTCCAGTGAACACACCATGCATTCCGGTTTTGGGCAGATGCATCCACAAAATTGGATTGGTCCGACCTCTGTTCCGTGGGATACGTTAGGGCCTGCCACTGGGGGGTATGGGTTCGATTAGAGACGCGATGTGACGGGATGACTTCTTGATGACCATTTAAATTTCAGGTTTCGACAACTTAGGATCCGAGATTTCGGCGTGGAGCATACTGGCATTGGTAATTTGGGTAACTTATTCTCTTATAATGTTTGATCATGAATCATATGAGCTATGAACAGATGGAAAAGCGTCTCTGAATCAACTATACCTCTAACCACAACTATTCTATTTATAATATGATAATCCCCGAACCCATTCTACCTAAACCGTACTGGATTACATAAATCTAGGGCTGTCCCATGAACCCAGGAGCCCCCCAAGACTTTCGCTGCATAACAGCAAAACCCGTTGCTTCCTCCCCATCAACCGGTCGATTACATACCATAAGCTCCATATCCATAACCTTCTCATAAAACGGCACCGACCGCTTCCAATCCCCAGTAAGCAGTAGCGATCTCCGTAGGTAAGGCATCGACTCAATAACCTCCTGCACGCAGGTTACAAGCCATGTTCCCAGTCCGAGGCCCTGGCGCGAGGAAAGGACAAAGACGTCTGTCAAGAAGAGGAATGTTGTGTAGTCTGTAATGCAGCGTGCGAAGCCGACGAATTCGAGTGACTCTGACGGTGCCCCGTTCTCTGATATTTCATCTGGCTGACTTTGATTTGGATTGTGGTAAAGCCCGAAACAGAGAGAGTTTTGTAATGTTTCGCGCAAAGCGGGCTCTGGCATTGGCTTTGCCCAGTAGAATTCTTCGCCGGCGTACCAGGTGTTTAGGGTTTTGATGGGGATTAGGGATATGTCGGTTGAGACTAAATATTCTTCCTTTGTCCAGGATTTGGGTTGGTTTCGTATCTCGGATGTAGACATTTTTGAATCTTCGGGTAGATGTTAGTACATTTGGTGAAATTATTGGTGTTAGGGCTCACTATTTAGCTGTCTTGGGCAGTTTTGATGTAATGAGAAACACAGTAGAATGGGAGCTATGGATACGTGTTGTATTGGAGCAAAATGAACAAATAAATTGATATGGGGAGACGGGGGACTTTTAATATGGAGTTACGTGACTCATGAAGTTCATAATCTTTGCCAAGTAATAGTTAATTAATCCGAATATCTTGAGATCTTTTAGGCGAAAGATTAATCGATTTACTTATCAAAGGGCGCCTTCCAATGACATAGAGGGGAAAAAGATTATGTCGAGCACTGCATTGATACGCTGAAAGATGATGTGCTGAAGCGGGAAGTTCAGATGATTGTAAATGTGATGCGGCCTATATCGTAAACACCTTTGACAGGACTATTCATTAAGGACTTCTAGAGGGGATTGAATTCGGTTTTCGACCCCCACTGGCGAGGGCGCCAGCAGTTTTTCGAGGGGGGCAGATGTGAGGGCTTACCTAGTTACCTAGACCTGATGGATGACTAAAGGAGGATCACTAATATCTTACTAAGCTCTGGGAGCCAATGTACCTTATCTTACGTAGCTCCGACAGAACAATATCATCATCTTGATTCCTCCGAGCAGATTCCATAACATATATTATCCAGTGTACAATATTACTAATGTGAAATATCGAAGTTGTAATATTGGCCGTCACGTCATTAATACGCCGTGATCAAAACAATAACAGGCAAAAATGTGATCGCCTTTCTCTTTTTACCAGTCTTGAGTGCTTGTCTATCCTACCTACCTGCCTTCTCACCTCCTTCTCACTTCCCACTCTACCTTCTCACCCACCATGGACTTCCTTCGATCCACCTCGGACGCCGCGTCCCAGTCTTCATCTTCTGAGCTTTCATATTCTGAGTTCTCGTCAATTGAATCTAAATCTGAGGATCCTCTTGCGCAACTGGCGAAGGAAGTGAAGCAGCAGCCATTCACCACCAACAAGAGCTTACGAAATTCCTTGGAACGCTGTGAACGAGCGCTTCAGCAAGACCAAACTCAGGATCAGTACCTCGTCTTCACGTCTGTCCCCCCGGCGCAATCTTCCAGACTGAGTGATGATCGGTCGCGAACAAGTAAGTACTGTCGATTATTTTACAACGCAGAAACGGGAATCTTGATCGCGAAAGTCATGCCGAACCTTGCACACCAACTGGCAATAAGATCATTTGATGAGCTGATTTCTGCCGAGCTGCGTACGATGAACGTCCATCGTGACGTATGGCCTGTCGGCTCGACAACATTTACGGTTGGAGATTGGAAAAAGGAGGCTGACTGCAGTTGGGCTCCGGCTTCGGCAATTGTAAGGCCGAGTTTTGTGGTAGAGGTAGGATTGTCTGAATCTGCGCGACAACTTTCGCTTGATGCGTACGGTTGGCTTGTGACTTACTCCTCATCTGTGAAACTCGTGATTACGATCAACATCAACCGCAAGGATCCCGAGATCATCTTACACCGATGGGAACTTGTTCCCCGAGGATATGACGTCCTTGCAAGGTCATCCCTTTCAGCGCGTCGTACTGCATTCCTTAAATTATCTCGAACGAATAACACAACATCTGTTACCGGAGAGTCCTACATAAATGGCACAAGTACGACTACTACACAGCTAGATCTACCCTTCGACAAGATTGTTGGCCGTCCTCCTCACCAGCCCCTAGAGAGAGACTTCGTGATACCCGGGCAAGAGCTGAGAACTTTTGCCGAGGATATCTGGAGTGCGCAGAGTTTCCTATAAGTCGTCTCGAGTCTGCCATGTTCGTTGGCCACTAAACGGCAGACCTCATGGAAGACGATGTTCTACTCACGAAGGATGTGTTGATTCGAAAGATTTCTGGGGAAGTGCGTGACTGCTCGAGACTCAAGCCAGGGGTCCCACATAATATCCGGCCTGGATTGCTGATGTCTTACGTTTATGATAATGATGACTGTTCTGTTTGTAACGTTACTTGACTATCGTGGGCCTCTGTATGATAATATTGCTGCTTTGTCTGGCCCATCTTTCTCCCTTTATTTTTCTCTGCAACCCTGTTGTTTTGGTTAAGAATGTACTTTATCAATCAAAATGTATTGCTTTCAAGCTGCGAATAGTGTGAGGGCTTAGGCAGGCCTGATGGATGACTAAAGGAGGATCACTAATATCTTACATAGTACTAAGCTCTGGGAGCCGATGTACCTTGTCTTACGTAGCTCCGACGGAGTACCTAGGTGATATCATCATCTTGATTCCTCCCAGCAGATTCCATAACATATTGGTAGCATGTCCTGTTGATACCAGAGGTCCTTCTGGTAGAATAGTCTATTCAATTGTCATTGAATTCTACCTGCTCCCCATGCCCCTGGGTCACCAGCGGTGTGGGAGCCTTCACCAAGATCAACCTCTTCCTCCCCAGCTCCCCCCATCTTTTTCCCACCCCCACGGGGTACCCCTGTCGAACGCGTCATCGACGCCGCATTGTCAGCGTCATACGCACCCCACTACTTCCATCTGGTTCATCTCTAAGGAGACCCAGCCTCAGCACTGAGCGCCTCAGCTACGAGAACCTAAACCGCCGGATCGCTCAGGTTGTTCAGCAGCGGCAGGAAGGAAAGGGCAAGCAGCGTCAGACACAAGCCCAGCGCCCAGGAGGAGAGGCCTGATAGCCACCCCCACTCCTGCAAGCAAGCCTAGTTACTCCAATACTATTAATAACTTATTTACTCTAGGAAGTATAAAGTGATTAAGCTTAGATATAAGCTTAGATATTAAAACCTCCCAACCTTATGAGACACAGACCCGCATCGCTATTCTGTACACATCTGCCGCTTCTGGTGGTGCTTTCTCGGGTTTGTTACCATTTGGCCTCGCTAAAATGAATGGTATTGCTGGCTATGAAGGCTGGCGTTGGGTTTGTTCCTTCTTATCTCATCCGCTTGGTTCCTAGCTTCTAATAACCATGCTAGATCTTTATAATAGAAGGTCTTTGCAACCATTGCCATGGCCGTCGCTTGTTATTTCCTCTTTCTAGACTCGCCATCATTGTCTCCAGGCTGGCTCACTTCAGACGAGATCCGATATCTTGAAGTGCGGCAAGTAGCCTCCAATAATCACAGCGGTCACCACAAAAGCTTCGATAAGCAAATAATCTTCAGCGTTCTTTTAGATTGGAAGATTTATCTTCTCATATTTTCTACCTGGTCCAATGCTGTTCCCAGCTATGCACTCAAATCCAGCATGCCAGAGATCATCAAATCCATGGGCTACGAATCAGCCAACGCCCAGCTCCTGACCATACATCCAAATGCTGTGGGCGCTGCATCAGCTTACGGTTTTTCCGTGGTCGCCGATCGGTTCTCATGGAGAATGCCCTTCATCGTGGCACCGCAGTGCTCACTTATAGTCGCATTCGGAATATTATTTTCCAAGGCTGTCAACATCGAGAATAACATAGCACTGTGCTACTTCAGCATTTGTCTCGCTTGTTTCGGGATGTATCCCATTCTTCCCGGTGTCAACGCTTGGAATGTCTGCAACATTCCAGATCCTCAAAAGCGTGCTGTGGCCATTGGGTATTTAATTTGCGTGGTTAACGTGGGTGGGATTATTGGGAGCTACATTTACAAAGCTGACGAGAAGCCGAGATATCCCACTGGCTATGGCACTTCACTTGCGTTCGCTGCTGCTGGAATCATGGCTTGTTTGTCCTTGGAGTTCTGTCTGTGGAGTGCAAACAAGAAGAAAGCTCTGATGACTACGTCTGAGATTGAGGATAATTATACTGAAGATCAGCTTCGTGGGATGGAGGAGAAGAGCCCTCTTTTCAAGTATAGCTTATGAGATACTCCCATTATCATATACAGATTTACAATGAGACTCTCTGTGCGTAAAGTGGTGACCATGGTGGCTCAAAAGATTAGTGCCGATTTCGGACAACTGGTGAATAGGTGGCAATGGTATAGCGATGTTACTTTTACTTCTACCTAATTCGACTTTGGTGAGGCGTTTGTTGAAATGGAGGGATATTTCTGCTTTGTTGGCGGCATCGAGGAATATATCCATCAATTCTGTACTACGAGTCCTCAAGTACCCAAACCCTAGTCTGCTGTAAACCTGGTACATAGGACCTTTCAGTCTTATGTTACATATTTGAACTGAATAAATGACATGCTCCTGCTCATTCGTAAAAAACCAGACATCTAACTTCAATGCTTTGCCTCCCCGGTGATCCAGCAGGAGTCTGTGGATCAAAGAAAGCAGTATGTCCCGACCCATGAGCAATATCCGTCTTCCCCTCAGTCATCATATGGCTTCTCGAATCGAAACACTTAATGAACATGACTTCCTCCGGTGTCATATCCTTGGCGTAGAAGAAACGATGTTTCTCATTAGGAGCGATAGCATAAGTTTCTCCCTTAACCTCATACCCCTCCGTAGAGAAAATCGACTCAGAATCAGGCGCTACCTCTCCACTTTCCTGCCACTCCTTCGGATAAAGAAGATCTACCTTGACAAAATCAGAAGGAGCAATGCTCCTCCAATCAATCAGCGCCAATGGGAAATCAGAAGCCGGATTCTCAATCGGACGCCAGACATTGATAATCTGGTATCGACCCTTCAACAGCTCCTCTACTTCATCCTCAGGGAGGTGCCGACGCACTCTCGCCTCAGCAGCTTTGGGCGTTTGGTCCACGTGAACCAGCTGAACAGGACTGCGCGCTGAGCCTGGCGTTCGTCGCCGGATGGTATGGTCGAAGATGGCTACTTTTTTCACGCCGGGCAGTTTCTTGCGGAGGAGGTCTTCTACTTCCGCGTAGTACCCCGCTCGTACTTCAGCGTCGTCGGTGAATGCGGTCTCCTTCGCTGGTGAGTGGTATAAAGCGAAGCCAGAATTGTCGGTTGTGAAGTTTGACTCTTGGCCTCGGAGGTCCTCGACTTTGCGCTCCAGTTCTGTGAGTTGGTAGGAGCGGCCTGGTCCGTCAACTTTGCCCCACGCCTTTTTGAATGGCTCTGTGGCGTTGGGATCGTACGAAGCTGGGTCGATGTATCTGAATGCTGCTGTCGTCATTTTTATGATGCTAAAAATGACGCGCTGGTGCGATTTGACGGTTTAGATTAAAGGTTTTGCGATGTTGAGGTTACCGAATGAGTTTCGCTTGTCGATGAGAGTAGGTAGTGGGGCTGTTGGAGTCTCTGAAAATGAGAGGAAATGTATTTCCCCAGTTCGATAATACTGATATGTGACGTTTAGAAACGAACTGCGTTTTCTAACCTATATATATATATAAATAACGAAGTATGAGGCGAGGTTAGATTGGAAATCCAGTGATTATTAATTGTTTTTTATGACGGGAGGTCGGAGACATTTGAAGGTTCTATCGACAATTACCCCGATGCGAAAATGATTTCAAATTTTCAAAGCAAATCAAATTTGGATGATATTATGACATCAAATTCATTTTTAGGAACCTTACTAGAGGTATAGAACTAATATGTAATCAAGGCCATTCTCCACGGGTCCACGGGTGTAGAAATTGCACGTCATGAAATCTCAGGCATCAACTAAATATTCAGGCATCAACACGTGATGTACCAACCCACCTTCCTCTTTCGGAAGCATATTATGTCTTTATGCTTCTCTACATATTCTCTACATTTACAATAATAGTCGGCCGTATAAGCGGGCTTGTCATGTCTTTTCAGTGACCTTTTAGTAATCCTTTCAGATATTATTCTATTTAGGTGTCTTCAGCTTTATAGGTCGACGGCGGCGGAAAGAGCCTCAATTTGTGCAATGGACATTCCTAAGTATAACTTTCACAAAGACTATAGTATAAATATGAAGTAGACCAAAAGCACATAGAAACATCTTGTCTTTTCAACCAAGATAAATATTCGATGATAGATCTACAAAAATTGAAAACATCAGGCGATTTCAGCAGCATTCTAGGATTGTCGACTCTTTCTATGATTCTGACTGTATCATGATCTAGTGGAGGATATCAAAACCTGTAGCCCGCATTTAATTTATATGTTAGATTTGGGTACTGGAGTCCATGACACTGTCACTTGACATTGTACTCTACAATGTAGATAGATAGAGATGAATGATACTTGGTGGAAACATCACATAGGTCGACTTTATCCCCGCATCTTCACGAGCTTGTCTCTGTGCCACTTCTATATTCCCCGAATACTACACTGGACATTTTGAAATAACCTAATCCAGCCAGCCACCTGAGGTTGTTGGTTGTTGCAAGCTTGATAGCCAATTACTACCTTCCTTGAACGCACGGTCTTGGATATGCGGGAGACTCGACTCCAAGCGGGATCAACTGCTTTATTGAAGAGGTATCAAATGATACCTTATACAATGATCGACACTGTATGCTGAGGGTTGTGGAAGTCGCACTTTTTCCCGACAGTGCTAGCGTGGGAGATTCTATGCCGGGTGTGTTGTTGTGATCCGAGGAATTCCACACCACAAGAAGTGGGCCGGATAAAATCTCTCGTGAGCCAACATACTTAGCTTGGCCAGGCAACTCGTGACCTCATTTTCTAGAGTCATTCTTCATGCGTTGGCACTTTGGCAGTCTGTGCAAATGCTTGGCGTGATAACTGGTGCCCATCCCCATCAATGTTCACACTTATCTATGATATAGGCGTAAAACACAATGCTATCACTGTCAATATGGGCTGCTGGTGCCTATTTTTACTTGGAGGTGCCTGCCAATCCAGTTTAGGCGACCAATCACAAATGGATTACGGGGACGATGTGACGATCGCCAATCGGGTGCATTTTCATTATTGACATTATTCCCCGCTCTGTGTGTTAATTTATATGACCCCGCAACTGTAACTACCACTCTCCATATTCATGATTCTAGATAGGACTCCGTTGAGCCGAGATTTCCAGAGCAACACGTGGAAGGGGATATTGGAAACTGGATTGTTCTGAGGAATGCCAGGGATATTTGGTTAAAAACATATAAGACACCAAATCCTTTGATTCGATCTCACAAAATCAAGCACTCTGCCTAGTCCTTGAATTTGACCATCCCCTTGATTCATAATGAATCTCAGTGCACTTCTTGGTCTGTTGACCTTTGCGGCGGCAGTCTCCGCAGATCCAAAGGCCCGACAATCTCCTCATTCTTCAGATTCCATCGCTAATCTGAAGAGCAAGATCAAGCATGTTGTCATTTTGGAAATGGAAAACCGCTCTGTGGACAACCTGCTTGGCGGGCAGACTCTTAAGGGACTGGATAACCCCATCAACAACGGTCCTTTCTGCAACCCATACAACTTGACCGATCTCTCAGCTGGGACAGTGTGTAGCGCTGCTAAGGACTTTGACTCCGTTCTAGATGATCCCGATCACTCGGTGACTGGAAACAATATCGAGTTCTATGGCACTTTTGCCCCTAGCAATACCCATATTGCCCAGGGCAAGCTCACGCCCAGGCAGCATGGCTTTGTGCACGAACAGCTGCGTAGCTATGGCGATGATGCCGACAAGGCTTATTTAGCCAAACAGGTCATCAACTACTATATTGAGGACGAGGTGCCGGTAATGACCGAGCTGGTGCAGAACTATCTCACCTTCAACCACTGGCATTCGGACCACCCCGGCGTAAGTCCGCTAAATTCATTTCCATACTCTATACCCGCCGTGTATAGCTTTTAACATGTGTAAATAGCCCACCAACCCCAACCGGGCATTTGTACTCTCAGGTACATCCGCTGGACACGGCACCAACGATAACGACTTCAATGTCCACGGCCTCACTCAGCGTTCCATCTTCCAGCAGCTCTCAGAAACCAACCACACTTGGAAGAACTACTACACAAGCTCCAATATGGTTGACGCCTACTTCTTCGATTGGACCTTTACAAGTGGCAATTCCGACAAAGCAGTTCCCCTGAGTGACTTCTACGCCGATGCGGCAGCCGGAAAGCTCCCAGAATTTTCCTTTGTTGATCCTAACTGCTGCGGGGTCGGCACAAACTCAATGCACCCAACTGGGCTTGTCTCGGATGGCGAACTGCTCATCAAGAATGTCTACGACGCAGTCCGCTCTAGCCCGCAGTGGGAGGAGACGCTAATGATCCTCACCTTTGATGAGACGGGCGGTTTTCACGACCACGTCCCACCCCCGCTGGCTACTCGCCCGGATGACCTGACCTACACTGAGATAGCTCCCAGCGGCGAGAAGTATACGTTCTCCTTCGATCGTCTCGGTGGTCGAGTCCCGACTCTCTTGATCTCGCCTTGGGTTGCTAAGGGTCAAGTTGAACAGAAAGGCACTAACTCGGATGGCAAGACCGTGTCTTACTCTGCTTCTTCAATCCTGCGCACCCTCGGCTATCTCTGGGAATTTGAGCCTTTCACGCCTCGCGTTAAATCATCGCCTTCATTTGAGCATCTCATTCAGAATACAGCACGCACTGATACCCCTCTTACAATGCCGATTCCTAAGGCCTTTAGAAAGACGGAGATTTAGAATAGTGCTGTGGTACTGGTTCGTACATTGATTGTGTATAAAGGAAGTTCAGCTTAAGGATAGTTGCAATACATGACAATGACTATATCAATTCTGTTTGCGTGCAAGGTTTTCTTTTTCTTTTTTTCCCTCTGGGAAGTGAAGAGGAAGAAGATGGGAAACGAAGGGGGGTTTGTACCACACAGAACCTTCCTAGGTACTATGTAGTTGCAGGTCACCATAATTTGAAGGGGTGAACCAATGTTGAAATATATAAGCTAGTTGAAATTTAATCGTTGCGGTCATTCCTCATACCTATTCGAAAACTTTCAATCCCTTACGATGACGAGATAGACTTAATTTGGAAGTTGCACCACTAGCTCTGATAAATTGAAATCAAAAGGAAACGTGACGATGAACCCTGAATTCAGCACTGCCATCTGACACAACATATGCAATACGAGTCCAAAGTCTGACAGAGATTGACATTAAGCACCAAACGTCATTTAGTACCTTTTGCATTGTCTCGGTCGTCATCCATGCTTGGTAGTCTTGAAAGATAGATCTAACAAGCGCTACCCAATAATACTGACTCTTTGTGAGCAAGCCTCCTATCTAATTTGAGTATACTTTCATAACCGGTAAATAAACCTTGTGGCGTTTGAAGGGTCGAAGAGGTGGTATATGCATTCTGCTTTTTGCCTTTTGTATACGTGAAGGGGCTTAAATTATTTGTACACTTATCGATATTGACTTCTCACTGTATAATCTTCCTTCTATTCGATGGGGGCGAAGTAATAAACTCAGCCTTGTTATACCCGTACCAACTGGTGGCTATAAGCTTACTGCCAAGAGCCGCACCCCCGGGTTGCACATTGGCCAGGCTAACCCTACTATTAGTCTTTATCAATCCGGTGATTCCGTTAAGTAAACTTGAGTTTTCGAGGCTTTCACCAAGACTGGTTTCATTGGCCGCTATTGGCTACCCGTAAACATGAGATGCTTGTTGGAAGGAGGACATTCCATGAATTATCATGATATATAAGCATAGAGAAGACAGAGATGAAATAATTATGCCAAAGTGACAGGTATTTGTGCTTTTTGCCCATACGGAGAGTACCCGTGGATATACCGAGAACGCCCCGTAGAAACATTGACGTCATCCGCGGGGCTACAAAGAAAGAGGCCGCTTTAAATTTGACGCCTCTTATTGCCCGGGTGGATGTGTAAAATATTGGGGCTACATCTAAGTCTTTGTACTCCATATGATGTCAACTCTTGGAATGGATCTTCTTCACTATATACCTATTCTATACGGAGTACTCCGGTATAAAATAATAATTTTGAAGTGGCAACAAAAAATATTAACCTGAGACGGATTATCTATAGATCTGTAGCTAATCTATTACCATGTCAGCTAAAACTGTAGGAAACTGTTCTCATGACTGCATATAATGCCGGTCTTCTAGACTTGGTAAATGTACCTGTCAATGCACCTGACATTTGGAATGCAGGTAAGGCTGCATCTAAAGTACGGTTATGTTGTACAGTATGTTTACTGTAAATATTTACTAGTTTACTAGTATATGTATGTATCAAGATAGTGTATTCAGAACCTTGGGTCACAAATTAAAGAACCATGGAATTAACCCGAACCAGTCAACAGAACCCATGGGTTGAAACACGGGAAGAAACCAAATAAGAACAAAAGTAAACAAAATACTTCTAATCTAAGCCACGATAAGTGTTTGTTTCAAGGTTGAATATATTCAAAAGAGTTGAATACTGGTGTTTTGCCACAGCCCCCCGGGCAAAAGTGCCCTCGTTTTGAGAGCCTCACGTGGCTGCCTTTATCTTCTTTGCCTCTGCTCTCTTTTTTTTCTCTTTATCTTCATCTTTCATCTTCCTACGCTAATTTACCAGCTCTCTCTTCTCTAAATTCTTTTCGAGTCTACAGTGCTGCAGATCATTCTGAGGCTGAGCCGAGTGTGTGCCGATACTCCGCTCTCTGCCCTACAGAAGATCCGTGACTTTCATCATCCTGAATCATCATCCAAAACCCACCTGGGCTTTCGCTGGCTTTTCTTGGCTTTGAATTTGTTTGGCTGAGAGGATCGTTACCAATCAGAATTATCTGGGCAGGCTTTTACTAGAATCATCTTTGACCATTAGTCGATCACCCTCTCTACACACCCCCACTTCCCTGCCGCCCCCCTCAATTTCCTGCATTGTGCATCTTACTTCTTCTGCCCTTTCACTTCTTACTTCTCGACTCATTTCCCAATTATTTCCCATTCCTCACACCTATCGCGTCTCATGTCGTACACTTACAGAGACCGCGAACGAGACTGGGACGAGACCCGTCCCGTGTCAATCAAACGCTACGTCATTCCTTCTGAAGATGACCGTCGAGACTTCATGTCGAGACACGATGACTCTTTCGGCGAACGCGAGGTGGTAATTCGGCGCAAAACGGATCGCGAAGAGCCCGTGACCGTCTCGCGCTACGAGCGAGAGGTGGAGTATGAACCACCCTCGCGGTATGAGAGAGACCATTACGATCGTGAGTACCTACATCCCAATATCAATCATCCACACTCTCGATCCATGGATTCTTTGGAACGAATGGAGCAACCCAATACTTCCACAATTACCACTCGAAAACAATCCGTACTTATTCGTGAAGCCCGCACTGCGTATACCAGTCCCCGTGAATCCGAGTATGATGTCGTGCGCCGCTCTGAGGCCGACGAGGACCCGTACTATTACCACCGCCACCGTCGAGTCCGCGAGTACGACGAACCTCGCTCCCGACGTGAGCTGAGCCCTGATGATTCCATCTCCCAGACTAGTCGTCGTCGCCGCGGCGATCGCGAGCAAGACTACAGCAGCGATGACAGCATGGTCTACATCCGAAAGGAAACTCGCGACTATGATGACCACCCTCACCACCGTCGTCACATGGCAGAGGGTGCATTGGTAGGTGCTGGCGCGGCTGAATTGTTCCGCAGTCATAGCAAAAAGGATGGCGACGTCAGCCATGGCGTCAGCCGTATTGGTAAGACTGTCGGTGCCGGTGCCCTCGGTGCTGTCGCTGTAAATGCCGCATCACATGCTCGCGACTACTACCGCCGTAGTAAGAGCCGCCACCGTTCTCATTCCTTTGAAGATGACCGTTCTTCCTATCGCCACAGCAGACATGGCCGGAGTCGTCACAGCCGGAGCCGCAGCCGCTCCCACTCCCACTCTCGTGCAAAGACTCTACTCGAGTTGGGAGTTGGTGCCGCAGCTGTTGCTGCTGGTGTGGCTGCATTGCGTAGCAAGTCGAAAGCTGGAGACCGGAAAAGCCGATCCCGCACTCGCTCCCGTTCTCGGGGCATAAGTCGGGGCCGTTCGGAGAAGGATGGAGAACATGGTGAGCGCAGCATGTCTGAGCGCCGCAAGCACATGGCTGGCGCTGGCTTGGCCGGTGCGGCTGTGGCAGGCCTGGTTGAAAAGGTCCGCAGCCATTCGCGCTCTCGAAAGGGTGAGCGCTCCCGCTCCCGCAGTCGTATAAGACAAGCCCTTCCCATTGTCGGTGCTGGCCTCGCCACCGCTGCTGCCACGGGTCTCTACGAGAAGAAGAAGAGTGACAAAGAAGAAAAGGACGGTTCGAGCCGGGGCCGCCATCGTTCAAGGTCTCGCAGCCGCGCCCCGTCACAGTCCTATCCCGATCCAGCTCGCGACTCGACCGGCCTGATCGAATACGGCAACGACCCAGTCGCAGGTAGCATTCCATCTGAGCACTACTACGGTCAGCGCGGTGCGCCCTACGACGCACAGGATGCATACGGCCCCAGACGCCACACCCGCAGCCGCAGTCGTAGCCGAGCGCGCTACAGTAGCTCATCTGGTTCTGATCGCGAAGGTCGCCAACGAGGCAAGAAGCACCGCAGCCGCTCAAGAGATCTCGCGGGCGCCGCTCTAGGTGCAACAGGGCTCGGATATGCCGCACACAAGTACAATGAACGTCGTAAGTCCAAAGAGCGCGAGCGCGAGTACAGTAAGTCCCCATTTCCCCTAATCTTTTATCGAGAAATATTCACCCTGACTAGTGGTGTAGAGCATGACGACAACGTCCACCGTGATCCTTATGAAGAATCCTACGACCCAGAACCATACCCGCTTTCCCCGCAGGCGGCCCCGGGCGCCCCGCCCATGGCTGACCCCCACTACCCCAACAATTATTTCCCACCTGGCGACTCAACCTATAACCTGAATGGCGGTACCCCTGCTCCCTACAACCCGGCAGACTATCCCCCTCCACCATGTGCTGCCCCGCCTCAGCCTTATGCCTATGGCGCTGTGCCAGGACCAGGACCGGGACCCGAGCAATACGCACCTCGGCCGCGTAGGGCTGAAGACAATGTGAGCAGCTCCTCCCTACCTACTGATGCAAACCACGCGCACAAGGGTGGGTTCAATGAACCACAACTGTGTATAGAGTGGAATAAAAGCTAATCTCCAATCGGCAGGTCTAAACATCCACCCATTTCCAACGACTCACCGGTCAACTAGCCAACCGCCACAAGTCTCAAAATCCGTCGCTTTCGACTTGACGGATTCCCCACAGGATCCTGGCTATGAGACTGATGATAGTGACTCGACCGTTGAACGATATTCATATTCTCATCGCGGAGATAGAATCCACAGTCGCGAGCGAGATCGTGATAGCCATTATCATCGTCGCCGCTCTTCATCCGTCCCCTTTCCACCTATGCCTTATCCCAGTCCCCCTTCTAGTCATCATCGATACCATCCATCAGCCCCGAAAACTCTTGAGAAAAGAGACCAGAACAAAGTCCCCGAAGTAGAATCTGACTCAACTGTCGACCTACCCAGCCGCTTTGATGAGCAAGGCCGTCTTCTTCACGAGCGGGATCCTGCTGTGGATAAATTCGAGGACCTGGTGAACAAGTTTACCAAGGTTCTGTTCTAGCGGGTGGCCGTGTGATGTTTCATCCTTCCCGCTATCCTCGTTGTTCCCCTTTGCTTTATGGCTATTTCTTCTGCTTTAGATGGTTTTTCTGCTTTGATCAACTTTATTTCTTACATTTACCCCATTTCTTTGGTTGTTATCTTCTTTTCCCCTTGGTATTTTATCCTTATTACAAGGTTATGAATGATGCCTTTTGCCGATGATAATGATTTTATGATGTGTATGTGTGTCCAGATAGTACAATGCTTGTTGCTTTTCCACATTTTCAATATCGGTAACTAAGTTATGCTTCGATAAATTCATTAGTTGCAGAGAGTAGAAGTAATAGGATTCATGAGTGGATATCATATGCCAGGTCAAAAGACAAGTATATCAAGAACACATCTGTTCTGATAACTAGATAGTATATGCAAAAAAGCCCGAAAGAATAATCTCTAATAATGAAACAGTCATTCAAAGCCCAACCGTCTCGTATTCGAAGACTGAGCTAATAAAGAAGAATATCTTCCCCTAAGGTCTTTTTCAAAAGTGACACAAGGTCAACAGTCAGGAACCTGACAGATAGTACAGATACAATGTGCTTTCGCACGAAGAATAATAGGCATGAAAAAAAAAAAAGAAAAAAAAAAAACATTGAATAAAGCATTGCATGAAAATATGGCTAGCAGCCGGAAGGAATGGAGCATATGTAGCGGATATCGTATTCAATCCAAAGGAAGTGGATAGAAGAAAGGCCACATCCGAGATGGTGTATTAAAAAGACAAGAGAGAAGATGGAAAGGATACCAAGGGCTACACGGAGTTGATCCGTGATAGAACTTGGAGATGAAAGCAAATGGGGTATACTGCGGAAAGAAGTCTCAAGGGAAGGGGTCTCAAGGGAAGGGGCCATAGTGCATATCTGTACGATATACAGAGTAGGCCAAAAGCAATAGGCTCTTTGCTTTTCGTCGCATTACATGATTAAAAAAAAGAGTAATTAAGAGAAAACAGGGCTGTCGTAAGTCAATGATATCGATCTATCGCTAAATTTGTTATGCCGTAAAAGGTCGTCTCGAACCTGCCGATCCGGGCACGGTGGAACGAGTATCGAGTGGAAGGCGAATGGATGGTGCGCTTCTTTGTACAGATATCCGCACTGTCCCATTGCTCGGAGGTGTTTGTTCTGGATCGTCATCGGTATCAGGCTCCACCTTGATGCTCGAACTGACAGATGCCGAGAGGTAGCGGGAGCTGAGTGGGAGTTGGTATTTGATGATGCCGCGGACAGTCAACTCAAAGGGGTGTTGGAGGACTCGCTCCCAGCGCTCTGTGCCTCCAGCCTCAGTTTTGTTTCCTGGCCGGGCCAGACGGATCTGTCCCTTGGAGCTGGAAGTTAGATGATTCCAAGGGGATGATTCGAAAGATAATGGGGAATCGAAGTGGAACACGCGGCCAAGTAACATAGATCGCGGATCGCCTTCTGGGTCGGTAGGGGGATCGGTGCCCTTGTCAACACCGTTGGTGGTGTGCGGGTCCTGAACACAGTCCACACGGCCGAGGCACCTTACAGCTTGTGACAACTGCCAGCGACGTCGGCTTTGCTCCACGCGTGGGAAATTATCCATGTCACCATGTTCACGCCAAAGCTTGTCGCTCCCAACATATCTACTCTTCGCGAATATGTTAAGATCGGTGTCGTCAATTGTCACAGGGAACAAGTTCGGATTGACGGCTTGCACATTCAAATCCAACATGATTTCCTGTTCCGAAGCCAGCACATTTTGAATCGCAATAACTTGCACATCGAGAAGGGGTTGAGTTGCCGCAACGATGAATGAGGTAGCACCGCCAGCAACGATCAACAACATAAGGAAGATAATAGCGCATGAGCCAAACCGAGCGAAAAATCCGCGGTGCCGCTGCGCCATGTACTCCATCTGCCGCACGCTTGCACTGTTGGGCCGTCGACCATTCCGACTGTGGATTGTACGTGGCGTGCCTACTAATGGGGTGCGTTCATCATCCGCGCCCTCTGCCTCGTAGTCATAGCTATGAAACTCGCCGCCCTTCTTGGCACCGCTAATGGTTCTGTAGCTGGGGGACGACCGGGTATTGCTGTGGCGCGAATGCCTGTAGGAATTCCCGATGAAATGGCGCGGCGATTTTTGAGATTGACTCTGTGATTGTGTACTGTCGTTATCGAAAAGATTTGGATGCATGCCGTTGCGTGAATGAAGACGGCCAAAATTATGATGTCGTGGAGTGATGGTTCCACTACCATCGGCTCTAGAAGAACGCGAGGCCATGTCAACCTCAACACCATCTCCATCTATGCCGTTGTTGTAGGGGTTGGCGTTGGTAAACTTCATGCTACGTTTGCCTGTCACGCCGTGGGAAGCCTCCCGCAACCCCAACCCTCGGGTACGACCAGCTAGCTGCTCCGCTTGACTCGCCATAGAGGTCGCACTAGGAGTCCGAGAATGATACCGGGGTGGGCGGGAAGGATATGGATCAGGCGGGTTCGAGTCGTAAACGAAAGTCTCGTCGGAATCTGAAACATCAGCCTCATCCACTGCATTGGCCACTCTAGCCTCGAAGATATCCGCTTTGCTTGTTACGGGGCCTGTCGTGATGGCATTGGGCCGACGGGTCTTTTTCTTTTCTTTGCGCGGACGGATCGTCTCATTGGAAGGTTTCATGCGAAGCGTCCCTTGATCTGCACGGGAAGCGCCGCCTCGCTCACCATTCCCCACTCCCATGGAAATCTGTGGTATCGAGCTGACGGTTTCTGTTTCCACAATCATGTTACGAACTGAGCCGTCGGCGGGCTTTCCACGAGCACCAGCACTCAGTGATGTTGTCGATCGCTGTGACATGAGAGTTCTGGATGCTCTGGCCGCACCAGAAGCCTGTGGACGAGTCTCTTCCTTTGGTTCCGAACTTCGATTCTCACCACTATCACTCCCACTCCCTGGAGGTGGATGCGGAGCACGTGGAGTCGGGTCTTCATCGATCCGGTGCAATCGTGACTCTTCCGGGATTACTGGCTTGGTAGGAGTCTCACTGGACGGGGTAGACGGATTGCTTGCCATCTCTTCGACGGTTTCCAGGGAAGACCCTTGCCCACCAACACCTCTAGTGACGGTCCGGGGTGTGTTTCGGTCCGATTTAGGCGCCAGTTCCTCCAACGGCAATGAAGATCTTTTTTGTGAAGTATTCGGAAGGGTCGAGTCCACATCCGTGCGACGGTTCGCGGCCCATGGTGCCATATTGGACTTTTCCGGACTGGGAACATTGGCCAGCGAGTCGTGGGGAACAGAGAGAACAAGGGATCTGACGGGAGAAGAGGAGGAAAGTTGAGAATTCGGTGTTGAATTGGTAGGCGGGCCAGATGTCAAGCCGTTAGAGTATCGGGTTGGACTGGGATCTTGACTGGTCTTTCGCGAGTGTGAAGATACCCGGGTAGGTGAAGAAGGATTGTAGGTACGTGAGGATTGTCGGACCGGGGAGGCTTCGCGGGAGGAAACAGCGGAGTTTGTGGTAGACGCGGTAGGAGGATTTGGAAAAAGCTTAGGCACCTGAGACATGGGTAGAGTCTGGGATTTAATGGTGGACCGTTGCATCAGACCACTTTCGCTAGCCGATCGATGCACTGGGTCTGACGCCGCCTCTGCATCCTTGGGCCCTCTGGACCGACCAGAGGTGCCGTTAAGGTGAGGCGGCCTCTCGGACTCCGCAGCCATGGTCCCTGTCGAGTCAGAATGGGCTGACACGACGTAGGCAAGTCAGGAGACCCGAGAGGTAGCCAGGTAGTTGGGCAGACACAGGGCCCAAAATGGTAAGCTAAAAAAGCAAGGCACGATGCCTAGACAGGGAAAACTCGACGGTGAGGAAGTGAGTTGTTATTGTTGGTAAGAGCGAATGAGATGTCAGAGGACCGAATGAAATGTTGCGCAGAATACGGGTCGTTACACATGCGAGGGTACAGCAGGACGAATAGCCGAAGACCACATGCTGTTGCCCGGTAATGGAATTCTGTAGAGAAACGCACAAGCGAAAAATGGCTGCAGCAGGTGCAGGGGTTGGGGAAACTGGAGAGAGATGGAGATTGTTTAGAATACCAAGTGGGTCGGGGGGTCAGTGTAGCGCAAAGAGCCCACGCATCACTGTGCCGTTTTGCTTTGTTCCGGAAGGGCAAAAACAAGGCCTAGAACGAAGGAATCGAGGATGACAAGATTTGGTTGGCGGACTTAGGGCAACTGGAGACCCGCCGATCCGGCTCAACGTTTTGGCTTGACTGGTTTTACGTTGTTCTGGAGTGGCGTCTGGGCTGCCAAATGTGTAGAGAAGTCGGTGACCAAAACCTCGGTGAAAGTGGCTGACAGAGAGGGTCAGATTCACGGCAAAGACCAATGACGGTGGCCCACGTCGAGAAGGGGGGGGGTCACTGCAGGGAAACACACGGGATGGTCTAGAATCCAGTGGAAGAAAAAAAAACCGGGAAAGAATGTGAATGATAAAAAAGGAGTAAGATGGCTAAGAGGTTAAGATGAATTGAAGAAATAAAAAGATGAAGTTAAATGAATTTGTTACTATGTAGATTATGAGGGGGTGACCGATTGGTGACGCTAAAAATGGTAATAAATGGTAATCAAACATGCATAGTGCAGGAAATAATTAATTACTGATGTAAGGAAAATACAACTTGATTTGATCATTGAAACATCCATTTCTGTACATACATTCACTCTACAGAGTACTCCGTACAAAGAACTATTTTTTGATTTCTCATTCATATCTATATTTAGGATGAGGATTTTCTCTTTGTTTTCTATCAAAGGGACAATCCCAAACACCTGGGCAGGTCGATTACCTTAGGTAACAGACCTCGGGATTACTAATATACAGGTCTATCCATCCATCCAATATCCAACAGTATAACCTCCCAAATGTAAGCAAAATAGCGTATCAAATCCAGAATATCCAAAAGGGATACCAAGAAACCCCAGGCTCCTGAAACAAAGCAAACCAAACCAAAACCCAGGGTATCGATCCAATCGACTGAAACCAAGCAGAAACCAATATAGTGATAGGTCTATACAATTTTGTAGACTCTTTTAGCAGTCCAAACAGATACAAAGGCAAATACGCATAGTCCAGCAGTAACTATAATATATTAGCAGATATCCTGGGGAGGAGACAGGGAAGACGTACTACACCAGAACCATGTTAGGCTATCAACTTCCTGACCTGGTACCTTAACATTCATCCCCCACATACCGCAGATGATGTTCATCGGTAGGACAATTGTACCAAGAACAGTCAGCTTACCCAGGACATCGGCAGTATGTTCCTGACGCTCGTTCATGAGAATATTGATCTGCGCAAGATAATTGGAGTGTGCGCGGGAAAGGATTCTGGAAACAGTCAGCATTGCAAGGTTCCAAGGTTTTTCCCAACTGTGAACAAAAAAAGCTTACGTTTCGTAGTGTGTAAGGTTACCAGTCATCGTCATAATGTGATCCTGAATGTCACCTAGGTACAGACCAATCTCTGACTTGGGTGCGACCTCCCACTGCTCATTGCAACGTTTGGCAAAGCCCTTGACTACATCGGCCTTGTTGCTGAGAAGTCGATACAGTCCCATGACCTTCTTGCGGCATTCGCCCACTCGCCGGAGCATCTCTCCTGGTCCAAAGGAAGGAAGCACACTGTCATTGGACGATCCCTCCTTGCCGGAAGAGTGCATCTGCATGATCTTCTCGTCGATCTCATCGACCTCATCTTCAATCGCTTGGATCAGCGGGCCGAAGACGTCAGTAATGTCATCAATCAGTGCGTATGAGATCCAGTCTGAGCTGAGGATCAGGTAATCCATAAGTTGGCGGATACGTCGCCGTACGTTGGCTGGGTGGGGTGTTTGCGAGAAATGGAAGGATATTACGCCTTCTCGGAAAACCACCACATACATGTTCACCGGCTCTAGATAGTTCTCGCTGTTGGTATCCTGCTCAAAGGTGCGGTAGTTGACGAAATAGTAGCTGCGGAACAACTCGACTTTCTCTCGAGCTTCTTGCATCATAATGTCCTCTGCCGTCAGCGCGTGGATCCCGAACGCTTTGGCAATCGTACGCATCTCTGCATCTGTCGGAGAGAGAACATCTAGCCAGAAAGTAGGCCGCGGACCGTACCGTTTAGGTTTCGGGTTAGGCGTAGAGCTAAACGGGGTGTTTGAAGGTGCCGGCGAAGGCTCTCGGTGGGAGTCTGGGCGCCCTTCGCTGATAACGGATAAACGTGAAGGTCCTCTGACAGGAGGGGCATTGCCGGAGGTGAAGTCAGTCGTGCTTCTTCCATTAGGAACAACGGTCTGAGCTGTCAGCTGAGGATTGACGTTGGTTTGATGACCTTGCCCCTGACTTTGGTTGTCCGTGTGGGATGTTGGCTTGCTGGCAGGATGTGTTAAGTTATTGAAACCTGGGTTCTCCATAGAAGATTCCTCGTCCGTATCCTCATCTCCCGACGAATCCTCCAATTCAGGGGGATCTGGAATAAACAAATCGCGGAAGGTACCGCCTGGCTGTACCAGCTCGGAGATGGTTTGGGCATGAATAGTGCTCGGGAATTCCTCGTTGAAATATGTGAACCTATACGGCGCCTCATCCTCTTCCCGTCGCCAACCTTTATACTGAGGGCGTAGTCGGCCTTCGATGAGCACAGGCTCACTGATCCTTTTGACTCGAATGTCTCCATTGCGCTCCTCTTTCTCCTCGCGGCTCCATTCTTCTAGTGCAGAGAGATCTGGCCATCGGCGATGTCTACGCCGTCGACGATCGCCAGCTTCATCTCGCAATTGCCTTGGTCCCTCGTCTCCCAATTCAGATATCGTTTCGGTAGGGAAGCATACGTCTCCCTCTGCTGGTAATGCCACAGTCCGGCGTCGCCGCATTTCTTGGTGTGGAGACAGCATCGGTGATCCAGGTGCAGAGGATGGCGCAGAGTGTGGTTGTAGTCCATTTCCATCCATGTCAATTAGCGTGTCATTGAGGATGTTCAACGATTCCCTGCGATTCTCCATTGACCGAGCCAGTGAGAAGTCCCACTCAGTTCCAGTTACTACGGCATCGTCATACTTCATCTCCGGGCCAATCGTTGGAGACCCGGGAGTCGAAGGCGGGTTGTTGATATCGTAGTCTCGCTCTACGGTGGGAGAATACAGTGGGCTGCGATCATCCTTTGGCGAACATCCAGAGGAAATAGTTTGAACAGAGGACTGTCGAGCACGTGATGAAAACAAATTCGGACGTGTGTCTGTTCCATATCGATTATGGCCGGACGTGTGGCCTGAAACTGACCGCATCAATGGCGTCCGGTCATTAAGATCCTCTTCCTCACTATCACCATTGTGATGTTGTTGGCTCCGTCCCCCCCTCTGGGTGCTGCGAGATTGCCCATCATTCGATCGAAAGACATTGGATGTTAGAGAGCTCGGGCGGAATGACGATGCGAGCCGACTGTCACGACGAGGCCGCATCGAAGGTTGGTCCCTGCTCGACAAGAAAAAATTAGTATTCATCCCACGCTCCGAAATCGGTCAGTATAACGAGATCTTACCGATGGTCTAGTAGCGCATCGCTCTCCAAGCTTGTGTTGCTCAGATTGCGTCCCAATTTGAAGAACGACGGGTTGTCCCTCGAGGTTGGCCGATCGGCCTCCATTGAATCTCTAACACCTCCAGCTCCAGAAATATCCCCAGGACTATCATGAGATTCCTCCGGATGAGGTGGAATAAAAGACTGGTGTCGATTGCGACGTTTGCGATTGCGGTTCTTTTTGCGTTTGGAGGACTTGGAGGGTTTACCAGCAATACCGGCGGGGGGTTCGAAGCGGGCCTCGTTGGCTGGTGTAGCCTCGGATATGGATACCGGACCAGTCCCTGGAGCCCGACCGCCGCTCATTGGGCGATGGCTAGCGTTATCAGTAGAGGGTGGGTAATCGCCGCGATGTGGACGTTTTCTTGGGCTGGACGAATGTGAGGAACGAGGCGGTCGGGAGGCCGCTATGCCAGGTGTCGGGATCATGGGCGGATCCATTGTGACAGCCTCAATAATTGGATCGCGATGGAGGTTGGGTGTCTCCAGTACAGAGCAACTGTACTGAAGGGTTTTCAGTAGGTCATCAACCAATGGAGCTGGGCCAACGCAAACAGGTTTCTGGATCTACCTTCTCGTTCACAAGGTAAGCGTATGCTAGATACCCAGATTTCCATACGATATTACTAGCGCTGATGATCACGGAGAAACCGACATCGGCATGGTCACGAAACGAGGAGAAGCTCAGATTTGGAGATGACGTGGGTGGCAAAACCAGAGTGGAACATCCGAGAAAATCGGGAAATGTTCAGATAAAGAACAAGTTGTATATCAATGTAGCTGTATGTTGTATGTAGTTGTATATAATGTAAAAGAGGGGAAAATCCAATACAAAGAGAAATCCAATGATATTCTGAGTGTTTGGGAGAGAGTGAGACTTTTCCTAAAACGGGATGGATGAGGTCAGCACATCTATAAAATTCGAATGTTGACAAAACCTCTAGGGCTGTTAAGGGTTATATCCTTAGATCAGGAAAGAGTAAAGAGAGCAAAGGAAAACAAACATGTCCTTGATCTCCTAGCGATAGGTCGAAGATCAAGGCCTATCCATTTGATTCTAAGCTCTCGAAATTTTATCCGGATGATAGGGAATAATGATAAATTAAATATTCTAGCCGATATATATGCATACTACTTGGCTGATAACTAATGACAGACCTGTCTAGCTCGCTATGGCACTGCAAGAGTGCTCTGCCACGAGATCCATAAGCCGGTCCGCAATGTCAAGTGCAAATCCATCATCGTTTATATCTCGCTCATCCGATACCACGCCGATTTTGCTATCAGTGAGTCCGCCGCGTAAAGTATCAGCAAGGGCAGTATCAGCATCATCATCCGCAAATACCGACCCTGCTGTCCCAATGCTACTCACTCCTCCCCCAGGAAGCCACATCTCAACCATGCCTGGGTCCTGGGCAAACCGCTTTAGTTTATCGAGTATGAAATCCCCGACTTCCCGACATTCGGCCAAAGAGGTTCGCATTAGAGTCACGCTTGGATTACGGACGAACAGCTTCCGGTCACGGTATTGACGTGGCACTGTGTCGACCGGACCAAAGTTGACCATATCCGTGGCTCTAACGGAAATGATATTGGGTATTCCACGCTTGTATCATCTCTAGGCGACTGGTTTCACAGCTCATAGTCCCACCCGCGATGAGATCGCATATCTCAGTCGTTGTGATATCCAAAATGGCGTCTAGACGGCCTTCCTCAACCAATCGTTCCATGGCCTTTCCCCCATGACCAGTCGCATGAAACACGTAGACCTCCACATAATAGTTGTCTTCCAAGTGCTTTCTCACATGATCCACACATGGGGCAGTCACCCCAAACATAGTAATACCGACGCGAGTCTTCTTCTCTTCTCCCCGGTTCGTCCTGGTTCTGGCCATTTCTATAGAGCCCCGAGAACTCTGTAGACTGGATGTGGTGCGGTTGCTGCACGAGTGCCAATCTCGGCTCGAGGCGTCAAAGGCGCAAAGTCAGCTATGCACCCGGACAGCAACGATTCTCGGCCAGATACTGTAAGCACCTATAGTTTGTGACATATGTTTTGGTCGGAACTGACAGAAATTCTGTAGGTCTAGCAAGTGGATGCCTGCGTCATCCCTGGTAGCGGATGGGCCGCACAGTGCAGTCCCAGAGGGCCAGTCAAATATTAGCCAGATGAATTCAATCAGCCAGGCCACGAATCTTAGTAATGGCCATGCATTTACTTCAGAGAATGTCGGGTTCCCCAGTCTAGTTCGGCAGATTGAGCCCCAGCAATGGATCAACCCGGTGAACATGGACTGGGACCAGTGGGATCTGATTATGAATTCTATGAGTACATCTTGATCTGGACTGGTACCCATTGCACATTGTGATTTGAAAGATTGGGAAGTTGGCCACCAGCTTCAGCCATTCCCTCGATGATATAGAGATAGTCCCCCACTTATGTCCGCGGTTTCCGCGTCTCAATTTGACTATCTCCGCAGTGAGAATGAAAACAGTCCCAATCAGATAGTGTATGAATTTGGGATTGTTCTAAGGAGTTTCAAATATGTCAAATCACCTTAAACTAAAATGAGTTTTGGAAGGAAAGCAAAGAGGAAGAAATACAAATTAGTAATACAGGCCCTGATTAGGAATGGTAATGCTCCGCGCTTAAATCCGCCCATTCATATACGGAGTTGGTGAACTCGAGTGGGAATACCTTTCCAATACCTTCCCAATAACTTGAATCTACAAATCTCCTAATGGCACCACCTACCTCTCGCAGCGAGATTCTCGCCAATCTACGCCGTCAAATCGAAGATGGGAAACCCATCGTTGGAGCTGGCGCTGGTACGTGCTTGGCGTCACCTGTGACTTCTCCAAGTTTAACTAATACCCTCATCAGGCATCGGGTTGTCTGCCAAATCGGTCGAGGCTGGCGGTGCAGACCTAGTCATTATATACAATAGCGGTCGCTTCCGCATGGCTGGCTGCGGTAGTCTCGCGGGGCTGATGCCGTACAGTAACGCCAACGAGGTGGTGGTCGAAATGGCTGCCGAAGTTATTCCTATCGTTCAGAATATCCCCGTGATTGCGGGTGTCTGCGGTACCGATCCATTCAAGCAAATTCCGCAATTCCTGAAGCAGCTGCGGGAATTAGGATTTGCTGGTGTTCAGAATTTCCCCACTGTTGGACTGATCGATGGGAACTTCCGTGCCAACTTGGAGGAAACTGGGATGGGTTATGATAAAGAGGTAGAGATGGTGCGACAGGCGGCTGAGTTGGATATTTTGACGACGCCTTACATTTTCAATGTTGAGGATGCGGAGGCTATGACGAAGGCTGGGGCAGATATTCTGGTCGCACATATGGGTCTGACTACTTCGGGGTTGATTGGGGCGAAGACTGGAAAGACATTGGAACAATGTGTTGGGGAGATCCAGGCAATGCGGGATGCAGCAGTGCGGATCAATAAGGATGTCATTGTGTTGTGTCATGGAGGGCCTATTGCTGCACCAGAAGATGCGAAGTACGTGTTGGATAGAGTCCAGGGTTTGCATGGCTTCTATGGAGCCAGTTCAATGGAACGACTTCCTGTTGAAGTTGCCATCAGAGACACTACGGCTGAGTTTAAAAAGATTGCCCTGAGGTAGTGGTGTCTTTAATCACATTTTCATCCAAAGTTACAGAGTAGATAGGTCCATATATTATTTTGGGTCAGTTTAAGATCCCTATAAAAAAAAAGAAATCTTACAATTTCAAGAAGAAAGTAGAACAAAATTATTACATTGCTAGTACAGGTCATCACTTCATAAGACATCAAAGCCATGGTAAATACACACGCTGATACTCTTAGAAAGAATAAACAAACAAATAACTTGAAACAAATAAACAAATAACTCCACATATTGACGGCCTATGTTATCGTTAAATGACCTTTGACGCCATACCGGCAGAAGAAAAACACAATTAGATAACAAGAATGTTGCGTAAAGATGGGAGCAATCATGATCGGAGTGTGACGCCTCAGATCACATTACTCATGTCCATCATAGATGAGGGTGCCGCACTGTGAGCAACACTGTGGACCGATTTGGAAGCATCAATGGACATGCGGTCACCGCTCATCATCCTTGACACTTTCTTGTCTTTGCTAGGGCGGGCAATGAGGACTTGGGCGGGGCAGACGACAACCTCGTCATCGCCCTCGCCCACATCATTGCCCTTTTTGACAACAAGAGGGAAGAGCACGATCCGGACAATGGACTGTTGAGCTTCGAGTTCGTCGTTGTCGTTTGTCAGACCGCTGCGCTCATTCATCAGGGCTGCGTTGAAGTACACTTGGCGTGCAAGGTCGCCATTGGTATCATATTCAGGCTGCAGAGGGGGCAGCATGATGAATTCAGCCAGCTGGGTGCGCATCTCTAAGGACAGGTTGACTGCTACCCGCATAATCTTGCGGAGATTATCCAGTAGCTGGGATTCAACATGAGATGGAGGAGGGAGGACCCGCGATAGGGTTTGGAAGATCTCCAGAGTGACAGCCTCCGTATCGCTCTCACGTTGTGCAGCAAAGGCTGGTCGTCGAGATAGCAGTGTGAGAGTGGTGGCTCGCCAGCGATGCACAGCACGGGTTGGGCCCACCTCGCCCAATTGTTTTTCAAGAGACTTGAGCTTTTGACGCTGCTCCCGGTCCATCCCGAAGAGATAACGGGTGAAAATGTATTCCCAGACCATTGTCATGACCACCGACATAAAGACGTCGCGGCGGCGGACACGATCAGATAAGTAGATGTCGGGATCGGAGCCGTCGAGGAGGGCATTGTCGAAACGGTCTGCGATCTTTTCGTCTTGCAACTCACTGAGTGGGCGGCAGCGACGCTTATCATTGTGCTTGGAGAAGCGCACGACCCAGGATTGGACATGGCCACACAGCTTCTGGCAGGCAGCATCGAAGTACTCTTCATCGCGGAAGACAAGGGCATTGTCATGTACCGAGGCTGCAATTTGTTGTTGGAGCTCCTTCACTTTATCGCGAGCCTCCTCAAGTTCGATGCGCAGACGGCGCAATTCAATGTCTTTTTGCGCAAGAGCCGACTCAATCTCTTGTCGAACTCGATCCTCCATCTGGGACGAGAGTTGAGTGTGTTGCGACTGTAAGTCGGCTAGTTCACGTGTGGACGCCTCGCGCAGGGTGTTGATCTCAGTTGCATGGGCAGCGGCGAGAGCAGAGTTGGATGCGGCCAGCCCTTCGTTCTCTTGGGTCAGACGAGTCGTCTCCTTTTGCAGCCATTCCACCGAGTTCTTCAATTGTTCCACCTCCGATTCCCGATCGCGCAGATCCACGTCGCGTGTGTTGAGCGCACGGTCGCTCTTTCGACGAGCGACGCTGGAATTCTTAAGTTTATGTTCGGCTTCATCTCGGGCGGCGATCAATAGACGGTTTTCAGATATGAGCTGGTCGAGGCGGGTTTCGATGTCTTGTAAGTGTTGCATGCTGCGACGGCGGCGGACACTAGGCGGTCGGCTGGGCGACCGTGGGGAATTGGGCGTCTCACCCCATCCCTCCTATGGGAAGTTAGTAAACAAAACAACAAAACAAAACAAAAACAAAAAAAAAGATTAACTTACATAGACGTCCGACATATTTCGGAGGGGACGTTTGCCCTTATCGGTAACGGGGTCATAAGAGGAAGAGGATGGGAGCTGATCGAGATCGAGCGAAGGCTGGGAATCTAGTGCTCGACTAGCCGCCCGCAGATCGCCACTAATACTCCGATTCGTACGACGTAATTTTCCACTGCTGGTGCTGGGCTTCAAAATTGGCCCTTCAGGAGTTTTGAGAATTTCTTTGAAATCCTTATCTGTAGGCCAAGATTCTCGATCAAAGGCATTGTCTGTAAATTTCCGAATTGGTGTCTGAGGTCGAGGTAAGACATGTTCGGGCTTCATCTCCAAGATCCCTCGAGTTCCCTCCCGTGGTTCTTGTTCGGCAATTGTATCAAGGGGAGTCCGAGGTCGCACATAATCGGGTCCAAATAGCGACCGAGGGGGTGATGGGACAAGAACTGGTAGAGCTGGCTCTTCCAAACTCCATGTCCTGGGTGTATGCTGGTGCCGGCCATGGATTGATGGTGACCGCCGTAATTCACACAGTTCCTCTGCTTCTGGGGGTGGAAAGCGTGTAGGAAGTTCATCGGGTCGAGTCCGGTCATTGGAGGGCTCCATTGACAATGACAATGGCGCATCTAAAGACTTTTCGCTATATGTCGGCAGTTCTGGCTCCTTGGTTGATTCATTCTCCGTAGTCTCGGGATGAGCGCTCAGTTCCGGGATTGTAGCCTCAATTCGTCTTTCAAGGCTGCTAGGTAGACCAGAGGTGAAGTCATCGGTAATTTCTTTGCTTTCAGTGGTCGCTAGGGGTGCTTCCGAGACAGGGATCGCGTTGTCGCGATTCGCTTCCAGCTCTGTTGTCTCATCCTCAGCACTATCTTTTAGCGACGGTGTTTGCTGATCTAGGGCTGATCGCCGAAATCCCGCACGCTCGAGGCCAGGGAACAAGTTGGCAATCTTAGATCCTCCGGGAGTAGTTGTTCGAGCAGGCGGCTCGATCTCTTTGTCATCTAAGGGTTCCAATGGGGACTCCACGGCTTCAGCGGGAGCTTGTTGCGACTGCTTCTTGTTCTTCTTGGCCTTCTTCTTGCCATTTTTGCTCGACAAAGCCCAAGGATCTTCCTCTGTAGCTTCGTTTTCCTCTTTCAAGGGCCCAGGGAATGAAGACTCGACAAATTCTCCAATAATCTCCGGCTCGGGAGGTGGAATCTCCGGCTCAAGCTCAGGGTCCGCTTCTCTTAATCGCTGGGACTCTTCGAACTTGGCCTGCCAGTCAATTGCCGGCCAGTCTTCGTCATGAGCCGGATTCTCATCTGGAATTTCGGTGACCTGTGCCTTGGAGTGCTCCTCTTCGAACGGCACAATGATAGCATGCTGATCCGCATCAATCGCGTTTTCAGACGCAGGCTCGGTGTCCAGGGATTTGTTAGCCTTTTGAGCCTTCTTGGCCTTCTTCTTCGAGGCCTTGCGTGAAAGAGGGGGTTCCCCACCGGCAACAGGCTCTTCGTCGGGTTGTGTAGGCTCGACCTGAACTTCTGAATCGGTTATAGGCTGATCCTCAATCGGCAGGGGGCCCTCAATTGGCAACTCTGTCTCCAAGGTAGGCTGAGGATTTGCAGCCTGTTCAGGTTCCATAAAAATCTCTTGCCCCACAGCAGGCTCTACAAGATGGATCCTAGATTCCCTTGGCAGCTCAGCTGCCTTAGCCGGAGGTTCTTCTTGCTGTTGGGTCGAGACTTCTTCGGCGATGCCGGCATTCTTCTTGGCCTTGCGCTTGTCCTTCTTTGACATCTTCTTGGACAGAGCCGGCGTCAATTCAGGTTCTCCATGTTGGTACTCAACGATTCCCTCAACAACCTCGGGATCAGCTGTTTTCTTAAGATCGCTCTTATCAGCCCCAACATCAGCTTCGTCTTCCTGCTCCTTCTTTCCAACGCGAACCCCGATGTCAAGGGGCTCATTGTTGGTATTCTCATCACTGGGTTCCACTGGCGAGGGCGTATCGAGTTTGTTCAGAGGAATGGTTGCTTCAGTTGTCAGTTTTTCTAAATGTTGCTTGTCTTGCGATAAGATGCTAAACCCATCAACGGCTGGCATCTCGACATTTTCCGGCTCGAGCTTAGGAGCCTCCTGAATATCTTCCCGGGCAATGAACTCAGGCTCAGGAACAGTCTCAGCTGGCCTCTCTGCAGGAGTCGCCTCCAGTTCAATAGTAGCCTCCATAGTTACGGGCTCGGTGGTAGGATCATGCTCTGTTGGGGTATCCTCATTAGTTGCCTCCCATTCAGGAGCAACCTCTGCGGTTGCTGGCTCGATGGTAGGGATATGATCCTCGGTCGGAGGGGAAGCCGACTCAATTAACTCTTGTTTGCCTTGCTTCTTGGCCTTTTTCTTGTCCTTCTTCGACATTTTCCGAGTAGTATCGGCCACAGCTAGCTCCTCGACTAACTCTTTTGTAGACTCCTCCGGTTTGTCCTCAAATTGGAGAGGCCCGGTAGACTTGGGAGCTTCAACTGGCTGCTCCAGGACATCTTCCTTCAGCTCGGAAGTTGTCAATCCTGTCGTTTCGTCTAGGTTCTTCTCTGCCTCAAGTTGAGGCTTCTCCTCATTCACTGGATGCTGCGCCTCTTGAACGGTAGGCTGCTCTACCACTTCCTCTTGACCCCCGGGGGCAATGGCCGAGGGCTCTTGGGGTTCAGGCTGTGACTCAACGAGTTTTTCCTCCTCCAGAGCAGCAGCGGCGGCAGCGGCGGCAGCCTTCTTCTTCTCTTTCTTGCTCATCTTTTTGGATACAGCCGATGATTCCACTTCGGGCTCAGGGACTGCTTCAGGCGGCACTTGTTCGCTAAATTTCTTGTCATCTAGGATTTCTGCCGAGGTTTTGGCAGCTTCCTTGGATGGTTTGTCTTCTTCATCGATCTTCGATTCAGAGGATGCAAGTTCAAGATAACGCTCCCCGCTTTCAATATCTTGGCTTGGAGCATGTTGGTCAGTGTCTTCAGAAGGCGTTACAAGATCCGTAGCGGCCTCCTCGATAGCATCAGCAGGCTGCTCTGCGCTAGTGACAGGCTCATCTTGCTTGGCAATTTCGGCAGGCGCTGACTCAGTCGTAAACCTAGCATCTTGGGGAGAAGTTCCATCCTCGGGTGCTGCCTGTTCCTCCGGCTGGAGCCCAGCTTCGGGTTCTTGAGAAAGAAGGGATTGGCGTTGCTTCTTCTTGTCCTTCTTGCTCTTTTTCCTTGAGACAACGGCTGTTTCTAACTCCTCGCTCGGAGGAACACTGGTCTCGATTTCTGGGACACTAGTTTCTTGAGTGACATTGACGTCCTCGGTTGCCTGGGCAGCGGCGGTATCTTCGATGCTCTGTGGGTAATCTGCCAGTTGATCCTCTGGAACTAGCACTGGTTCGGCCTCGGCAATAGGCTCAGCCTCAGTGAGTTCCTTGACCTCCGACTGGGGTTCAGCCTCAACCAAAGGCGCAGCTTCAGGTTGCTCATTTGCCTCTGTAGTAGAGCTCCCAAGCGCAGGTGCTGCTTCCTCTTGACTTTTGTTTTTCTTTTTGTTCTTCTTCTTCTGCTTCTTCGAGACAGTTGTCTCAGAAGCCTCCTCCACCACGTGAGGTTCTTGTGCCTGTGCCTCAAGAACAGCATTATTCAAAACATCCACAGGTATCTCTTCAATCTCCTTCTCCTTGGAGAGATCGCCTGCTTCCGGCACAGATGATCTCCCCTCAACATTCTCACCATCAACAACTGTTTGTATTTCCTCAAGGGATGTGGGCTCAACCAACTCCCCATCTGGCTCCTGTGCAGTTGGGCTGATATTGCCCTCCTGCTGAGCTTTTCCCTCCACCAACTCGCCGGAATCAACTGAACGCTCAAGCACGGGCTGGGGAGGATAATCTAAAAAAGGACTCTCTATCGGCGTCTGCTCTACCTGCGAAGAGACGTATTTATCAGTCGAGGCCGTATCTTGCGCCATGGCGTTGTAAGTTTCTATGGCGTGGGACTGATGTTCTTTACCGTCATGTTCCGCAGGCGAGGACGCCGGTATGGCTGAAAGTCCATGGGCGTCTGCGTCCGTGGAGGTGAGGACCTTTTCAACGCCGTGAACCGCTTCGATGGGTGTACCAGGCCCGGTGGCCGGGGAAAGCGAATCGGATGTTGCAGGATCATTATCGGCGTCAATATTCTTGGACTGGCGGTTCTTCGCTTTCTTGGCAGCTTTGCGTCGCTCCTTGGCTGACATACCCACCTCTTCTTCGGTCGGCTCGGCAGGAGAAGGGGCAATCACCTCCGCTTCCTGGGAAGGAGTCGGCTCGGCTTCGGGAATTCCTTTAGTTACCGGAGGTTCATTGTCGGTCTCTTTAACGTCAGGAGTTTCCTCTTTTAGCAAATCGTTGGATACGGTTCCTGTTGTCTCGAGTTCCTCGGCCTTGAGAGCCTCTGGCTCGATCGTGCTTTCTCGCTCGAGAGCTTCTGCGGGCTGTACTGGCGCAGATAATGTAGTATTTTGCAACTCCGGGGTCTCAGTCGGAGTATCGGTCGGAGTTTGAACAACGGGCTCAGATTTAGGCTCAGATTCCAGCGCTGCGTCCATGATAGCAGGAGCGTTGTCCGCTAAGTCCACAGACTTGCCCTTCTTCTTATTCTTCTTCGCCTTCTTTTTTTGCGCCGCAGTCAAGGCAACTTCAGGCTCTTGTGCACTCGCCAACTGGGCCTCTAGGGCAGTGGGAGCCTCTTGTTCTAACTGCTCTGGCAACTCCGCTGCGGACTTCGTCTCCTCGACTCTAGTAGGAATGCCACCGAGCACAGCAGTTGAGGCCGTCTCATGCTCGATGATATCCTTGTTCTGTTCAGAGGAAGCGGGTTCTTCTGCATTCCCCAGGACTTCCTCTTGAGCAGCAGGCCTGGGAACTTCTTCAGTCACTGGTAACTCCTTGGCTGATTCTGCAGAGACAATCAACTCAGCCGGAGTACCCTGAGCTTCAACCTCGTCTCCAGGTGCAGGCAAATCCTGCTTCTGATTCGACTCTTCCGCCGGGACGGCATCGCCATCAAAAGCAACGGACTTGCGTTGCTTTTTCTTGTCTTTCTTGGCCTTCTTTTTCTGTGCGGCGGTCATTGCCTCCTCCGCAGTGGCCTCGGTAGCAGTTGTCTCGGTAGCAGTTGTCTCGGTAGCAGTTGTCTCGGTAGCAGTTGTCTCGGTAGCAGTTGTCTCGGTAGCAGTTGTCTCGGTAGCAGTTGTCTCGGTGGTAGTCGCATCAGCAGGGGTATCCTGCTGTATAACCTCTTCGAGAGAGAATTCTTCGGCCTTAGGGGCTTCGTCTGTCATAATAGGAGGCTGCATATCTTTGTCGACAGTTGGCTGGTCGGATTGAAGAGTCGATTCAGGCCCAGTGTGCTCTTCTGGAGCGGATTCGGGCTTGGATTCCTCAACGGGTGCAGGATATTCCTCCTCGGCGACGACTGATTGGCGCTTTTTCTTATCTTTCTTGGCCTTGCGCTTCTGAGCGGGAGTCATAGATGCCTCTTCAGCGGCCTCGGTGGCGGCTGTATCGGCTGAGGCCTCTGGTTGCGAAGTCTCTTCTAGGAAGGCTTCGCCCTTAGACGCCTCTTCCGTCACGATGGGAGTGTCCGCGGGCGGATTGGAAGAAGGCTGCTCGACCTCTTGAGATGGCGCTGGTTCGATGGATTCACTCTCAGTGAACACAGGAGCAGGAGTGGGCGCCGATACAAGCTTAGCGTCTTCTTCTGCGGGAACAGCCTTAGGCTCTTCCTCGGCGAGTGCAGATTGCTCCTCTTGAACAGCAACGGATTGGCGCTTTTTCTTGTCTTTCTTGGCCTTCCGCCTCTGAGCGGGAGTCATCGATGCCTCTTCAGTGGGCTCGGTGGCGGCTGTGTCGACAGGAAGATCGGCAGGAGCCTCTGGCTGCGTGGACCCTTCCCGAAGGGGCTCTTCCGTAACAATAGGAGTCTCCGTGTCGTCATCGGGAGAAGGCTGTCCAGCCTCCTGGGATTGTGCTGGCTCGGTTGATTCACTCTCAGTAGGTATAGGTGTCAACTCTTCAACGGGTGCAAGCTTAACCTCCTCCTGGAGGGGTACAGGCTGCTCTGTTTCAGCGGCAACTGATTGGCGCTTTTTCTTGTCTTTCTTAGCCTTCCGCTTCTGTGCAGGTGTCATCGAGGCCTCGTCCGCGGTCTCGGTGGGAACTGCATCATCACTAGGGGCCTCTGGCTGCGTGGTCTCTTTCGGGGTGGGCTCTTCCGCCTCGGGTGCCGCTTCCGTCACCATAGGAGCCTCCCCGTCTCTATCAGGGGAAGGCTGTTCAGGCTCTTGAGATGGCGTGGGCTCGGTTGGTTCACTCCCAGCAGGTATGATTGTAGGCTCTTCTTCCGCGGTGATAACCTTGGATTCCTCCTCAGTGGATACAGGCTGATCCTCTTCAGCCGCAACTGATTGGCGATTCTTCTTGTTCTTCTTCTTCTTAGACTTAGAAGAAGTTACCGACTGCTCATCTTCAGCCGGCTCCACCACTGAACTTGATGCGGACTCCGCAGGCTGAGCCTCCTCCACAACTGGCTCTGGTGCAGACTCTGAGGGGTTCTCATCGAGGGGCTTGTCTGAGACGGGCTCCTCAATGACGGCTGAACCAAGCTTCTGTTCTTCTTGGACCTCCTCCGTGGAAGCAACTTCGCCCGTAGGCTCTGATGCGGTTTCTTTGACTCCATCTTCAACATCAACAGTTTGTTCAGCAACATTCTGGGTAGGAATGGTCTCGTCTGTGGATGCATCGGGTGCAACTTCAAAGTCGAGAATCGGCACATCCTGAGCTTGCTCCTGCTCGAGCTTGGTCTCGGCTTCGATATCGCGGGCTGCCTCGGGTTGCGAGGGATCGTCAACGCCCGCACCAGCTTCTCTGGTGGGAGAGGCCTCACTCTCCGGCAAAATGTCACGGCTATTTTCCTCGGTAGAAGTAGGCTCGGCCTCTCGCGTCGGCTGCTCATCAAGCTGCACAGACTCTTGCTTCTGCTGCTTCTTCTTGTTCTTCTTGGCCTTCTTCCTCTCGGCAGCAGTCATTGGAACCTCAGGTTCAGGAGATTGTTCTTGTGCTTTTGGGGCATCGATCTCGGCAGGGTCAACCGAGGGTTCTTCTGTCGACGCTGTGGTCGTATCCTCGGTCTTCAGGTCCACTGCCTTAAGCGCATTGTCCTGTTGGACAGGAGTATTTATTTCTTCCGATACAAGTGAAACATCGGCGATAGCTTCGGTGGCCTCAAGCTCCGATGATGGGGCAGCATCTTCTCCCGGGGCTTCGGCCTCGGTGGGAGGCTCGGCATCTTTCCTTGATTCGATAGTCTCAGTATCGGTCCGTAGAAGGGTATCTTCGGTGACTGGAGACGCCTCTGGCTCGTTTGCGGAGGCAGGTGCAATGCCATGTTCATGATCAGCAGGCCCGGAAGACACCGGTGTGAATTCTGCTGCAGCAACATCATCAATTTCCGCCGCAGGCCCAATATCCTTGCTTGGCTCCGCGGATTCGGCATCAGGCGCAGCAGAAGACTCAACCGGCTTGTTATCTTCGGGAATAGAGCCAATGCTCTCTTCCTGTTCCTTCTGCTGCTTCTTTTTGGCCTTCTTAGCCTTCTTCCTCTCCGCGGCAGTCATAGGAACCTCTGGCTCGACAGGAGATTCTTCGACTTTAGGCTGTTGCTCTGTTGCGATGGGCCCTTCTTTAGGCGTCTCTGCCTCCTCTACGTCTGCCGTTGGTTCCGGATGACGTGAAGAAGAATCTTCCTCCTGGGCCGACACAACCTCAGGTATTTGTTCAATATCGGGAAGTTGCTCTGACTCAGGCAATCGCCCAATCTCAACGGGCGGCTGCATCTCGATTACTTGCTGAGGCACATCCACTGCTACCTGTTCAGTGATAAGAGGCGTTTCCTTGGCTATATCCGCAGCGGCGGTCTCAGGTTCAGGTGCCGGCGAGCTAGACTCAGCAGGTTTATCGTTGGTAGAAATTGAAGCTTCACTCTGCTTGCCTTTCTTCTTATTCTTCTTGGCCTTCTTCTTTTGAGCCGTAGTTAAGGCGACTTCAGGTTCGGCTTCAACTTCAACTTGAGGTTCAGCTTGGGCTTCAGCTGTGATTTGAGTCTCAACAACGGAAGGCTCTGGAATTTCGCGAGAAGCCTTCTCAAAAGGATCCGAGATTCCAGTGTTAGGCTGGCCCTGGACGACAGCTGGCTCTGACAGTGCGTCGGACGGCTCCTCGTGTCCCACTGACTCGGTCGCGACAGCTGTTATATCCGCATCGGCCTCCAATGGGGCTTGCTCCCGCTCTTGGGTAGCTGCATGCTCCTCAACTGTGGGTTCGAAGGGCTGGTCAACATCCTTGGCCGGCTGCTCACAGTGTTCAACATCAGAAGGTAAGGCTTCACCGCCAATTGGAGGGGATTGGGTATCCGCAGGATCAACAGTAGCTGATTGCTCAGGTTCGAGCTCTTGACTTTTTGGCGGAGATTCAATCTCGGGGGTGGGTGTTTCGGCGGAGACCTGTGTTTCTTCGACAGCAGTGGATTTACGATTCTTCTTTTTCTTGTTTTTTCGCTTCTCCGCCTTTGTTTCCGAGGCCTCTGCGGGGGAGTCTGCAGCAACTTCACTGGGAGGCTCAGGTGCACCCTCCTTTTCTTCGGCGAGCTGTGGAACTGGAATCTGTTCTTCGACAGCCTCTTCGAAATTGTCTTCGCCTTCGGTGTCTTCTTTGGGTGTTTCAGGAATTTCGAGGGTGGTGTAACCGAGAGGGGCCTCTGGAACAGGGTCTTCAGTTGGCTTCTCAATCTCTTCCAGGCTGCGGGATAGATCCTCCGCTCCTGGTTCATTCTCGCCAGTAGTTTGGGTTTCATTCGCATCTGTAAAAACATGGTCTGGGGTCGATGCTTCCTGAACTGGTAAACTGGGATCTTCGGAAACAGGTAGAACAGATTCTTCAGTAGATACTTGGTCCACAGGCTCGGCCTGCTCTCCGAATTCCTGCTGGCTTCGAGCTTGCTCTGTATCAAGGGGAGCAGATGAGGTCACAATCTGGTCAGTGGTGCTCTCGGGGTGTTCAGCAGAAGCAGCAATATCCTCGGACAAGGGCGCAGCCACAATCTCTTCAGCGGGCGTAGATGTTTCGTTATCTTGTGGGCTCTCAATCTCCTTAGGGGCAGAAGTATCATCCTGAGGCTGAGCAACGAGGGTATCATGTGCAGGCTCTTCAGCGATAGATGTGTTTCGAGACTTCTTCTTCTGCTTCTTCTTGTCGCGCTTAGCCTTTTTAGTAGATGATACAGCGTCTTCAGCCTGTTCGGTTTCGGTGGACGGCACCTGTGTAGGCTCTGATTCAGGAGCGGCGACAACTTCTGGTTCTTGGGTTTCTGTAACGAAAGGCTCAAGCTCAAGCTCGCGGGAGAACTCAATCTCAGGTTTCTCGCGAATGACAACCTCGGGCTCAACGAGAGCGCCCTCGAGAGGTACAGAATCAACAGGAGTAGCTTTGACCACAGGCTCATCAACCTTAAGCTCAGGTCCAAGCTCATGGGATGCCTGAAGAGACACGGGAACAGCAGGCTCGGGCCCAGCAGAAACAGCTTCAACGACAGGTGCGTCCACAGTAGAACCCTGCACCATCTCCCTTGACAAATCTTCCTGCGCGAAAGGCTCCTGGGGGGCTTCTCGATCCGCATTTTGAGCCTGGTTCTTCTTGGCCTTCTTTTTGTTTTTCTTCTTAGAAGACTGGGTAGCCACACCGTCGTCAGGAGCGACGCTAGTCTCGGGCTGAGTTTGAAGATCGGAAGACTCAACAGGCTGTTCAGTGAATTTAGTAACTAATTCCTTGGCTGCATCCATCCCTGGGTGCATGGACTCCAACACGGTGGGAGCATTCTCTTCGATGGCAGTAACCGGCTCACTAATCGCCTCCTCATCGACAGGTGCCTTGTCATGGCCGTGAGAGGAAGGGTTAGCGGCAACTGCTGCATCGACAATATCGCCGAAGTCATGGGCCATGGCTGGTTCATCTATAGGCAAGGTGCGAGGCTCATCATGTGCCTTGGTGGCGGCAATGGCAGCTGCGCCGACAACACCGGCAAAGCCTGCTCCCTTTGCAAAGTCCGCAGCGCCGCTGAAGAAAGAATTATTTTCTTGGGTCGGTGTTTCGAGCTCGGGATGAGGGTGGGACACGCCCTCGAGAGCATCAAGCGCACGCTGCGTTTCTTGCTCCCTAGTCCCAACACCAACCATGGAGCCCTCTGGAGAAGGCAGAGCGTTCAGCGTAGGTGAAGGAGGCAACTCGTCCAGAACAGCGGGGTCCCGTAGGAGCTCAGAGGGAGAGTGGAACTCGTATCTGGGCCTCTCCTTCCTGGACTCTGCATCCTGGAAATGTTCAGCGGTAGGTGTGGGCTGCTCCGAGCCGAGGAGATCAAGGTCTCTATCATGGCTTTGATTTGCTTGGTCAGTTGAGATCATCAGACCGGTCGGCCGCTGGCTCTCCATAATTGAGTCGCTCAGGTCTACATGCTCCCAGCTTTTAAGGCCATCGTCGTCATGAAGGGATTTTAGATCCTCTACTGACGGGACGCGGGAGGAGGTCTTGCTAGAGGGGAGCGATGGCAAGGGATCCTTGGTCTCAGGCTCGCCCTTGATCAAACTGTGGCGTTCGACTAGCCATAGAGGGCGGATTTCGCGCGAGTTTCGGAACTCGACTGACCCGGGTCGGCGGTTGCGTTGCTGGCTTGGGGAGCCTGGGGAGGTGATGGCGGCGGGTTGTTCAACGGGTACTGCGCGTGTTAGGCCTGGGGAAGTTGGGGGCCGACGAAAGTGGAGAGGCACGGCTGTGGGCGATTCGATGATAGACTTGGCCACGGAGTGTCGGCGTTGCTTAGGGGATCGGGACCCCTGTGGGTGGCTTGTTTCAGGTGAAGCGGGGCGGCTCAGAGACTTCGGGGTCAAGTCAAGTGTTTTCTCCGTGGCTGGGGGAGAAGCGGAGTGGCTCCGGGGCCTCTGTGTAATCTCATTCAGCCCTGATGTTGCAGCGAGTACAGCTGCGCTACCCGCCGATGCTGGAAGCCATGAAGCATAATCTTCGCGCTCTGCTAGAATTTCAGGGCGCTCCCTTAAGAAAGATTGTTCGTCGAAGCTGTCACTATATCCGTCCTGCACATAATAAAACCAATAAAAGCTTAGTACATTTCTTGTTTTGTTCGGGTTTTGTGGTTTTTGTGCAAACTGGTTAGATCAACCAGCGAAAAGGGAAACTATATGGCACAATAAAATGTACAACCAAAATCACAACAAAAGTAAGTGAAAAGAAAAGTTCAGATGCTATACCTTCTCAGATTCCCGTTTCCTCCCCGAATCCACGATTTCCTCGTACCGATGACGACGCCGCTCTTCTTTTTGCTGCCTACTGGACCTGTACTCCTCCAGATTTGGGTCATCCTGACCCTTTTCCTTGTCCGACATGTAGCGATCCAGCTCATCTCCATTACTGGAGCTGCGGTGCTTAGACGAACGCTTCTTATGGCGGCGGCGTTCATCGTCTACACCAGCTTCAGATATGGCTTCGCGGGATGGTCGCTTATCCAGCGAGGAAGAGCGAGCATGGTCAGACCGAACACGCTCAGCTGGGGCCGACACCTGTGAGCCGAAAATACTTCTCAAAAAGCCACCGCTTTTTTCTTTCTCGTCCTTGCCTCGGCGCCTCTCCCGGGATTCGTCAATTCGAGCTGGAGAAGAGGTTATAGAGGCATTGTCATCGAAGTCGGCTTCCCGGGATGAGCGGTGGCGATGCTTGCGGCGCTCAGACTTGTCGTCTCCAATGTCCGTAATGGCAGAGCGGGCATCATCATCAACAGAGAAGGGGTCACTTTCATGCTTTGATCGACGCTTGCGACGCCTCTTCTTCTCCTCGCCACCTTCCTCGTCGTCGGGAACGGTTTCGGCATCACGGTTTGGATCGAAATCATCTCCACTGCCTCTGGATTTACTTGACTTGGATGACTTGTACTCTTTACCGGCAGGAGTAGAGGTAACCGATCGGTTGTCATCCCGAGATTTAGATGGTTCGCGTGACTCGTAGATCTCGAAGTCGTCGCCGCTCCGCCGAGATTTGCGGGACTGAGACTTAGAAGTCTCGTCCTTCGAAACAGGAGCAGAGATAACAGAGAAAGAATCTTCACGAGACTCAGGAGCTTCTGACTCCGGGTAGTCAACAATTCCGAAGTCATCCCCACTGCTCCCGGACTTCCTGGACTTTGACTTGAACGTTTCATCCTTCGAGACGGGAGCGGATACAACAGAATAAGACTTATCCTGAGACGGGGACGGCTCCCGTGATTCGTAGATCTCGAAGTTATCGCCACCGCGCCGGGACTTGCGGGACTTGGATGTTTCATCCTTCACAACAGGGGGCTCGGCCAGTTCCCGCTCTTGGAACTCGGGGAGATCGAAGACATCGCCACTCCGCCTCGACTTCTTCGACTTGAGCTTAATCGGGGTCTCTGGGTCCATAGCAACAGGCGCCGGCGCCGAGACCGCTGATCTATTGTCAACCAACTCTCTAGAGTCGGCTGTGTCAAAGCCACCGGGCATCGAGAACACATCTATATCTTTTTCAGGGGAAGCGGTACGATCCCGTCTACCATATTTGCCATTCAGTTGCTCGATTACCTCCTGGGCAATCGATGATTTGTCACGGCGTCCTGAGGAAATATCCCGATCTTTCGAGTATACTTCTGGCTCGTCGAAGAAAAGTTCATCCTTGTTGTGGACCACGTGCTCGGGGGCGGCAGGGATATCATTCGTAGACTTGGGGTCGAGTTCTTCAAGCTCGCCCTCCACGAAGCCGTGGGGCTCCTTTCGAGCCGACGCAGACCAGGGTGAGGTAAATGTGTTTTCATCCTCTGACCCAGGAGGGGAAGTGCGGGTGTGGTAGGATGGGTCATTTGTGATCAGAGTGGGATCGAATCCGGTTGCGGCTGTCGCAGCAGCGATTGTGGCGGCGAATTCAATGTCAGCACCGTACTCCGGTTTGCTGGAGGTATCCTTGATTTGGGATATCTCGGATGCCGGGAGAGGAATGTCCTTGGCTGAAATCTCGGTGGGGGGAATGTCATGCTCAAGGGGATCCTGTTCAGAAGAAGAGGGGATCTCGTACTCATGAGTTTCATGTTCGCCCCAAGAGACCCGGGAGCCGGCTGGTCGTTCGCGAGGCTTGGTGTCATAGGACTTAGTTACAGGGGCGGTTGGGGAGGTAGCTTCGCGTACGGAACCACCGTGCACACTTTGGGGGGGAGTTGGCTCAATGAAGTTGAGCCCAGGGACTGGCCATGGGAGCCGGTCCACGTGTTGATAGGGTTCATATGAATAGTCTAGCTCTGCGGGGCCAGGCTCCTCGTGTGCACGTTGTTCGCTGGCGGGCTCTATCTCCACGATATTTGGCATATTGGTTGAGTCGCGAGTGTGAGAATTATCATCTGGGCTGTGTCGTATCTCCTCAGGGGCGTAAAATTCTGCGTAATCGTCGTAAACGGGTGCTGGACGGGGAGATCGAGGAGACTCTTTCTTCTTGTCTTCGCGTGGTCCCACCGTGGTCTTCTCATCAATAGATTGAGCGGGCTCAAACCGCGATACAACAGAAGTATCTGCCACTGTATCCATATCGCGTTTCCGCTCAGCGCGGCGTTTTTCTCGGCGCTCATTGTATCGCTGGCTGGCTTCAGAGGCTTCGTCATCATTTGTCTTGCGAGAGAGAATAGTGCTGACAGCAACAGCCCCAGCTGCTCCAGCTGCCGCTGCGCCAACCCAGGATGAGCCATTTCCTTTGTGGTCGGCATACCGGGGCTCTTCGTCCTCTCGCCCCTTCCGGTGACGCTCTCTACGCTCGTGTTCCTTGCGGGTCAGCTCTTCTTCTCGATCAATCAATTGAACCGGTTGATCCGCGGCTTCAACCCGGGAGTTCTTGTTACGACGGGTAAGATGCCGTTCCCTCTCTGCTTGCTCTTCCGTCAAGTTGAATTGCACGGAGGCTTGATCCTTAGCGGTGAACCGGCGCTTGAGGCTGGAAGCAGTTTCCTGGGTGGGGAAAACAGGAGAGGAATCACTGCGATGAGGTCTCCGACGGTCGGCGTATGCTAGCTCTTCTGGCGCCCATGCTGGATCACGGGGGCCTTGGAACTGCGTGTCGTAGTTTCCAGCCCCATTAGCATAGAAGGGTGGCGCTACTGGGACTACTGGGGTACTGTGTACGGGGATCGAACCCGGCACAGCTCCCTGGGTAGTATATACTGATTGAGAGACGGGGGTAAAAGGCTGAGGCTGCTGGAGAGGGATGGGTCCCGGGCCGATGAGTGCTGGTTCGCCGGCAGATGCAGATGGAGACATCTTTGCAACATCAAAGCGAGAGGGGTCGGAAGTAGGCATTGGGTAAACGTGTTGCAAGCTCCCAGATCTACTTGGGGGTTCGCTATCACGGTGACGAGCAGAAGAAATTGCAGCGGCTCCAATAGCACCGGCGCCAACTACCAGAGCGGCATTTGTAGCACTCGACCGTTTGTCCTTCTTCTTCTTGTCCTTCTTGCTTCCCCATCTCCAGCCCCATTTACTACTAGCGGAGTCAGAGGAAGACTCGGCGCTGCTTCCTCCGAACGCCAGAGCAGAGCTAATACTGGTAGAAGACTGGTCCTCCGAGTCGGCATCGACCCATTCTTCGTCCTGTGTGGTAGAATAGGTGTGGTTGGCGTGTCGAGATCGAGCTGTGTACATCTGGCCGGCACTGCGGCCGACACCGTGTGGCGAGGAGCCAGCCAACCGGTTTGCAGTGTCGCTGAGTTCTTGCAAAGCGGTATCAACATCTTTAGCCTTCTTCCCCTTCTTCTTGAGTTTGGAGGGCTTCCTTGAGAACCCATCCCCGAATGCGAGATCATTGTCCAATGAAGAGGATGAAGAGCCACTCTTGAAAGAAAAGAAACCGCTCCGTTTCTTGGTATGACGTTTCTTCCTGTTCTCGGACGAAGCAGTGAAGAAAGACCCGATACCACCAGCGATAGACTTCCTGCCGGGCCTGGGAAGATTGACAAAGGATGATGACGAGGAAGAGTCCTTTCGGTGTTGCCGTCTTCCAGGAGAACGACTGCGGGAGCGGTTGCGCGACTTTGCAACGGCCAGCGCGGCCCCACCCACTGCGGCACCGAGTGCAGCTTCCTTCAGGTACGAATGCCGGCCAGATCTAGAGGAAGACCGCGATCGGGAGCGTGTGTGCCGAGAATGTCCGGAATGTCCAGAATGAGACGCACGCTTGGTGTCTACGTAATGGTCTCTGTGAGGACTACGGCCAGAACGACGGATCACACCACGAGAGGTGTAGCTCCTTCGGTCATCTTCTTCCCCATGGGAGGAGTTTACCCGGCCAGAGCGGAGGCTGTAAGAATCGTCAAACTCCTTGTTTGAGAACAGCGACTTAGTCGCATAACCGGCTAGCATGCCAGGCAGCCACGAGGAAGATTTCTTGGACTTTGACCTTCGGCGACCCTCATCTTCTGAGGTGTTGTATCGGCTGGTTTTGCTGACTCTAGAGCTACCACTGCTTCGCCGATCGTCGGAATGTTGGCGGCGGCTATGATAATGGTGCTTGCGAGGGGCATCGGCGGAGGTCGTGCCAGGTTGGAAGCAGTATTTGCACACACCGATGGTTTCTGTGTAGTCCTCAAATCTACCAACCGCTTCGGGATCACGCCAGAAATCAACGAATCTTCCCATGGCGCCACGCTGACGCTCTTGGAAAGCTAGCGCACTTGGACCATGAGGATAGAAACCCGGGTTGTAGGCAGGTTGGGACGCGTACCCTCCTGGACCTGCAGCATACAAAGTGTGATTGTGACCAGGGCCATAAGGTATCATACCACCAGCCTGAGAAGGTTGCCCGTGGTGCTGGAAAGCGTATTGTGGTGCGTGCTCAGGGCTAGATGAGTGATGGTGATGACCCATCATATACCCTGTCGCAGCACCCGCAGCAGCAATACCAACACCTTCACTGAAGCTATGAGAGTGGGACGGCTTGGAAGGGGGTTGGTAGCCGCTGCTTGCCATCGGTTGATCATATCCCATTGACTGGCCGTGTGTCATTGGCTGACCCTGGTGGGTATAAGAAGTAGCGTGCTGGGCAGAAGAATGAGACTCGGAATGAGACATCATACCACCAATGCCATAGGTGGCAGCTCCAACAGCGGCAGCAGGAAGAATGCCCGAGGAAGAAGGCTTTGGGGGGCTCGAAGGCTTAGAGGGTTTCGGGGGTTTAGATGAAGAAATTGCCGGAGCATGAAAATTATCGTCAAAATAGGCCGCCGCCGCACCAGTCTCGCCCAGGCTACTGGGCTCTGGGGGTGGGTTAGCCGATGGCGATGCGGCCATCAAGTGTGCTTGGGTATTAGGCAGCACGCTCGGGGGAGCGGGTCTAATACCGGGCTGGTGCTCGACAGACTGGCCTTGGTCACCATAGTAGTCCGCCGCAGCGCCGGCGGGGTTAGGCGGCGGATAAGGTGCAGCACTTTGCTCTGGGAACTGGCCGGGAAATTGGTGCTGCACGTGCGGGTCATATGAAACTTCATGCGCTGGCGAATGACCCGCGGGCGGTATTCCAGTGTTGTATTGCATGGGGAATTGCGAGAATCCCGGGGCGCCAATCTCGGCGGCGAACTGCGCGCCGGGGGCGCTAGACGGCATGTTTGTAGAGATCGGTGGCACATAAGGAGCCCCTGGCTGGGTGCGGGGACGCTCGCTACGGTCCCGCTCCCAATCCAAGTCATCGTCCAGATTATCTTTTGTTCCTCGGCGGCTCCTCTGCTCGCGCTCTGGGCTCTCGGATCGGTCCTGGTCGCGCCGACGATAACTCTTGCTTTCCCGTTCACTGTCCCTGCGTTTTGGTGTGCGCTCAATGTAGTAGCGATCGGATTCATCAATGGGTTCTGGCTCAGCGGTCACATAGGTTGATGCGATAGAGTCGCCGGCAATGCTAGGTGGGCCACGCTTACTGCGCGAAGCCGATGGCGAATAAGACGACAAGTCACCCAGGCCGCGGTCACGGTCGTCACCCCGTGAAGACTTGCGACTTGAGATCGATCTAGTGTCAGATTTGTCGAGCTTTTCAGACTTGCGCCGGCTGCTTTTGGAGCTACGAACGTCGGATGAAGACGACGAGCGGCCCCCGCCCATCAGGGCCTTGAACATGGTGGGCAATTAATTGGGGTAGCCAGAGTAAACCATGTGGAATCAAAGGAATGTGGAATGGGGGGTAAAAGTATGGGGGTAGTGTTAGTTGTAACCTTGGAAGTCAGACAGAGAATGCAATGTTATGGGTTTGGGGGGGAAGTAAACAACGGAGCTGACCCGTGGATCTTGTACCCGGGAAAGGCCCCCAGTGGATCTCAATACAACTTGTGGCGCTTCACTTCACCTTAAGTCTCTTATTTTGGTGTCGAGGATCAGATGGAATCTGTGTGTTAGGAAAATGAGATGCAGAGACGATCTGAAGAAAAATACAGTGAAAAATGTGATTGACAGCGCTGATGAACTGTCGGTGCAACAAGTGGAGCGAATCAAAATCGCGGTGAAGCGTCGTGCACGGACCAACATGGGGCTGGGTGATTTCTTCATATCCCAGCCATCTATATATTCGCACACGGAGTACTCCGTACCTCATGTATGCTTCTAAAAATAAAGATGTTTGGTACAATTCAACATGTCTCTCGGCTCAGAGCAGCATGTTTCAATCCCAATAAAAGAACAAGGCTCATGTGCTAACTGTGCTCTCGCTAAAACAGTATATCCAATCTCCTATTATTGCCGATAACAGTGCAATATGTGCATCAACACACCAAAACAATAGTACAACATACCCACAAGTATCAGAAGAAATAAAACAAACCAGCAACCCTAATCAGCCCTCATCAACTTCTCCAACTTACACCTCAACGAATGCTGTAACCACGCGGGCAACGACCTGAATCTCTTTGCAATCCACCCAGTAGATGCAGGAACAACAACATGCCCACTCTCAGCCTTGAGCACTTGCTCAACAAGCTTTTCAGCAACAGTCTCAGGGTGAAGTAGGGGATTAAGCCAAGTATCCTCAGGGGTCAAATCCTTAATAAGATTGGTCCGAGTAAAACCCTGCGTAACAAGCACCGTCCGGACCTTGGGCGCATTGTATCGCGTAACAAGCTCAGCACCAAGTCCTTCATGGAACGCAATAGCCGCAGCCTTGGACGCCGAGTAATCGACCATATTAGGCGTGACAGTGTATCCAGCCTGGGAAGCAACAGTAACAACCATACCATGGTTCGCCTCGATCATATTGGGCAGGAACTCCTGTGCGAGCCAGTAGTGCGCAAACGTGTTGACTTCGAACATGCGACGGGTCTGGACTGCTGTTGTTTTAAGGATTGTTTTGCCAGTGCAGATACCCGCGTTGTTGATTAGGATGCTGGGCCGGCCGAATGAGGCGCGGATTTTGGACGCCACGTCTGCAATGTTGCTTGCAGAGGTTATGTCGCACTCGTAATACCGCACACTATTTGGTAGCACGTCATCAGTTGCTGGAGGGGCAATGTCCAGGATGGCGACTTTGATGTCGCGCGCCCCGAGCAGCCCGGCGATGCGGCGGCCGATCCCATTGCTGCCGCCTGTCAGGATTACAACTTCGCGGTGCCAATCGTATGTATCGCTGACATTGTTGTTCAGCTTGCGACGGTCGAGCCAGTTGCCTAGCCGATTGATGAGGCTTGTTGCTGTTAGGACTTTGAGGACTTTGTAGAGATTTGGGCGCGATTTGGCAATATTGCGACCTTGGGCTGTGTAATAGGCCAAAGCAAAAATAGGGAGTAACTTCCAGGGGTCTAGGAGATTTCGGGAGATGAAGTTTCCCAGTACATCAGCAGTGAAACCTGAGGTGGTTAGCATTAACTGGTCTTTAACAGAAACAGGGGTTTGTACCTTCTCTCGACAGCCATTTGCTTGCGTTGGGCGCCATGTTAGGATTAAATTGTATATCTTCACCCAGCTCTCAAAGATTGGCCATTGGAAGAGTTAAAAGATAACAGATGTCTTTATGTACATCTAATTACATAGTAAGCTGGCTCGTGCCTCAAATTAACCAGCAAAATGCGGGGAAGCCGAGGCCCGCGAGCAGCATGCTGATTTTTGATTCTCTAATCTGGGAATATACCTATTTGATTTCCTCTGCCGCTTCTTGGCCTTTTCTTTCCATTTAGTGCTCAGACCTTGCCGCTTGTGCTCACTGAGTACAACTGAGCGTCCCGCCTGCATGCCCAGGTGGACCCCGGTGTATTATATAATCACCAGCCCGCTCAATGCACATCACCTGATTGTTATATAGGTTGGTTGTCACATGACCATATAAGTATGGTCATGTGACCCGTGATGAGCTTTTTGGATCTCACTGGCCTCCTCTAATAATTGTTGAATGTTCGACCAATACCCGGCGTGACCTGTATAGTTGCGATATACATATTTCTGTGCGTAGATATGGGCATTTTGGCGGATATATTCAACGTCCGGCGTGGGCTTCGGAGCTGTCGCGGGTTGTAAGATGTCTCGATTGCGTCGGGCGGAGGAGAAATTGCGTAGAGATGCTTTCAATCCATATGAATTCCTGCAGTTGTAACATAAACATGATTTCAGCGCCATTGAAGTTGCGGGAGGAAGATAACGGACAATGTAGTGGATCTCCCACCTTAACCCTGTTGGGAAGATCTCCCTAGTATGCAGGGCCACCCACACCAACAGTATCGTCAATGACATTTTCAAGTCAATACTTTGATGCATATCGATCCCTTTCCATGGAATATCACGAAAATGTATGAAGATAGATGCACCGAGGCGTCACGTACCCTTATCGATGAAGAACCAAAGGAAGCTGTGGGCAAACGACAACTATCCAAATCTCGCATGATCATACTCGTTGCAGGTCTGTCATAAATGACTATTGAGCACAAACATTTTCTAACAAGTTTCCTCAGGTATTCTCATCTCAAACTTGGTAGGTCACGTTTGGTTCAGTCAATCTCCCACCTGGGCAAACCTCATATGAACCTAGTCCACGGCTATAGACTCTAGTCTATCAGCATCATCACATGTGGCAGTCGCATCGGCATTCAGTAGAACAAATCTGTCGTCATGGCCCGTGAACGCCTTCCTTCTGATGTCAACGACATTCCAACCATTATATGCTCGTGTATCCGACCATCTTGGTCGCAAGATACCATATCTCACGGCATCGACACTTTTTATTAGTGGACTAGTTATATGTGCCAGTACAGATCTATGGGCTGGTCTTATATTAGGGCGTGCAGTCTCTGGCCTAGGTACAGCAGGGGTTATGACCATGGGTACTCAAATTCCCAATACTATTATAATGGCAAGGGGGCTGATTTTCTGTCTTAGGGTCGGTGTTATTGACCGATGTAGTCGGGGTAGAGAAACGGGGGTACTTTCAGTCGATGAATTATGCTGTCTACGGGATAGGTTCAGGGTGAGCCAGATCTCACCTTAATTCTCACTACATGATCTCATTTTGACGGTACATAATTTTCTTCAAGACTTGGATCAGCATTTGGAGGTTTATTAGTGGAGAGATTTGGCTGGAGTATGGTATACAAGGTTTGTCTGACTTGGTCTGGCGAAGAGAAATGATGATTCCTGCTAACACCTTTTTCTTGTAAAAGGCCCAAATCCCATTCGCAGCTACAGCCCTCATCCTCTTGGTGGTCTCTATTCCATCTCGCGCTCGCTTCATGTCCATTAATGGTTTCAACTGCAGTCAAAGCCTGGTATCCCTGGATAACTACGATTGGTGGGGATCTGTGCTTCTAGTAAGTGACGTACCAGACCCCTTTCTCTCATGGTGCAGTCTAACAGCTGTTCATACTAAAGTTGACCACTTTGATACTGCTCTTTGGTTTTCTGACCACTGGTGGAAACATCCTTCCCTGGGGTCATCCTATGGTGATTACTCTTGGATTATCTCTAATTGCCTCAGCGGGGTTTTTCATAATGCTCGAAAAGAAAGCCAAAACACCCATTCTACCTCTACAACTCTTCACCTCGAGCCCGACAAGAAGCCTTATGGTGACTGGCTTCATGTTCTCACTGATCAACTATATGGTACGTGGCTCCTGTATTGCTCTTTTGAAGTATACTAACGTAACACTAAGATAATGTATCATACCACTTTGTTTTTCCAATCTGTTCTACTCGAGTCGGCCCAGCAAGCCAGTCTTCACCTCATCATCCCATCGGTCTCATTTACTTTCATTAGTATAATTACAGCGTCGGTTATCGCTAGACTGAAGACCCCTCTTTACACTCTACGCGGAAGTCAAGTGCTGCTCGGCATCGGCGTTCTGGGTCTTTTCGTCGCAATTGCCCAAACCTCAGACCATACTCGTATGCCGGATTACATATATAATTTGGCTCTAATTTTCCCGACCCTAGGCGTGGGAATGATGGCCCCCAGCACGGTTCTGACACTTCTAAATTCCTCTACCAAGGAGGATCATGCTGTCGCTAACGGGTGCTTCATTATGATGAGATCACTGGGCGTGTTTGTTGCTGTTGCATTGGGAACAACAACATTGCAGAATGCTTTCGAGTTCTCTTTAGCACACCAGAAGGTTGATGATAAATCTCGAGAGGTATGTGCCACATGCATTATGCCTAATATTTCTTTTCTTTTCTTTTTTTTACAAAAGGACTCCTATCTTGTTCATGAAATGACATGATATATAAACTAAATCTATACAATTTTAGGCAATAGAGCAGGCGCGGCAGAAGGTTGAGTTGATACCTACTTTGCCAGACTCAATTCAATCAAAAGGTATGAAGTTAAGCTCAGTTTATTTTTCGTTAAGATACAGGGACAAGAGCTAAGAAGTGATACTGACTTGTCATAGTTGTCAATGCGTATTCAATGGGATTTGCCATGCTGTTCGGGCTATGTGTGCTGTCAACAGTATTAATCATGCTCAGCCTCAGAGGCGTCAGTGTCCAGGAACTTGGAAATGGAACTTATAGCAAGCAGACTGCACCACACAATGAGGAAGAAAATACGGAAATGGAACCGGTCAGAAGATGATATAGCGTGACAATCTGAAAGCTGGTGTGATTATCGATTTTACCATTTAGAGCAGGATTGGAATATCTTGATAATGAAATGCAGTTAGTTTCTTGAGTCTGACCCTGGGTTTTATCTACACAAAGACCTTGGATGTGATAATTCACATCCCCAGACGTGCTTCACTATAATCCTCAGTAAGTCTGTTACATATATAGTTGACATAATATTATTTGAATCTCCAAACATTTTGGAGATGGCTTGAGGGTTTTATATTTCTGTGAGTTTTGAATATTCAGTTACTGGAAGACCAGGCTTAGAGAGGAAGACATCTGCTTAGCTGCTTGAGAGCAATGAATTGGATGAAGAAGCTAACGTTCACATGCCCAGCCTTGTCCAAGAATTTGAACCACAATAATGTAACTGGTCTCTATTTACAAGAACTTTGACACTCCCCATCACTTCCACCACCATCGAATCTCAGATGGCCACCTCAAGTCATAGATTCATCATCTACTTGGTCGTCAAAAACATTTAGCAATGAAAGTGGTATAGGGTAATTCGGCTCTTACCTATCACCAGATCATGGCACCTATTCCACAACTCCAGAGCAGGCCATATCGCCGGACTTGGTGCAGGCCAGTTCGTTAACCAGCTCCTCGCGCTTCTCAACAACGCCAGAGCAGGCCATATCACCAGACTTGGTGCAGGCCAGTTCGTTGACCAGCTCCTCGCGCTTCTCAACAACGCCAGAGCAGGCCATATCACCAGACTTGGTGCAGGCTAGTTCGTTGACCAGCTCCTCGCGCTTCTCAACAACGCCAGAGCAGGCCATATCACCAGACTTGGTGCAGGCCAGTTCGTTGACCAGCTCCTCGCGCTTCTCAACAACGCCAGAGCAGGCCATATCACCAGACTTGGTGCAGGCTAGTTCGTTGACCAGCTCCTCGCGCTTCTCAACAACGCCAGAGCAGGCCATATCGCCGGACTTGGTGCAGGCCAGTTCGTTGACCTGGGTGTCAATTGGAGCGGCCATGACGCTGCAAGCGGCAAAAAGGATAGATAGGATGGTCTGGGACTTCATCTTGTCGGTGATACAAATCTATCTTGATATGAGGCGCGAAAGAATTGGAGGATCGAAAGGATGAGAATGAGGGCGTTGATGTTGATTTAACGAAATTGAATCATGGGGTCTTCAAGGCTCTTATAGCTCTAAATAATTGACATGCAGGGATAAATTAATGGGATTTATCCTGTTGGGCTTAGATCCTATCTTCGCATATAGTGGTGGCCTTGCACAATTGGAGGAACAACCTAAATGCACTAGGAGGGGAATGTTCTAGACAGTCTTGTCGAAGCAAAGATTTTCGCTATACTCCTTGTTCCATTTTCAATGCATTTTCCGGTTTTCTCAGGGCTTATGCAACCGACGCAGTGGGTGGCCTTGCATTAAAATATCACTGGAGCCGTATTTGCTTGTTTCTATCGGAGACTAAGTCAAAATCGTAGAGGGCAAAGGTAGGAGATTTCTCTTAGATGAATAGGTCTCCATGACTCTTTGTCCGTAGGCCTTTAATCCATCAACATATAAATCACATGTCTTACAGCATTGTCCTCCACGCTGGAGCTGCCGATTCTTGGGCAGGAGAATCTCAACTCCAAGAGAAAACCGAATTCTTCCTACATCATTTGATCAATGGAGCCGAAGATAAATTGAGGAATGGAGAAAGTGCATTGCAAGTCGTTACTGAAGTAGTATCTGCTTTGGAGGACTATCCACAATTCAACGCCGGCAAAGGATCTGCTCTCAACAATGACGGCTTCCACGAGGTGAATACCGCTAGTCCTCTCTCTACATAATTGGATAAAGAAGAGTGTTGACAAAGCTGCAGTTAGAAGCAGCTGTAATCGACGGTCGTACATGTAGGTACCGAGCAGCAGGGGGCTTGCAGCGCACCAAGAACCCCATCAAACTGGCGCATAAAATGCTGGATTTTCCGGCACCAGCATTGATAATTGGGAATGCAGCCGATGAGCTAGCGGAGACAAATGGCTTGGACATGGTAGATAACTCATACTTTACTACCGACAGCCGTCGAGTCTACTGGGAGGCGAAGATGAACAAGCTGCTGGAAAATCATGGCACCGTGGGTGCAGTGGCCCTCGATATTTATGGCAACCTTGCGGCTGCCAATTCCACTGGCGGTGTTACTTTCAAGCACCGAGGACGAATCGGGGATACGGCGATTGTTGGCGCAGGGATCTATGCTGATGATGAGGTAGCGGTTGTTTGGTACGTGGGAATTGAGCATACGTCCAACGGATCATACTAATATTGTCCTTCTCAATTCTATAGCAGTGGAAGCGGTGATGCTATACTACAAGCCACTGTGGCTGGAAGAGCTGCAGCAGCAACGCGGTCGGGAACCAAGCTGAATGATGCCGTGGAGAAGGCAATTTTGAAATCTGCTGAGCTCTACCCAGATTCCTCATGTGGAGTGATTGCAATCGATGCATCCGGGTCTATCTCAATCCACTGTAATAGTCGGATTTTTGCAGTCGCGTCGGCCAGTTCTTCCCAACCCGAGTGGGCTGGTATCGCGAGATCGACCATTCCGATCTTGAGTCAACTCGCTATCTTCGAGAATGAAAAGATCATAGCTGGGATGGTAAAGTACCCAACTTTTCCAAATCAGATCGTGGTTTGTTCCCAGCCGAGGGAGCCCATCTTGTCTCTGGAGGCTGAGCCCTTCGTGGATTTCTTCATCCGACTACGAAGAGTGATTCGGAAGGTACAAAGTTTCTACCAGGCGCCTGATATCGCATTCATAACCTGTGGGAAAACCTCTTCGGCATTTGTTTTTCCGCTCTCGATATCCACGCAGTATATGGATATAGACCTCAAAGATGACGACTACACCACTACCTACCGTCCTTTAAGCGACGGCCACCGTGCAGATTTCCACTACGTTGATGACAGGTTGATCAAGGTTAGAATCCATCGACCGGATAAAGCTGGGCTGTTCTCCACAGAGCTACAACAATACTCCCAGACTATCCTCCAAATCTGGACTATCCTCCAGGTTCTATCACGGGAGGTAGGCCCTGATGCATCACGTCCGCATCTTGAGGTCCATCCTCAACGAAAGGGACATGTCACCATATTCTTAGGTATGCCTCATCCATCATCATTTCCTAAGCCTGCGACCTTCTGCGATTCCCTCCCGGGATATCTCACCCCGGAACTGGGACCAAAAGTGGCGGACATGGCTAGCCTTGGGCGGCTAGCAGGTAAAATGGCGGAGTATTTGACAAGTTCATCAATCTAGCTAGTCAGTACATAGCCAAATTGTGAGCTTCCTATTTCATTCTGTTGCAACACCCAGAGTATTAGTGGGAAATGATTTGTCTGCTAGGCCTTAAACTAGCTACCTATGTCGGTTAACTAGCCTCCGAAGTTTGTATATGATACAGATTCGTTCCTTCTCTCTCTTCTCACATTTCAAAGAAAATGACAATGCAACTTCAACATCAAGTCTCACCACCGCTCAAACCTGGATAAAACAGTAAGACATGCTCCCAGATAATCCTTGTGACCTCCTCTGGCTGCAGATGAGTCACATCGATCTTTAGGAACTCCTCCCTATCATTAAACTCGAAAATCGGTGCTCCCTTTCGAAATATCTTTAGTAGCTCTATGTCCATAAGCTTTGCATGTTTTTCACGCTCCAACTGCGTCATGCGTCTGACATTCTCATCTTCATCGCACGTCAGAACAATCGGAATCAGTAGACAGCCTCGATCCTTGGCGGCCTGCACATATTCTGCACACACACTGGCACCTTGTTCATTTGTTGTTTGAAAATCGGTGAATAGATAGGTCGTATTGAAGGTTGCAGGCTCAGTTGCTAGGGAGGTAAAGATAGCGGTGCGGAGAGCGCGCCGAAGAGACTGATAGCCTGGTTGGGTGCGATGGAGGACAGCGTCAGCGGGATTGATGAGAAGGTGGTTGTGGATCAGCTTTAGATTTGCTGAGAGGGCAACAAGATGTTTGGCGATTGTCAATTTTCCAGCACCGGGGAAGGCATTGATGTGGATGAGGGGATGAGGGGTTTCAGGCATTGTGATCAGGGTAATGTCAAGCTATAAGCCAGAGAAAGGGAGTAGAAGAGACAAACTTTCAGGAACTACTTAACGTCTTCGTCTTGAGATTCCTGAGGTACTTGAGATACTCAAAACCTGAGTTAATCATAAATGTAACTTCTTTTTTGGTTTTCCAAGGTTAGAGGAAACTCCAGTTATGCAAGGCCCTTGGGGGGCAAATCCTTCGCAATATTGCGCAACACTATCCATTTAAAATTGAAAGACATTTGTGCCGAGGCATTATGAATATACTGTGGGGATGGAGTTTTTAATTTCGACTTTCCCTTGATATTAACAGTTATGCAAGGCCTCCATTCCCTTATCAGAACAAAAGTACTATACAGGCCAGGATTTAGTGCGCTAAGCCTTTCTTCCCGAGAGTTGAGATCTACCTAGTTATTTACTTGATTTCCTCTGCCGCTTCTTGGCTTTCCATTTCCGTCTTAGTGCTCAGTCCTTGCCGCTTTTTGCTCACTGAGTAGAACTGAGCACGCCCTTGAGTATTACATACTCACCACTCTCGCTCACTGAGCATCACCTGATCGTTACATAAGCTGGATGACTCGCTCACTGGAGCAAAGCGCGGGGAGCAGCTAAGTCAGCAGCTCACCTCAATAAAATGTACCACACTAGCCCCATCCAAATACAGTTGTTCACCAGACTCTTGACCATTGTCCCCTCAACGAAAGGCTAGCGTCATCAATTTGGCGGTCAATCCCGGTTATTTCGCCTCCAGCTGAGATGCAAATTGATAGTGGGGGCCAGCGTATCGATTCTGCCGCCAGCCTTGTCATGAGTCGCATCCCATTCCTCCAGTTCGGAGACAGGAACTTTTCTCAGCTTATTGCTTTGCACACCACCTCCCAAGTCGCGATATTACACCTACGGGACTGGAGAAAACGTGACTGCAGCTGCCAGTTACTTAGCATCTTGCTCTAGCCGTATGTTTATCTTTTAGATTAGTTCATTTATGTTTAAGTATTGGCATCGTTAAAAGAGGAGAGGATGCCCTGGGGCATCCGAAAATCTTGTATATGTACAGTCACACTTCACGAGTATTTGCACCCTGGTACTTCTAATTTTGCATCCACTCACATCTACTCGGGTCAATACTAGTAATGGAAAGGCGGTAACCAGGGCGGTCAACAATAGAAGTAGTATAGGGGTTCAAATACTTATGAACTTCCAGTTTCCTTCTTCTCCTCCTCATCGCCCTCCTTTTCCTTCCCCTTGACCGAATTCCAGTTCATTCCCAAGGCTGCAACAAACCCCACACAGGCGGCCGCGACGGGCAGCCAGAAGCAGCTTGTCACGGCAGAGTTATATATCACCAGCACCGATTCTCTTTCACTCTCCGCGATATGCTGTAAGAAGCCCGTCGCACCCTGCTGGATGACATCGCCTGCATCCACATTGGGGATAGCACCCGCCTGCAAACCCTTGCGGAGCAGATTAGTAAACACATTCTGCGATACCGAAATCGACACCGCCGCAGCAAAGCTGATCGCAAAGCCCACGCCGGCCAGTCCGAGGGGCACATCTTTTGCTGCGAGCGCTGTCTGCGTCGCTGACCACGGCTGTGGGAACGACAGCCCAGTGCCCATGCCCAACATCACTTGCCACCCAATCCAGGCGGCATGTGTGGTCGAGGGTTGGAATGTGGTCAAGAAGCCGAAGCCTATTGCCATCATGGCGGAGCCCAGTAACATCAGCGGTGTGTAGTACCCGATTGCGGAGAGGATGAAGCCCGAGCTTATGGCCACCACGGAGAGCGCAATGATTGAGGGGAGCAGCATTTGCCCCGATTTGGCGGCCGTCGCGCCCTTGATTGCTGGAAACCAGATCGGAAGCTATACGTATGATGTGGCGAGTGAGCGAGGCTGTTCGATGAAAAATGTCATGTCAAGGGGGACTCACGAAGTAGTCAATCACATTAATCGCCGCGGAAGAGCAAAATGCATAGAGCATACACAGCCCTGCCGTCCGATTGAGAATGACCGAACGCGGAATCATAGCCTCGTCTTTGCGGAGAGTCTCGTACGCCAGAAACATAGCAAATGAAACGCCTGCGACAACCAGAGGCGCGACCACTTGTCCACTGCTCCAATGGTACGTTGTGCCGCCCCACTGGAGGGCAAGCAGCAAACAGACGATGCTGCCGGTAAAGACGAACAGACTTGGGATGTTGAGCTGCTTGATTTTTGACAACAACGACTCGTCCACGCCTTTTTGACTCGGCGGCTGCTTGAAGACGAAAATTAGTACGGCTAGAGTAAACCCCCCGATCGGGAGGTTCAGCCAAAAACTAGCAATCAGGGAGCATCAGCAAGCGTATGGTCACTCTGGAGAACGCGATGAGTACGGAGGAGCACTTACCACCACCTCCAAGTAACATAGGTTGTCAGAGCGCCGCCAATCACAGGAGCTACGATCATAGCAATGCATTCTAGCCCCCCGACAGTACTATTGAAGATCGGTCTCCAGCGCAACGGCACCGTATGCGAGCCAGCACTACATCATCACGTCAGTCAGCCGACCATGTTGTAGTAAGAGTTTTTGTAATTACATCAGAACACCATTGAGAACCCCCGAAGCGCCACAGCCAGCAATCGCGCGCCCAACGATGAAGGCAGCCGAATTAGGCGCAGCGGCAGAGACGATAGATCCAATTTCGAGAATTACAACCGAGACGACCAGCAGCCATTTCACGCGGAACATGGTGTACAGTTTGCCAAACACGAACTGCGTTGAGCAGGTTGTTAATTGGTATGCTGAGCCATACCAGCCGATGTCAGTAAGAGAGTGGAATTCATTGCTTATCGTTAGCGTTGCTGTTCCAACGATCGTTGTTGTCCTGAACGCGCACGAAAATTGTTAGCAAAGCATTGCGATATCCTTGAAGAAGGGGGAACATACAAGTCCTAGAATGAAGATGGCTAAGCCCATTGCAATGAAGACGGGGAGTTGCTGCCATAGGCGGAAATCGGTTTCAGAGTCTCGCTGCTCGGCTACTGTCTCTGCTTTTTCTAAGGGCAACCCTTTCTCACTGTTTTCTGTAGTGGCGGTCATGCTTGAACCTAGGTCAACAGATGGATCGACTGTCTGCGGGAGGTGGAAGATCTGTGGGAGAATTGAAACGTCGACACTTTTCTTTTTGTGACAGACGGGGGAATCCTTAAAAACACACCCATTTTCTTTATTTTCACCCCCGGCCCCCCCTGCTCGTACTATCCCTGTTCCAGGAAATCGCTGTTTCTGTAATACCCAAGTGCTGATCAGTGATATAGCTTCTAACTCTTCTATAGCCTTTTACTTTCAATATACTAATATTAAGTTTTAAGTCTTTGATTGTTCGCTGGGTGATCTCAAACTTCTTTGAACGGCACGGTACGTGAAGCACAGCCTGGCTATTGGTCAAGATTGATCAAGGCGGAGCTTTAGCTCAGATAAGCTCCGGGGGGGCCCGGCGTTGAACTCCTATCTGAGCACCGGCGCCTGCAGTAGTGGGTAAGACGGGACTTCCTTCGCTCGACCTCCTATAAGCATGTAGAGGCCTCCCAGACTGTCGTGTGGAGTATCTACTGCCGTGACCTGCTAATTGTTTACCATTGTATAACGGAAGTTACTCCGGTCTGGACCGTCAATTGCCGATCTAGTGCTGTCACCAAACCATGATACATGTGCAGGCTGGATAGATGTAAATAACGGCTTAGACGCTTGGCGCCTATCATCAATTCGTGTAAGCGCCATCGCAAGCATGACCTTACTTGTGCTTATTCTCCTTGCACTTCTGTGTTATAGCTACTTCAGCCTTCGTCTCCTCTTCTCCTTACGCAAGGTACCTGCAGCGCACTGGTCTTCTCGTTTCAGCTCTGCCCGGATCCTGTGGGCGAGATGGACAGGTGCTGAGCTCAAGTTCCTACTCGACGCCCACGACAGACTCGGGCTAATCGTGCTTGTGGGCCCCCAAAATCTTAGCGTGAGCAGCTACCAAGATAACTAGAAAAACATAGCTGCATCACGAGAAGTTCTGGGTAAGATCAGTACCGATACTAGTACTGGTTGGATATCTAACAGCTGACATAGGCCTCGTCTTGGGTTATGCACTGTGGTACCTCGCGAACCATCCTGGTGCGCAGCAAAGAATCCACGCGGAGCTCGAAGAGCACCAAATCGACATGAGAAGCCCTAGTCATCGCTACCAAGCTCCAAATGCTCTGGATAGGCCCTCTCGGTTAGACTCCCTCCCTTACCTCCGTGCCGTCATCGACAAATGTCTCCGTATGCGTCCGGCAAGCACGCCCTTGCCCAGAATCACGCCTCCAGATCAAAGCGTCCCCGTCGCGGGAATTGACCTGGTTATCTCTTTCTAGTCTTCCAACACAATTTTAATTTACATTTTCTCTTCAAATCTACTAAACAGCCTCTCCGCACAATTAAGAACCGACTCGGATGTTATTACTGGCTGTCTATTCTTACTTTTTTTTTTCTCTCGCGCTAAATAACTGTACCACCGGAGAAATTCTTTGATGAGTATATGGTCTGGAACCGCACAGCCAAGCCCTAATTTGTAGCCCTCGATTCGATGTAGTGTAATAAACCTAATAGCAAGTAAGTAACTTATTCGTCGGATATACCTTAGGTATAAGTGAATGTTAACTTACTTTGTCCAAAGATCAACAGCCTGGTAGTATATCCTCTTAGTCTTAGGTATTCTTTTATCTTTCTCTCGGATGGAATCTTTATCTATATAAGCGCTAAAAATATAGCTGCTCTCTTGCAGTTGTTTATAGCGCTTCTCTTTAGCGATCTTATCTTGTTGAGTAAAGAAGTTTTCTCTACCTATAGCTTGAGTGAAGAGCTGAAAGGATGAAGTAGAAAACCGATAAAGCTATCTTGTAGGTTTAGAGTAAGGATTGGAATAGTTCTAATTTATAACTTAGTATTTTGAATTAACCTAAAACTTTACTCCTATATCACCCTATTATAGATAAGCTCGGTGCCTTCTAATTTTGTATTATCGTATTTTAGTGTCGCTATTTTTTAAGGGGGAAACGAGACTAGAGGATTGTGTACCTTAAGAAATCGGGGTATGGTGAGAAGTGAGGGCTATCAAAAAGTGATCGTAAAATAAATAATATTATAGGGCAAAGTGCTTCTTTGGGTATAGACTGAGCGTGGACTAAGTGCTCAATAGATGGCTCTGATTAGTCTGAGTAATCAGTGAGTAATTAGTGAGCGATCAGTAAGCGATCAGTGAGCATAATCACAATCGCTGAGCGCTCACTGAGTCTGAGCCCGGACTGAAATCTACTCAGTAAGCCTGACTCTGAGCGCCCTCGTAAAAGCGGCGGCAGCTAAGATAGGAAAGCCCCACCCGGCAGAGGAAAAATGCTAACGTATAGCTACCTATATTGCCTGGGCACACACGTCCAACGCCAAAAGGCTTAGTCTTTTGTACGTATAACTTTTAAACTTATTTTAACATTCAAGAATATTTAAGTAGACCAAAGTGTTTTTTTTATCATTATACTAGACTATACTTAGTTCATATTCAATTCGCACGTACGGAGTAGGTCGGGTAAATACTCCAGACTTTTTCTATATATGATCTAGTTGATGCAAAACACTAGTACAACAAAAGTACCTCCGGGGGCCAAATCCGTACCCTAAGAACAGGAAAAGGAAAACCGCAGACTTCAGTATTCGGTGTGCGGTAAGAGAGCCGGATCAAACGATTGAGACTCATATTTGTGGTCAATCACCCATTCGGTCAAGGCATCGAAATTTCGACACATCCTTGTCCCTCCCTCACCGGGCCATTTGACATCATATTCCTTCCAGATGAGTGTCGAATCCGAAGCACACATTAACGCCTGTCTCACAATATCCACACAGTGCATAGTGTGATGATAGGTGGCTTCACGGATTGTGTATTCTGGGTCCTGGAAGAGATGCATGATGATCGATCGCGCTTGACTCTAAAATGGGTCCATGTTTTTAGCGTCAGTCAATCGTAGCGAGACAACAAGAACTCACCAGACAATGCAATTGGTGAAATACAGCCACCATATAAATATGTCTATCCGGATCTGACACTCCACGAACGGAATGATGTACATCCATATCGATAACTTGTTGGTCGGTCAAGCCGATCATGCCATCTCCCACTATATTTTTTTTCCAGTATAAGTAATATGAGCGTACAGTTATAGAGCAAACGAGACTCACCAGGGAAAAGACTTCGCCAGTGTTGCTGAGAGATTGTTGTATTAAAATTCAGAAAGTCATCATGATAATCATGGTATATTCTTTCCACTATCTCCGGATGCTTCTTTTCACCAGATGGGGAGTAGACTGTTGCACCTTTCAGCAAAAATTTTCAGTTAAGAGATAGTGCGATACTGACGATAATAATTCAACTGGCTTGACCCATTTGGACTAAGAGACGATTTTACCCAAAATAGTAGGATTCCGTTGGAAATCACTAAGACTGCCAGTAGGACGAATATCGTAACAGATAGCGCCTGGCGCCAGAAGTTGGATCGAGTTCCGCGACCTCTGTTCGGGGACAGGAATCCGTATTCCTCTGGATCTTTTTCCAATGAATCAGTTGAATCGGAGCATGACGAGTATTGAACTTTGGGGGCCATGTTTTCTTGTCTTTTTAAATGTTAACATATATAAGTTTCAACCCTAAGAGGGTAGATATAAGATTTATATTGTAAAATCAGGAAAAGTATTATCGGCAGGAATGTCGAATGACTGGCCCTGCATAATTGGCTTTTAACATAGATTAGAAGGATTTCAAGAGAAAGGTCAGAATCAAGTTAATACAATATAATTACGGAGTACTCCGCACGGAATGGCCCACTTGGAAGGATTTCCCTTATTTGGACAAGCGGGGGAATTCCGTCTCAGGGTTGAACATCTTCAAAAGATATAAAGCCATAAGGATACATCCCTTGTACTTGCAGTAACTCAATATGTCACTTGATTTTGACCCCTGCTTTCTCGATCTCTCCCAATATAATGGTGATTCATGGCCTGGCGTTTCGGATGAACTAGTCTTGGACGATGTCAACTCTAACGATCTACCACATTTGGACTTCGATCTCCTCTGGTCTCAATTGAATGAAGAGGGTCTCCATTCTGCGAGTTCATCTGAGCCACATCTCTCACCATCCCCCTCTTTCGCTCCTCCCGCCAATCTACCTTGGACGCCTCCCGATATCTTCGAAATAGGCTACCAAGACGCTAGTGGTGATTGGCGCTGTAATTACTCCGGGTGCCTCTCCAATCGAGTCTTCCTGCGGGCTTGTGACCTACGAAAACATTACCGTTCCCACCAGAAAACATACTTTTGTAAGGAACAGAAATGTCACCGGTCAAAAGTTGGATTCTCGTCAAGCAAGGATTGTCGACGGCATATGAGGTCTCATCAGCCGATGATCAAATGCTCTGCGGCGGACTCACTGGGTTGTACACGGGTGTTCAGTCGACTTGGTATGTTATTTCCTGTTTCCTATCTGATTTCATACTCCAGCGCTAACTTCTAAAGATAACATGGTATGCTCTAATCGCAGTGGATTGTCTAATCAAAAGTTTGACCAGCATGCTAATGGGATTACAGAAAGAACATCATCGCAAGATTCATGAGTTTTCGCAGAATAATCTGTTTCCTCGTCCCTGCAGGCGTAGTACCAGAAAGAAGGACGGTTCTAAGCCATCTGAGCTTGACAGTACTACACCCTTATGAGGCTAACAGGGTACCTTCTTTTATGATACACGTAGCATCTACATGTGGAGAGGAAGCAGATGAATATCGTATCACTATTGAAGCTATCTATATGGTTAAAGAAAGACCTGACCACAAAGGGGCAAAGCGAGGCCTGACAAACTGCCTGGGCAAGCAAGCAGCCCCCAGTGCAACACTTTGTTCTTTTGTATCTATCTCTCCTATACTAAATCCACATTACATGTACCTAACTAAATAAAGCAATCAAAAAAACAAAAAAGAGAAAAAACATGATCTCGAAACCTATCCAAGTTGAACAAAATCTATAGATTAGACCAGTAGAATCAGGGCGCACACTCCAGTCCCTTCAATCTTGGGAAAATCTGCACATCTCGCACATCGTCATGTCCCAAAACCCAACACATATAACGTTCCGTCCCAATCCCCCATCCAGTTGTATTCAACTCCTTCTCTTTCCGCATATCCAAATACCACTGGTAGTCTTCAGCATTAACACCATGCTCCTTCAAGCCACGCATAGCCTGATCCATCGAAACATGTCGATTCCCGCATCCAAGAACTTCACCCATTCCCAGCAAGAAATCCGCACACTGGGCTTTAGCAACCTCTCTCGTGCCTGGCACATATGCCTGATAAAATGGCACGCTCAAATGATCCATTTCCGTCAGCCAGCACGCTCCCCCAAACTTGGCAATAAGCATTTGTTCGCCTTTGCGTGTGAGGAGACGTCCATATGCTGGTTTTCCGGGAACGACAAATTCCCACATTTCGTCTGTGAGTTCCGGTAGTGCCAGCACCTCGGAGAGGGTGATGGTAGGGAAGGAGTTGTTGTTGGTGCTGTAGAGCTTGAGGAGCTGTTGCATGTGTGATGTTGTACCAGCATACCGAGCGATATCGGGTCCGTGAGATGTAAGCAGTGATTGGGTGAGGTTGATAATGTACTGGTTCGCAACATCCATGCCCGCCTCCAAGCCACCAAGAAGTTCGCATTCCACGTGGCAGAATTGGTTGAGATGAGTTGCGTCATGGTCTTCCCCACGGCAAGAGGTGCCGGCATAGTAGACGCCTTTTGGTACCTCTTGGAGCCGAAGAGCGTATTCAAGGAGAAATTGCTGCGAGTCGGCCAGGTAGGTTGGGTTATTGTTCAGTTGTATACTGACAGGTTGGGAGTCGGAGCCCAGGCCCATTGGTGAACTGATGCTGCCCGTGGTGAGGGGAACGACGAGGTAGTCGTAATTCATTTTGCGGAAGAAGTCGATGGAGGTGTGGAAGAGTGCGCTTTGAAGGCGTAGCATAGTGCGGTGCCAGGGGCTATGGAGAGCCTGTACCGCGTAGGTTTGGGGGTTTTGCCATAGCTTTGGCAGGTGTTTTTCTTCAGTGCGTGGGTTTCTCTCATCTTGAATGATTTCGGTTGTTTTAACATCAACCTTTTGCTTCTTCGGTGTAAGGTAGAGATGTTCAACTTTGTGACGTGGTGTAACCAAATTGGATCGGATGAGGACTTCCATGATTTGCAGAGTAACTGAAATAGAGCTGTGTGAGAACTTTTTGATTCAACTTCCATCGGTATTCAAATGTATATATTTTGGAGCTGCCTAACAAAAGTGTCAAAGCCGAGTATGCAAGGCCACCAACACCGCACAACCCGTGGACTAGTCACTGAGGTCTTATCACGGATATGATTTTAACAAAAGCGCGAATAGTTGGATGTGTCCGATACTTACCTAGTGGAGGCCTTGCATAAATGAATCAGATTGAATAGGGCAAAATAAGACACAGTATTAAGTAGCATACAAATTTGTGAAGTTTACGTTGATATGTGCAGTTTCCCTTTAATTAGAAATCCTTCGTTAGCATTCCAAGGATAGAAGACGACGTGACCCTTATATGAAGGGATTCGTCTCTAATATGCAATGCAGTATGTCGTGTCTGCTCGGGAGAACAGGCTTAGAAGATAAGTTCTAGCATTGTGATAATCTGGGTTTGATACCAGCCGTGATGAATGTGGAAGGGCAACCTTGGAACCTTAGATAACACCATCTTGGATCTATTTTCAAGCTTGTGTGAGGATTAATGTGTCATGTCCAGATAGTTACTGAAAAGAGCTACAAAATCCAAACAGTCCTGGAAGATGAAGTATAATTCAAACCACAGAAAGCCAACCAATGCAAAACTTTCGCACTGAATATGAAAATGATTGGCGCAGCCAAATCAACAAAAACAAGTTCGCATATTGTAAATGCATCCAAAAGGAAAAGCCAGACATGTATGACTTTGAGATGCATGCAATGCAGGTAGACTAACCACACAAGACACAATAACTCCATTCCCGAGACGTGTCTCTGCAGGGATAGACTGTCGAAGCCACAAAATGCTTTCGACCCCCAACAAAACAAAACAAAAATAAGACAGAAAAGAGAAATAAAAAAGAGCCAAAGTCAATTCAATCATTACCTTAAGGGAGGTAATGAGAGTAAAAGTGAGATTGCTCGACGTATGAAAATAAGCCAGACCAATCAATCACTGATAAAACCCGCATGATCTGATGTGGTCTTGAACGCACGGGTACCGAGTGTTGAATAGGATAGGGTTGGGGAATCATCAATGAAAAGAACCGTATAGTGCACAAAGTATAGATGACAGACAGATAACAGATGCCGAGCGTGGAATGGCTCAGGCTTAAAGGGATAGGGACATGCATGATGCGTTCATAGGATATAAGATGTCAGATATCAGGTTGCGAAGCCCATGGCAACAGGGGGGAAAAGACCAGGAGAAAAAAAAAAAAAAAAAAAAAAAAAAAAGACTCAGACGGTAGATGCACATTCAAGGGAAGCTCGCGCTGGTGGTCTGGCTACTCATGCTCGGAGTGTGGCTACTCATGCTAGTGGTTTTCCCCAGGTCAGGACCATGACCGAAGATCTTCCGGTAGATCTCAGTGAGAATGCGAGCATCGGCGCGGAGGGTGGGAGAGATATTTTGACTTTGGACGAGGAAGCCTATTGTGCGCGTGAGGAGGCGCTTGAGTTGATCTTCCTCGACGAGCTCCTTTAGACTCGACATGTAAGTTGCAGAGAGGACGAGCATGTTGCCAAATTGCCTGCAAAAACAAAAAAAAAAAACCCGTTAGTATTATCTCTATGTCCGTGACTCCTCGAAATGGGTGTCAAAGGATTCCTTACGCATGGGCAGTGCCGAAGATGTTGGTAACGATCAATCGATGTCCGCCTACACCGTCAAAAGCCTCCGTGCTCTTGATAGCCGATTTAATGCAAATGTCGCATGCAGATTTCAGTTTTTTCGGTAGATCTTGTAAACGGACTTTGGGGGGCTGCCAGTCAGTGGAGACTACGGCCGGCAGAGACCCCATGTCACTAGACATACGTGCCATGTTCGGAGCCCGGGCGGCGCTATGCAGCATCGAGGGGGACAATTGTTGTGAGGTAGGCGAGTCTACTAAAGACTGACCGACTGGACCGACGCGAGCACCTGTATGACCGTAGTGTAGTGCGTGATAGAGAAGAGGTCGGTGGATAATATACCGGGCACCGTAATACTTGGCACGCATGCGAGCAGCGTTAATTTCATTTGCTGGTGGGTCGTTTTCCTCCCACTGCATACTGTTTGGTAGGCTTTTACGCCAAAGGTCGAGGTTCAGGCTGAGAGCCTCTTGAACAGTGGATGACCATCGTGTCTGGCCTTGCTTTTCCACCTTGTATAGGTCTGTATGAACACGATTTAGGACTTTGCGCAGATGAATTTGCGCAGAATAGAACAACATCATCATCGTTTGGGGTGCGTTGAGATCATTCGGTAGAACAATTGTCCATTTTCCTTTCGGAATAGCCATCCGACCCTCGGAGCGCGAGATACCGCTCGCTGGAATGTCTAGCTCCGCGAGCAGATCACTTTCCAATTGTAGACAAGTCCAGTACGCGAAGTTGTATAGGTCCTGTAAAGGCCCCTCTTCGAGTCGCTCATATCGCTTGGTTCTCACAAGTACCTGGCAAGCTCTGGAGGCCTGAGAAATCCAACTGTGACTCTGGAAAGGATGGGCCAGTTGCCCAGCATATAGACCAGCAAGCAAGCCGGACTGGACATGTTCAAGCTCGTTGCCCCCCTGCAGGTGGCCCAATATTGAGGTCGCGTATCCATAGAGAGTCAGGCCAGGGATATCCTGATAATTCTTCTTTTTCCCTTGTGCATCCTTTATGTTTGTCACATCTCTTCTTGACAAGCCTTTCAGTCTTTCGTTTATTGGAGGAGCGGGTGGGAAAGGCTGGTTATTAGGCTGCATTGGCGCACCATAAAGTGAGTGCGTAAGCGACGCTGGTATGGCCGCTGAGTCCGAGTTTGCGGGGGAGAGAACACCATTGGTAACATATGCCCCATTAACAGTTGGCGGGGGGACAAATGGTGGCAGCGGAGCAGGAATGACCTGGCGGAGGTAGTCGATATCCTTGTCCATTATAGGCCCAGGAAGAGGAGCACGAGCTTCGCAAATAGCTCCGATGGCCATGCATAGCAAGACCAAGGCATTATCAATATTTTTACCGACTCGAGGCCGCACTGGGTTCGAGACAGTCTCCATGAACTCGCCCCGCACACCCAAATGTTCGTTCGACCGCCTCCTCTTAGCTGGTGGCGGGCCATCGCGAGCTAGTCTTGTGTAATTGGAAGCCGAACTCGGTGATTTACTGGGTGGGCAATAGCATCGGATGAAGCTCTCGACCTTGAGATTGAGTTCACCCTCCATAAGAAATGGGTGAAGCTTGAACATGTGCGCGATGTAGCTATCATAGTAGCGCTTTGCAGTCGTAGCATCCAGCTTCATGTGACCAAACTCGTCGATGTCGACGTCGGCACCTAGTCCTGCCCCGTCTCCATCGGGTCGGGCACCATTGGGTCGAGTATCCGTGTATGTCATTGGTAATTCACTGTCATCGGCAGTGAATGAGATCTCGCCTTGACCGTATATGCTGATAAGACCGCGCTCTTCTTCCAAGCGCATCACATAATCCTCGTCATATATCTCAGGGTGTAGCAGCCTCTTTATTGATGGCCACATCAGTAGCTTGTGAGCCGCAGTAGTGTGCTCCACTGGGATGGAAAGCTCTCCCTCAGCCTCCTTCTGGTCCTCCAGTCTCGGGTCCATGGCTCCGACCGCTTGGGGAAATTTTGCAGCGCCTACATCCTGACTCCCGGGGTCCAGAACATTTGGAGTGGAGGACTGAGTCGGAGGGTTCTCTGTTTTGACAGACGGGGGGTCCTGCTTAATGACCGGTGGTGGTGGCGGCGGGAGGTCCAGACGTTCTCGGACAGTCGGAGGTGATTGTTTGTCCGGCTTGTCGAGAATGTGCTCCAGTATTTGCTTTTGCATTTTTTCGAAACGCTCGTCCCAGTTGTTTTCCATCTGGGCGAGCCGATCCAATACCAGCTGTGTAGTCTTCTCTTGTTTGTGCGGCGGCACCTCTTTGTAAACACATCCAAGATTGTTCTCTTTGCAGTGACTGCAATTCGGCCGTCCCTCATCACACTTTGCTTTCCTAGCTCGGCATTGATCGCAAGCCTATACAGCTCGAGTGTCAGTATCAAATTCCCCGCGAGGCAATCATAACTTCTACCAGTTTGACATACCTGTGTGGCTCTGTTCGCCTTACGCTGACGTGCACCAAATGACTGATTTTGGTAAAATGCCTGGTCGTACCCAGCAGGCGGCGTAGCACTAGCCATTGTGACAACGGGCGTCATGAACTGTGAAGCAGGAGGTAGGGCGCCTGAAACGGGTGTATGTTCAGCACTGTTGATCTGATCCGGGGGTGGGTAGCCCATCCGAGCGCGATACTCTGGTGAGCCCTCGTGCGGCGCGCCATTCATTTGCTGGTGGAAGTTTGGGTGAGGGGGGATTGTGTCCTGCGGGGAATGCACGGGCGCATGCAGGGGCAGGCCATGACCATTTGGACGACCGTAAGGGCCTTCCGATGTTAACTGTGGCAGCTCACGGTTGGGCATCACGGGGTATCCTGGCGGCTGCGGTGGTAGGGGTGTCTGGGAGGTTGCGGAGGGGCGGCGGGAGTCAGGGTGGTGGCTATCAAATGTCGAGGGGTATGAAGAGCGCCATGATGGCTCGTATGCTGGATGCGGACCCGCGTGCGTATGGTGCCCTTCCGGGGGAGGCATGCGATTCATTGTAAATGGAGGGACGGGGTGTGGGGAGGGGTCTCAAGCTTCCAGGCGCGGCCGTGTCGCAACTAGCCCAGATTGTCTGGGTATATCTTGGGCCAATGTACCGTTGAAAAGCGATCTAGCTTGGTAATCGGGACTCAAGCCAACATGGCGTTCTCGGGTTGGCGTCGAGGAAGGAATGTAATAAGAGGAATGAAATGAATCGGGTGGATCTGGCAGGAAAGAGCGAAAGCTGGAACAATGAACTCAGATCGCGCCGTTAGAAGCCTGCGAATCAAAGTGCCTAAAGCTCCGAGTTTCTCAGGTCGCAAAAATGCGGTGGTTGATGTCGCAGTGGGCAAGTGTGGAGCTAGACAAAGAAATAGTCAGATTACAGTGATGATCCGACCAGGGGCGGTAGAAATAACAAGAAAAAAATATAAAACAAGGAAAGAGAATGTATCCACAATGTGTATATCAGATAGATCGAAAAAAGAAATACAAGAAGGTTGGGCCACAAGGAGGGGGGGAAACATCTGAGATCCAAGCAGATTGTACCAGTATACACATTAGGTACACGATTGGTACCTCGGTCAGGTATGGTAAGTATGTAATAAAACCACGTACCTGTGCTTTGGGTTGTGGGTAGTCAATACTGTGGACTAAGTGGGGTTGGGTGTACAACCTTTGTAGATCGGTATAAATTTCAAGGTCAAAATGTGTCAGGTATAAGTTTCACGATCTTATTGAAAAGAGAAATTAAAAAAAAAAAAAAAAAAAGAGAAGAAAGTAATATCTGGGGGAGAGGGGGGGGGGAAACATAACATAACATAATATAAATTCACAGTTATAATTACGTCTGTAGGGATCGACAGGTGTGTGTTTGCCCCTCCCTGGATTAAATACTCTCTCTCTCTCTCTCTCTCTTTAGAATCATGATTATCAAATACTTCAAAAAGAAAAAAAGAAAAAAATGATTAATTAATCAAATGACGGCTTTTTCTTTCTAACCCATTTATACCATTTTATATCACATATATTATAACACATATAGACCCCTGAGAAAAGAAACACTTACAGTTGACAGGTCTGCTTTTTTCCTTTTTTGATTTAAACAGGCAGTGGGTCCGTAAAATATGAGATGCTCTGCAGAAGCGAAATTAATATATTTTTGGATACAATGTGTGTGTGGTATAAATTGGTACATGTAGATACTCCATAGAAAAGATTATAGACTATAGAATACTATATACTATGATCGAAGCTAGGATCCTCCGCGTGGAACGGGGATCGAACTTGCCGCCCGAAGGTCAACCACTTCACCGGGAAATGCGCCATGCAAGTCGATTTCACCCGGGGAGTTGTATATACTGGTTTGGCCTGTTGGCTTAGAGGGTCAAAGTCCAGTATAGCAAGTTAATTCTTTTTTTTTTTTTTCTTTTTTTTTCACTAATTTTCTTTTTCTTTTTTCTTTTCTTACTCTTTTCCCATTTCACATTATACGGAGTAATATGACCCGTGTCGGACAGGGATCGCTGCCCAGTACCCAGGACTCGGGTACGGGGTACTCTTAAAAATCTTAAGATATCTACTCCGTAGATATGTCATTATTCAATCCATTATTTTCCAGGAGAACTAGAAAGTATAGCCGAATAGTGGAGGGGTAGTATGTCAAGCTGAATATCCCTCAACGCCCCAAGCACCCAATAACACACGCCGCACTGGCCGTCAAGTCGGCCACGGATGACTCGCAAGGGGTATTTACTTTTCCAAAACATCAAGGCAAACTCTGTTAGAATTCGATGCTCAAATCAGTGCATATACACCACTAGATCGGCGATACTCGAAGCTTCCAGCCCCTCCTTCAGTGCACTCGTCATTCGAAGGGAGATCTTATCCCGAGGGCTTCCAGGTTGTCGGGGCAGATCAGCAACCCAGAGCTTTGGGCACCTTGTTCTTCCCCGTGCACTGGTCTGTTTAAAACACACATTGGGGGGTTTATTGGACACTTTGTAGAAGTCCACGGGTTGGAATGTATATTTTATATAACGTACACATGTACAATATAAAACATATCAAAGTGGACGAAGTGAGGATTGTAAATACCGGAAATACGTGACGTACCTAGGTATGTTAGTAACCTGGGAAATCTCGGGGGCTCGGGGTTACCCGTCTTCCATCCATGGTTGACGACGGGAATCATCCATGGACTCCAGCGGTTTCCTGAAACTTATTCTGTGTACACAACATACATACTTGAATATTCCCCCATTGAATCACCTGCTTGTTCGATACCAGGGCAACTCTCAAGTCACGTTTACCAACTCCTCTCCTTCCTAACTTAGGCAGTAGCACAGTTTACCCCTGGCTTAATCAGGATGCAGCTCAAGACCTCTGTGCCACAGAAGACTCAACGGTGTTCCCCAGTCGGAGGTCTTCTGAACGAGTCAAACGGGCGGACTGAAAGTGGCACAAGGACACAGAGTTGCCCCAGCATTCCTGGTTCTTTTTCTTTTCCTCTTTTTCTTTTCTTCTGACCGTTTAATTTGTGTCTGTGCAGTCACCCGCTTCACCCGCTGATAGTCAAGATGAAGGATCGAAGGATCGTGGTGGAGTACAACTTGATGGTGTATAGGGTAGTGTATGGAGTATGGAGTACGGATACACATTTTAGGGCTGATTACAGTACAATAGTGCTTTATTCGCGTTGAGCCAAGACTTTGCTAGGTGATGGTTTTCTTTGAGTATTCCTTGATTAATTCAAAATCCTTCAACATCGGGATGGAGTTCCACCGTATCAAGGAGATAGAATATAGTAAATGATTGGGGATATTCAACATACGGGATTTGACGTGCATGAACGGGATCTGAGCTAAAACCTCGGAATGAAAAACAATCCGAACCTAAGCTTAGTAGCTCCATTCTTTCAATGATGTATGGTATTTTACTGGCAAATTCCAAGACATCCCACTTTGTAAGATCACAAGTTCTTGCCACCGTTAAGGGGTTATCAGGGTTACATGGATTTCAATCACGGGTCCAGCATTCAATGTCTATCCAAGCTGCGTTCCAGTTTTAATTTGCCCTGTCGATCTGCCGTTTCCACTCTTCTTTTTCCAACCCGTTTCCTGGGTTCGGGGCGGTGCATTGGTTTGGATCTTCAGTTCTCTACATTATATGTGGTTACGCGTCGCAACCCAAAGTCTTGGTTTTAGTGGGTATCCTATAAATTGACACGAAATCCTGGCTATTTTTTTTTATAGCTAATAGAAAAAGGAGTCCTAGGCAGCTATTCTATTGCCACTCCCAATTCTTCTCCCAAAACTGAGCTTCGCTAAACAGACATAGTTTCGAAGATAACACAGGCCTATATCGTACAGATGGTAACTGCACGCCATGCATATTGCATTATGTAGGTATCTGGAATAGAGTTTCTAGAGCCATTAGATATTCAATTGCGAACGCAAGGGGCAACCAACATGACATTATCCACCGTGAAGGAACCCAAAATCCAGCATCTCAATGAGTCAAACAGACCTAGGCCATAGCCTAGGTTTCGATACTGTGAATTATCTTAGAGCCTCAATCCCTAAGCTGACACCGCAACGTCAGACTTGAGACTCTATTCCACTATTCTGAATGTTGAGTATCCTGTATATCAGCGGCATGTACTGCTATTCACACTGCAGAGACAATCGAAGAAACCCCGATCCGAATAAGTATGCAGCAGACTTAACTTGTGTCGAATCAGCACTGAGCGTCACTTCACAAGACTATTGGAATGACTCCACATGAGGAAGATGCAGATTTGCTCCCTTGACAAAAATCCCCACATCTATCTAGCGGAGGCAACACGGAAGGTTGCAGTTGGCCGCGGAATAGGTTGAGTTCCTCGCATTGGACTGAGACTCTAATGTTCAGCATATCAAGGCAGTAAATGCGTGCATTTTACTCGGTCCGGTATCTAGATAGGGGTGGAACAAGATACATAAGCAGGTTTGTGCCACAATACCAGCAACGGCATATTATATTGACATACGGAGTATTTGTCTCCAACTCTAATATCATAAGGCTGGTGAAAGGTGCACAGATGGGCAAATATAGCCTATAAAGAGAGTGTTGACACGCGCCAAAAACAAAGTACAGAACCAAATTGTAACCGCAACCCCAGTCTGCCACTCTCCTTGTATCTTATCTCCAGAAACAGATCACATAAATAGTGCAGTAGATTCTTATTCTACAAAGTACATTCTAAACTGCATTTCTGGAATCCTTGGATACATGATCCGTAAAAGGACAAAACCATAATACAAGTAAATTCAAGCAATACGATATCTCAACATGCATTAACATCTCAAATCACTATGTTGTACAGAGTAGGCCTTGATGTGAGTGATTCGTTCGCCACAGATTGTGCCGGCACGCCTCAGCTAAAATGTGATCACCTCCATTCTACCACAGTAAGACATATTACTATATATCATTGGATTATGCAGGAAGCCTAGACACTGCATCTTAGACAAGATGAAGTCCAGAAACAAACTCTACATCTCGCGGGACACGACATGATTCTTCACGGGGCTCTCCCGTTCATTTGCATAGCAATCGCAGATTCGCAAAACCACCAGGGCTCATCCTGAAGATTCAGACCCAATCAATTTGGAATCTAGTGATATTTGTTCTCCGCTCATCCCCGCATGCACGACACGGTTTGTCTCCACAGGGAAATGTGATGTGTACAGATTGTACAACACAGACTTTCACCGTTCGTTGAGATCTCGTCTCAACTTTGGACGATAACCACATCTGTACAACTTGATATGTCAAAATTGCTAACCTTGAAGCCCGGATGTGCTCCCACGTGGGTTCAGTCCCATGTGGTGATAGTATTGCTTGAGTCGCGAAACTCACTCTCTAACCCTAATATCTTGTTCTTTCCCCTCATATCTCAACCGTCCTGGTTCGCTTACCCATCACAGCCCCCACCAGCTCAATACTATCATGGCCAAGACTTAACCAGGCCAGATGCATAAGAAAAACAAACCTCCTTACGCTGCATCCCTTGTGACCATTGAACAGATACTGAGGCTTAAAGACCAAGTTCACATGAACCACTGGTCTGTTCGCCAGATGCAAGGGAAACAAGAAAAACAAAACTGAAGAACAAGGTGTCCCGATCGGTGCTCCTGCAGAGGCTCTAACCTATTATCCGGCAAAAGTCAAGGAAGCCAAGATATCTGAAATAATCTTGTGAGCTGCTATCAATTCCCTTGAGAATCTGGGCAGATTTTAAAGCCAGTGTCAAAGGTTATAAACTGGTTATTCGCATTATCCCTATACTCCTTTACATAGGTACTTCGTCCAAAACATACCAGCCTCTTAGCGCGGCTGTGTACCTTACCGTGAAGGACGAAGATTTCAAACGCGACCATCGTACCCGTTGTAGTCCGACGTTTTGGAGTCACATCCACTTCATGCACACCATTTCACACATCAGTAGTCTCACCATTCGCTTCCTTATGGAGAATTTATGTAGGCATTGCTCTATTAGGCAGTAGTCTGGGGTTGAAGCTGCTGACAGCCTCCAGGGGTACTTACTTACTACCCTTCTTGATGAAGCAACTTGCATTGCGATCTGTGAGATCAAAGTTTCCTATATTCTGATCTCATCTTGAATTCCTTTCAAAGCTCCCAATCACATTCCAAGGGATAGCTCATGTTTAAAAGTACATATACCCCTAGCCTAGTAGTCCCCGAGGACCCCGAGCTTTTAGATTTTCACTCAGCCTCCACAATAGTCTACAAAGTACATAGTAGAGCGGATGTACTTTTTTTTTCATCCTCACTTGGCCCGGGTACCGAGGTCTTGAACGGGTCATATGCCATAATTGGGGTTTTTGATAAAGCGCACCAAGCGCGGTAGATGTGATGTGATGTGATTTTACAGCGGTTATCGGTACTCGGGTCGGTGGTCTTAATTGGGAGTAGGATTATAATACAGAGTAATTTAGTTAACGGACTTTTAAAAGATCTTATTATATTATAACTTCATGCCTTGGATATAAAATCCTTTTCTTTTCACCACATAAACCTATCAAAGCAGTCATGCAGTACATGTACGGACATATGTTGTACTCCGTATACTCTGTCGGCATACAACCTGGATTACGGGATCTGTCAAGTTCTGCAAAACTCTTAAACCTACGGGAATTAGTGTTATGCAACTTCATTGGAATACTTTTCTATTAGAGTCAGGCTTTCACTATCCCATTCCTAGTATAGGAAATCGGGCAATATTACCACAAAGGGCTTCGACGCCCCTTAGCCAATTAGTCCTACTCCACTCTCCCATCTACGCCATACACGGACCGAATGTAGATGTAGACGGACTATCATGTTGATATATCACATTTTCGCATCTTGGCCGGTCTGGACCGCTGTCGCTTTTTTCTCTTTTCTGGTATTGAGATTCGATGGGATTGTATGAGAAGTCATGGGATTCAATACCGAATATGTCCGCGTTTGAATGTTTCATGGAAGATGAGGGTGTAAGAATCTTTTCGTTTAGAAGGATTGGGTTACTTTGACAAAAGTACCAACGGGTTAGGACGTGGATTTCCAGATGGGTTTGTAGGCAGAAATGGAGGAGATGTATTGCATGAGAAAGGCCTGATTCTCTCACTAACCAGTTCAATGGAAACTCCAAGTCATCCAAGTCAAGGTCTCACCATACACAACCAACTTGTCCAGAAGGTATCAAGAGATTTATCCAACCGCATGATATGAACCAACACCCCAAATCGCCTATCTAGTCACTGTCCATCCAAAAAGAAAAGAGCACCTAGTACCGTGTATATATAGCCCGATGCCAACATGTTCAAGATTCGTAAATAGTCAACGTAGTCTGTCATTGGAGATGGGTATGGGTAGAATGAACGAGATGGCTGGCACAGCAAGCCAAAAAGAAAAAAAAAACCGAATATTGCTGCGCCGTATGTACAAGATGCATCGCTTGATAAAGGCCATCGAGGGCCAGAAAGTCAAAAGCATATCACCACGGACATCATCATGCATGCTCTATAATGGACAATCTAAAGGTAATTCTTTCGGAACTGGAACGTCGCCTTCGCGATGTGTCTGTCTCATTTGGTGGTGGAACAGTCGCCACACACCCTTCAACGCCTCTAAGCGGTCGTTGGCATCAAGCAGATCGAACCATCTAGTCCTCTGCAGCTTCAGGATATGCCACGGCTCGTCCTCGGTTGCCGGGAACGTGCTGTCACCGTTGGTGAGGATGTCCAAATATCGCCTGTGGACGCGAAGATGGAGGATTGAGATGTGGTGGTTGATAGATGAGACCATGTAAATCTGTGAAAGGGAGGGTTAGCTCTGTCTGCCCCACTTGCAGATTCAATGTCAATGAAGGTAGGATATGCATACATCGTCAAAGGGACTCTCCTGGACCTTGCCTATCTGCAAATAGCTCATCCGCTTATCCCAAAGACTAGGTCCAGGCTGCAGAATCTTCCACTTTTCACTGCTAGTAAGTCTGCGCATAGCGCTCGGTTTCCGGGAGAGAGACGTGACAAACGGATGCTCAAACTTGTGGCGCTTGGAAGCGCTACCTGCCTCCTGGGCAGATGGTTTGGTTTCTTCCATCATCGAGTCTGGCAGGGACATCCCGTGTCCCTTGTTGATGAGATCATCTAGGATCCCATCATTAGGGGCGCCTCCGAAGCGAGGCTCCATGGTCCACCATTTGCCCTCGCCAGGTCGCTTCTCGACTGCGCCTTCGCGGGCACGCTCTTGGGCTGCGAGAAGCATGCCGCCCACTTCGCGGAATAAATCACTTACCTCGCCAATCCCGGTCCCGGGGGTATTGTCCGGAGTTCGGAATGAAGTCTCAGGTCGACACTGCGAGATAAGAACGGGGCCTTCGAGCATGCCACTCCGTGCAATCTGGCGGTCTCGCGGGGACCGTGAGGACTGGAATGTTTGCCGGACGGGGAACAGGAGGTTCTTGGTGGTCAACCGTGGTGGGAGCGTGGGGGCCGTGACCTGACATCCGAATGGCCATGCGACCATCTCCACGAAGGCTCGGATTGTCTCGTCACGCATTTCATCGGGCATCTCGGCCCCGTTGCCAATTCGGCGGCCTGTATACACAGGGACAGAAGGCCGTTGCGCATCACCAACATTGCCATTGCTCGAAGGCGCGGCTGTGTCTGATTCATCCAAATCCATTGGACTGTCTGTCAGAGAGTCTCTGCTCTTGGACTCGGTGTCCATCTGCATTGTGTCATCCTCTGCCCGGACCATCTGAGATGGTGTCCGCTCGGGGGTTGCCGGACGCTCGTAGTAATGGTCTAAGCTAGTATCCCAGTATTGAGCCATACGCTCCAATCCCGTCCAGAATTTCCTCGACTGCGTTATACGAACCCGGTTACGGCCCTCACGCGGTGGCAATCTAGCCACCTCGCGGAAAGCGTCATCATTATCCAACGCCAGCTCTTTTTCCAGGATTTCATATCGTTCCTTCGAGGGATAGGGGGCTCCATTGTCCATCAACGGTCGGGGATTATCTTCCGTCGGTTCGGTTGTATCTTCCCATGGCAAAGGAGCTAGGGGGTGCGAGTGGTCTTCGGGGAACATGTGGGCGACTTCGACATCTGTGTCCAATTGTAGGTTCAACGGCTTGAAGCGCTCCATACAAATATCCTGTGGGCGTTTGATCTCGGCCAGGAGGTCGGACATCTCCATGAGTCTCGAGTCCGACTCATTTTCGAGGACATTGGATAAGTTGTAGACGGGGAAATCGAGAGGTGTCGGATTTGCGGGGGGTCTGCGTTCCTTCTCCGGCTCTGAAGTGGTAGAGGGCAAGGCTACGAAGTTTGTGTTAGTTGAAATATGATGGTCAAGTATAGACAGATATGACTTTTAAGAGTTCCCCCCCAGCTCCCAAGTGAACATGTCAGGGTAAAGTGGGGGGGGAAGAAGGGGGAAAACATCGAGGGGTAAAAGGATCTATAGCTTACCCAGCCCAGAACCCCAGCCAAACATTTTAAATGTATAAATGTAAATGTAAATGTAAATGCAATGCGAAGTTGAAGTCCTTTAAGGTCACATGGGAAAAGGCGGAAATGGCAGAAACAAAAGATAAACAGAGAAGTTTCAAGTTCAGGGGACTTTTTTTTCCCCCAAGTGGAGAATTATCGGGAACTTTGGTACTTTTCATGAGAGGTCATATATATACTATGTACTCTTCTCGATTATCTTTTACTATTAAGGGCTATTCTTTCAGTCCAATATCTCGAAATTGCCAGGAAATAACAAGGTAGTGTCACATATGAAAATTCCCTATTCTCTGAGATGGTCTTATTGGACCGATGGCTAAGCGCCGTTCATCACACGAGGGGTTCCCAACTTAGAAGCGCCAGGTTACAGAAGAATCCCCCTGATTCTGTGTGAAAGAGAGAGAGAAAAAAAAAAAAAGAAAGTCTCTATAACTCCTCGACCTCTTCGTATCTAACGTGATACACTTTTTTTGAGCCTAATACGGGAACTATATGGAATCCCAACCTGGGATTATGTTCGTTATCTCGAGACTTCAAGGACACAGAGCTTGGATGAACCAGAGTCAAATATCCTCGCTTTGTTCATAAGGGATCATGTCCCATTCATCCACGGAATCGGAAAAGTATCAGATCTGTCTCCTCACCGTGTCTACGGGCTCGCGAAATGTCGAGTGCCTTTTCCGCCGATACTCCTGCACTCAACTTCATCCAGACGTCCACACACTTATCCTCTGAACCCTTCGATCTAGTGACAGTCACGTCAATTGAAACGGAGACTATTTATCCTACATGGATCTATACAATATCTGGTTCCGGACCTGACTCCAGCACTGTGGTGGACTTATCAACACTGAACCCAACCCTGGTGACTGTGACCCTGACAACTAAGCTGTCGACGACTAAGCAAGACACCACGATATCGACGAGCTCTGCACCAGTTACCTCAAAGCCCCCAATCTTGACTCTGATCACAACCTCACCAAGTCCAATAGGGGACTTGCCTATTTCGGCAACTTCGGAATCCTTCGATCCCTCATGGCATTCTGATGCTCCCGGCAGCACGTGGACTCCACCAGTTTCATTAACTAGCTCGAGTATATCTTCTTCATCAGTGCTTGTCTTTCCGGGGACAGCTACTAGCTCCATGAGCTCCATCAGTACCTCGGCCAGCTCGAGCAACGCACCATCAGATACACCTACAGTCTCGCCATTCGTCGGAACTGCCACGAGTGCAACCTCTTCGGAAACAGCCCAAGATAAGCATCCAAGCCCCACATCCTCCAAAACTGGAACGATAGTTGGGAGCATCATCGGAGGATCAGCAATCACGATCTTCGCCCTGCTAGCCTGCGCACTCTATATCCGTCGTCGTCGACGGAAAATAGCAACAGAGCTCCTGGGCATCAGGCAAAAACTCATACGAACCGGTTCAGCGAGCTCGTCAATTAGCTACCATCACCGTTACCACTCCTACCCCTCGATTCCAGGCAACATCGGCCTGCGATCACCCATACTCCCAGTCATCCCGCTGCAACAGCAGCCCTCAAATCCAGATTTATCTCTAGACAGCATGTATCTGCGCGGTGAGAGAACAGCACAGGGTCCCTTTACAACACCATCCACAATCATCGAGATCTCAGCACCATCTCGTTCAGTCTCGCTCTACTCGACTTCTTCCCGTGGCGTCGGGCGAGGTGGGCAAGGGTACTGGGACTGTGAGCGTGACGGTGTGGATGCCCTCGCTATACCGGATGGATATTCGGATACGCCTATGATGCGTGATAGCATGCGCAGTGACCCCTTCGATCTTGATCTGGAGCCTCCGCCGAATGCTCACCATCGACGGTCTTCTGCTCCTTCGATCCCGACTACGTGGGGTGTCAAGTTTTAGATGGCTAACTCTTGTTTTCCTTGTTTTTACTTTGGGTTTTGCTTCGTGCATATATTATACGCTGATACACTTTTTTTTGGCTTTACTTTGGCTTACGATAACAAGATCTTATGAATGATATGCCTGCATGCTTTTTTTTTTTTTTTTCTTTCTTTCTTCTCTTTTACGTTCATTTTCTTGCTGGAGTTTCTCTTGGGTGCATTTATATATTATCTCGAGTTCGGTGTTGGACTGGGTCGTTCATTAGGGGTGTTGATATGTACAATTTAAAAGAGAGTGTAGAAGGACTATATCTCTAGTTTCAATATATATTGACATATTTCCACCATTTCTTCATTTCTATCCCAGTATTATGCATGTTATATGAGCTGAGACATGCATCTGCCCTAGTGTGTTCTACATTCTCAGGTTCGAACACCACGCTTGGGGCATAATTGTTGTCTATTCGGGGGTCATTGAATGTTTTGGAAGTAGTTGAATGCTATGGCTAGCCTAGGGTTATCAGATTCTCCTATAGTTTCGCTCTGCACTGATGTTTGGTTGTTAATGGATTTATATATTTGGGAGATCGTGGGGTTGTGGGACAGATATATATCCAGTGGGAATGATATTTGAACGCCCAATCTGATTAGATCTTTGATTCAATTGGTAGATATTCTAAAATAGATTAAGAAAAGCTTTCTTTTTCCTCCATATCCATGCCAATATTGTGGGTTGGGGGTCTGTTAAGCCTAGAAGTGAGTGGGTAGACAATTTTAGACCGAATCCCCAGAATTATCAGTGGCCTAGCCACAAGACCCATAAATTAATTGCATTGGTCTCTGATGGTAGTTGCCAAGGTGACAAAGATTATAGGAATCGAGAGAAAGTCTAGATATGTAGACATCCATGATACTCCCAAGGGTGATATAGACCTCTTGAGAAAATGAGAGGGAATCTATGAACAAGACCACTAATAGGGATACCAGCTTACGATGGATTGGGCTTGAACAGACATCTTCTCTCCGCATATCAGGTCGATACAGAAGATATGGGCCGGGAACAAGAATGCGGTTTTCGCTGTGTTTTTTTGGTGAAGTAAAAAAAAGATTTCCTTTTGCTTTCTCGTTACATTTTAACAAGAATAGCTTGAGTATCACATCATCATCGCATCTTCCTATTTCCCATACCCCATATTTTCCGAAAGATCCAACAAGGCCACGAACCCCATGCTATCAGAGAAAACAAGGGAGAGAAAGTCGTAATAGAATCTAGACTAATAGGAAGACGCCGAAGGCCGACCTGAGTTCGATATCGGAAATAGCCTAGAATCCCGAATCCAACCCAGAAGTTAACCGTTTCCAACCTCCGGACCGCCGAATTGCAAGAAAAGCGTCAAACAACGGAAGGGTAATTGAATTTTTGTATCAGATTTACTCTTCGCTGATCAGAGCGTTGTGCTTAGCCTCCTTGCGCTCCAACCGACGCTCACGGAGAGCCTTGTTCTTGGCACGCTTAGCGTCCATCTCCTCCTTGAGGACACGGTCGCGCGCACGCTCAGCCTTAGCCTTCTGGATCTGTAGCGGTAAAAAAAGAGAACGAGTCAGCCTGAAGGTGTTCTGTTTTGCGTGTTTCATAGATGGTTCATGGGTTCATGTTCATCGTCATCCGTGGGGTTGATCCAGGTTGTAACTTACGTGCTCAACGAGGGCACGCTTGTGCTTGAAGGTGTTACCCTTGCTCAGGTGGTAGAGCTCGTGGTAAAGGTGCTTATCGATCTTACCGGCGGCGCGGTAGCGGACGAGCAGACGACGGAGAACACGCATGCGGCGCATCCAGAGGACCTGGCTAAACAGAGGAAAAAGAGATCAGCAACTGTGTCCCGGGTTCCAATCTAATCGGGCGAGTCCGAGACAGGCCGGATGGAGTCCCAAAAAGGGTTGTGGCGATGGTGTGCATACCTGGGCATACGGGCATCCTTGGTACCCTTGCGCTTTCCGAGACCACGGTGACGACCGTTGCGGCGAGCCTCGTTGAGCTCACGGGCGCTGGCACGGGAGTGCATGGTGACGGGCTTGCGGATGATGAGGCCATCAGCGACGAGCTTGCGGATGGTCTGGCGAGAGTTGGCGTTGGAGATCTCGCTCATCTCATTGGGGTCGAGCCAAATCTTGCGCTTGCCGCAGCCGACCACGGAGGCGGCGAGGCGCTTCTGGGTGGTAAGGTTGACCCTGTGGTGAAAGACCCGGTCAGCATCATGGCACACACATCACGAAGTTGTTCCTCCACTATAACGAAAATATCGGGTCCACGAGTTGGGTGTTGGGTATGAATTTCCACAGCACACGGGAGTGCATTCGAGAAGTTCAATAGCAGCTTGGAGATGAACTCACATCTTGATGTCGGCGTATCGACGGTCGTTGGCGGATGATGTTCGTGGCACTGAGAAATCCCGACGGTGAGAGTTTGAGAGGGCACTGCGGGCCACATTAGGTCAGCCGAGGGCTAAGCGAGTGCTCCTTCCACAACGGGCGGACTGCTCCAGGGTGTATGCCCTAACCCTAGTCCGAATCGGGATGATGGAACTTGAAGATCTTGCAGTCCGGGGAAGAAGCCAAGAGTACTTACACTGGGAAAAGTTGGAATTAAGATGCTGGATTAAGAGAATTTCAAGTCTAGGGCTTTTTTTAATAATTTTTTCTTTTGCTGTTTGCCATCACTTTCGTTGTAGATGGCCAAAATGAGGATTATCATCACGTGATGTCAATGACAAGCAGTGTCACATGATCTTATATTCCCATTTAGGAAAGGGTGATCTGCAGTATAAAGCAGTCTAGTAGATGGCTGCCCATTCATCTAGAAGGATGTGATATGAAATATAGACAAACATACATGTGCAATACTTTTGTACGACTAAAACAAACAAAACCCAAGGGTATATCTATAAACATCTAGATGCTCCTTGGATGCGCAAACAAATCATCACTCATCGCCAAAGGCCTCTCCGAGATCAACCTTGCCAATGCTCCACAATTCCTTCTCATCATCTAGTTCATCATTCGACAGTCCCAAGCCACCCTCACCACCCTCAGCCTCCCGACGCTCACGCGCTTGGTTGGCCAACCGAACAGCAATTCGTTTGAAGTAATCAGACATGCTGCGCTTGGGGCCTGGTGGGAGAGATGCGCCCGGACCGGCCATATACTTGTCAAACACCTCGCTGTCAGACTCAACCACGGAGAAGATGGACAAGAATGCTGCTTCCGCGGCCAGTTTGACGGGAATCACCAAATCACGGACACTAGCGAAGATGGGTGGTGCGAGCAGGGCCAGATGTGGGCGGGCCAACTCGGGGTGAAGACGGCTGACAGTCCGGATGACTACCAAGCTCAACCGCCGGGTGTCGACCGGGTTGCCGACCTGGATGACAGATGCCAAGGCCTCGAATATGGTCTTGCTTGACTCGAAAGAATGGTCACCATCGTTGGACAAGAGGTATTTGCCTGAAGCAAGAGCACTGTTGTCGGATACAAAGGGCTTATTCTGAGTTAGCTTCGAGCTATAGTCAGTGATTTAGGATTCAACTTACATCTTTGTTTGAAAGACCTTGGCAGATGACGGTGGGCAGCTCCACAGAGAAGTGTTCTGTCAAAACCTCAGGACATTCAGCCAAAAGGGCATTGAGTCCGAGGACAGCTGGGTGAGAAAGGGAGCCAGCAAGGATACGGCTCCTGGAAAGAAATATATTAGCATCCGGCAAAGTTAGACCACGAGAACGAATATGCATACTTGATAAGAGGAACCGAGCTTGCGGCAGGGAGAACCTTCACGAGAGCAGCGAGCAGGCGAGCGTTGGTAATGGCAACGGAATCTGTGAGCATGTTAGAAAGCCGTGAAACACAAGAATTGCTCATAATTATCTTACCAGTCTGGTCACTAGCGTCATCATCAATCAGAGCAAGGATCGCTTGCCGGGATGCCTCGCTCATGTTGGCACCGGCCTTGCCAACTACCTCCTGGAGAGCCTTCATCATGGCGTTCTTCACACCAATGTCGGAGGTCTTCGATCCAGCAATAAGTTCTGAAATATCGAAGTTAGCGATGAGCTACATTCCATGTGTAAAATTGCCGAGGCTTACCAGCAATAAGAGGATCAACTCTGGGGGTCAGCGTAATCAAAATACCAAGACCCTTGGCAGCCCGGTTGCGCAGAGTCTCGCTTGTGGTATCGGCCAGACCACGGGCGAATGTACGCTGGAGCTGAGGCAGGAACGGCTTGACAGCCAATGGAATCTTCTCCAATAGCTTGTTAAGAGTATAGAAGATAGCGCCTGGAAAACTCTATCAGTAAACAGAGACCACATAAAGGCTTTGCACGACTTACACTTGATATCGACTGAACGTTCTGACACAACACGAATAAGAGGACCGGTGATTTGAGTCACAAAAGGCTTTAATGACTCGGCACGAGTCCGGTCAATGATGTCCGACATTGCAAGAGCCGACTGGGTACGCTGATCGGTAGTACCGTTGAGAAGACCTTGCAAAAAGATCGGCAAGATAGCCATGATACCCTTGGGTAGACTAAAGCCGGGAAGGTCCGCGCCAGCCACGCCCACCTGGCGCAGAATCTGGCGAGTAGGAATAGCCAAGCTCTCCATCTCTTCCTTGCGCATGTGAGACATAAGACCAGTGAGGGCAGTCCATGCTGCCTTGATGACATCCTTGTCTGGGTCGTCGAATGAAATCAGCAAGGCGCGGATCAAGTCCTGGTAGTATCGCGAGAAGTCAACCTCGGCTTCCGCGAAGAACTTGGTCAGATGGAGCGCCGCAGCAGCGCGACGACGGTGATCATCGTGCTTCACAAGAGTGACCATCACATTCATGCCGACGCTCAGGCCATCGTACTCGTCTACAGACACCAATACAGTGTCGAAGGCAGTGCCGAGCTCTGTTCGAAGCTCCTCGTCGGTAGTCTCGATGATGCCGTCCATGAGAGAGTTGAGGATAGTCGGCAGTCT